CACTACAAATGCATCGCTGGTTGCCTTTTACCGGACTTCGGCGTCCATGGCAGGAACACCACAACGAGTAATTTGTTTTTTAAAACACATCTTTACATAATTATTTGTTGTTGGTGTAAAGTAATTGTAGCTTAAGTTGTTAATAGAATTCACACATGCACCAGGTCCTGTGTTCGATTCTCTCTCTTGTATCAACTCATCACTTGTAATATATATATATAAACATTTTGTCTTTGTCTTTGTTGTTATTGTTAAGATGTTGCTCAATCTACTTTTTGAATTTGAGTTTCATGTCTCACTATAAATGTGCATGCATGTGCAGGTAGGGGGACTGATAAGTGAGAGACTGAAGCACCCAAAGCTATGGTTGATGCGATTGGCCTTGTGGTTTTTGTCCACATGGATAGGGAGCTTCATATTGTGTGGAAGAGCCAGCCTTTCAAGCCAATTTCCCTACTTTCAGAGTTTTCCTCAGATTTCTCAGCAGAAACGGGAAGACATATTATTGTCATGGTCTCTTAGTTACTTTTATCTCCTCAGGATGTTGTTCAAGACCATGAAGCTTCTCACTTTCCTTGTCTTCTTCACTCAGGTACCGTCAAATATTCCTATAATATTGATTTCTTTTTATTTTCCTTGTCTCCTTATCTTTTACATAATTATATCTTAACTACTCTAATACACGGGGAGGGGGATCGAACTCAAATGCAAGTAAGCCGGTACTCTTCTTTAACCAACTAGCAGAACTCGCGTCTTTTGTTCAACCAAACAGAAATTTGCTTTAGATATGATGCTTTAATTATATATATCATCATGTAATTTCGTTTGTTTTGTTTTAGGAAGACCAAACTATTCACTTTTCTAGCGTAGAAATAACGCTCTCAGGTTCACAAAAAATGTATATGGGAGGCGAAACTGCCAAAACACATGTTGATTTGGTGCCAAACTCCAAATCATGCCCCATCTTTGCCAAATAATCTACCTTTATGTTGACTATTTTTTGTGTTAAGAAAAAACCATAAACTACCTTTAAATCGGTATTGCTTTTTACAACAAATGGTTGGGGAAAAACCATAAAATGTTTGAGGATCCACCCCTCATTTTTATATATAAAAAATATTGTATATTAATATCTTTTATGATACTTCTACTATTTTTGGGGTTTTCTCTTCAAGTTTACATCTTTCTTAATGTTTTAGATCAATTTTCTAAAAATTTAGTATACGTATTATTATTTTTTACACAAGTTCTTCAAATCTAAGAGTCATTTTCACCCATTTATCTAGATTTGTGACTATTTATTCTCTTATTTTCCATATAATATATTATCAAGTTTCAAATTATTATTATTTTGCCAAATGATCAAGTTTCAATTGAGTTCAATGGATCTTTCAACTAATTTGTAGATTACCAAAAGAAAAAAAGTGTAAAGATTTCATAACATATGTATAACACATAATGTATGATGTTTTGGCCTTTTCGGTTATTTTGGGATGTATTGTGTGTTCGAATTTTTTTATATAAATATTTTGTAAGAGGCCCCCTCACACGTGAAACTCTGGCTCCGCCACTTTTAATCATACTAACCCCATTTCATTTAGCAGAAAAAAGAAATAACCCAAAAACCGTTCCAAGTTACCAACCCTATTTAACAAGTGAATGAAATTAGTACAAGTTAATTAGCATACGACATATGATTGGTGTAAAAGTGACATGAAAAATCAGAGTGATCCAAATTTATGCTAATAGGGGGACTTACGCTAATTAAGATATTACTAGATGGTTGTGCGTATACAAGTTTAACTATTGATAAGTCGTGAGAAGAATCATTATTCGATATTAAATGTGCGAGTAATATCAACAACTAGGAGTAGCATTCAAATAAATCAGACACCAACTTTTTGTCGTAGGAGGATCTTGTGATATAAGAACACTTGTTCATCATATGTCTTTAACCTATGTGTACATTCAAGGGCAAAATCAGGAATTTGTGAGATGGGTTAGCTAAAATTATTAGCTTAAAATCTAAGGATTATTATTATTAGTATTATTATTATTATTATTATTATTATTATTATTTTGTACTTACAATTTCTAAAGTTTTTCTGTAAATAAAAGTATACATTAAATCATATAAACCACGCTAATTGTAAACACAAGAAAAAAAAATGGAATTAGGGTCGTATTATGCACTAAACGGTGAATTTCATTTAGAAAAATGATTATTTTTTGGAGACAAATCAATGAAAAATATTAAATTTGGAGACATGTGACTATTGTTGTTGGCAATGTTGGAAATTGTGTATTTCTATTTATGTTTATTTTAAGATATTGGGCTATATAGGTTTGATTTTTCCCCCAAAAAGAATCCCTCGGCTACAGCCCACCGGAGCCCGCATAGTAGTTCCGTCAGTCTGTACATTTACAGGTGGATACTACTTTCATTAAAGATGTACTTTGAACAAAAATACCCCTTAACAAGCGCTCACAAATATGTCAATTATCATTTTAAAGTATTTTTGTAGCTTCTTAACACGCACTCACACGTGTGCCTAATTAGAATTTTTAAGTGTGTATAAGTAATGTGATGTGAGTGAGTTTTATGTTTTGTTTTTGTTTTTTTGGTTAAATGGTAAGAAATAAAAAGAACACACAAAATTAAAAATTAAAAGAAAGAAATGGGGGAGGGGGTTAACTATACTTGGCGATTTCCATATATCTGTACTTGGTCTTTTTTGTTTTGTAATTTGTTTTATTCTTACTATTTTACCCGCATAGCATCAAAATGTAGCCTTTCCGCAAATTAGTTTTCCAAATATATTTTATGAATTTTTGAAAGTTTCACCGAACTGATCCCCCTCCCCCTCCTCCTTCTCCTCCCCCTATAGTCTCAAGTCACATTTTTATTGTGAATCAGAAAAGAAAAAAATTAATGGATTTCTTCATTAAGAAGTGCTAGGAATGTCAAAGCAAATCTCATAAGTTTTGGATTTCAAATAATATGGCAGTGTAATATTATTTGTTCATGTTTATTTTTTTTTATTTTTTTTAAAAGACCTTTAGAGGGGCGATAGCATACTAAACTCACACTCTACATAGTTGCTAAGACTCGAACCCATCAATTGCTCCAAACCACTACGGTAGTGGGTCATTTGCATATTATTTGCTCATGTTAAGCCACATCATTTGATGATCAAAATTTACAAAAGTTTTTTAATATGTAACTCTAGTTCCTGAAAAGAGATCCTGGGTGGGTAGGTAGGGTGCAACAATTAACCTCCGCAATCTTGTACTCGAGCGAAACAATTGTTACAATGTTACATAATAATTTAAGCAATGCCCTCATTTACAGGTGAATGAGAAGAATGAGAATCTATCCTGGAAAGCTATTGATTACACTGGGCCTGATCCAGAGTTCAACACCAAAACCAAGAAATTCAAAGCATCAACAACAATTGGAAACCAAAGACCCAACAATGAAGAACAAAATGCATGTCCTCACGAAGAAGAGCTGTTTGGACCACTTAACAGAGGCATTATCAATCTGGACAAACGAAAGGATTTAGTTGTGGATGCTCTAAGTACATTTGGAATTCCAGCCTCTGTTCTTCACTCTGAAAAAACTGTAAACTGCTCGTCAAATCCTTCTTTAACCATCCGATGCGATGCGGTAGTGATCGGTTCAGGGTCAGGAGGTGGTGTTGTTGCAGGCGTTCTAGCAAAGGCGGGTTACAAAGTGGTTGTTATAGAGAAAGGAAACTATCATGCCAGGAACAATCTTACACTCCTTGAAGGACCCGCAATGGACCAAATGTACCTATCAGGCGGCTTAATTGCAACTGATGACATGGGAGTTTTTGTTCTTGCTGGCTCTACTGTTGGGGGAGGCTCCGCCATCAACTGGTCTGCTTCGATTCGAACCCCACAGCACGTAATCAAGGAATGGTGCAATGACCATGAGCTAGAGCTGTTCGACAGTAAATTATACCAAGAAGCTCTGGATATTGTCTGTGAAAAAATGGGAGTTCAATCTCAAGTACAAGAAGAAGGGTTTAATAATGAAATTTTAAGAAGAGGGTGCCAAGAATTGGGGTATCCTGTGAATAATATTCCTCGAAACTCGCCACCGAATCATTATTGTGGTTGGTGTTGTTTTGGTTGCAAGGATGGAAGGAAGAGAGGTAGCACGGAGACGTGGCTTGTGGATTTGGTGAATTCTGGTAATGGTGCTATTTTGACTGGATGTGAGGCTATAAAAGTGCTGCACAAGAGAAAGAAAGGAAGAAGAGATCGAAACACAGCTACCGGGGTAGCCTTCAAATTTGAGCATGGAGGGGGTAAAGAAATAGGTTTTGTGGAGTCTATGGTAACTATTGTTGCTTGCGGAGCTCTGTGTACTCCGAAACTGTTGAAGCGAAGCGGATTGAAGAACGTAAATATTGGGGAAAACTTGCATTTGCATCCAGTGGCAATGGCATGGGGCTACTTTCCAGATTCACAAGTGTTTGATGGATGGCCTGAGAGAGAGAAGAAGAGCTACGAAGGAGGGATAATGACAGCAATGTCTACTGTAGTGGCAGAGTTCAACAAGTCTGGATATGGAGCGGTGATACAAACACCGGCATTGCACCCAGGTATGTTCTCGGTTGTGATGCCTTGGGTTTCAGGCAAAGACATAAAACATAGAATGAGCAGGTTCTCTAGGACTGCCCATGTATTTGCATTGGCAAGAGATAAAGGGTCAGGAACTGTGAATGCACCACCAGACTCAATCAGCTATGAAATGGAAGCTCTTGATGAAAACAATCTGAAGATAGGACTAGAGAAGTCACTGAGAATATTGGCCGCGGCCGGTGCTGAAGACATTGGAACCCATCACTTTAAAGGGAAGGGTTTTACATGTGAAGAAGGCGAATTTGGATGAGTTTGAGAGGTTTGTGAAAGAAGAGAGTTCAAGGCCACTAAGAGAGCTTTCATCCGCGATATGTTCAGCACATCAGATGGGAAGCTGCAGGATGGGTGTCGATTCGAAGCAGTCTGTGGTGAACCAGATGGGAGAGACATGGGAGGTGGAGGGACTTTTTGTAGCAGACACAAGTGTCTTCCCAACGGCTTTAGGAGTAAATCCAATGGTCACTGTTCAGGCTATTGCTTACTGCACTTCCCAATCCATTCTTCAAGTACTTAGGAGAAAGAAGGTAGAACATAAAAACTGAGTTGGTGTCCAGACTATTGACGTGAGTTTCTTAATTAATTAAGGAGATTTATTTCCTTGATTAATTAAGGGATTTACTTTCCTATTCTATATAGTTGAAAAATCATTGTATAATTAGGAGATATTATTCTAATTGATTACTGTATCTATTGCTTGTAAAGCACTCATGTAAACTCCTATATATCTCCTTATGGAGAAGAATAAAATTTGACCTAAAATATTCAAACCATATTCATATTTTAGCATGGTATCAAAGCAATCGATCATAGGTTGTCTCTAAACCCTTATCTCAAATTTCTCATATTCAAATCCAAAACCCTAAATCAAATTCCACATATTTTTCCCCAAATTCAAATCCGTCATATCTAAAGTCCTCCAATCCTCCTATCAAAATCCCTAAGCACATACCCTCAAATCTTATACATATACCTCTCCAATCCAATTCCTACATCAAATTCCTCAAATCAAATTCCTCCAATCAAAATTCCTCACATTCTCATATCACATCTTCCTTCCGTTGCGATGTCAGGAGCCCCTACGATTCTCCCCCTTATTGCAGACTCACAGAAGCATGTAGTCAATCCTGCTAACCCAGATACCCGGACTCATGCTTCTATCGCCACCATAAAAGGTTCTACTTTTCATACGTCCTCTCAACAACCCGCATGAATTATCGACTCGGGTGCTACGGATCACATAACATTTTATCCTGGCCAACTTATTAGTCGCAAATTCCATTCCATTGGTGGTGTCTAATGCTAATGGTACCTCTTCCCTTGTGGTTGGGGAGGGCTATCTATCTCTCTCTCATTCCCTACATCTGGATTCTGTATTGCTTCTTCCATCTTTGGACCATAACTTATATCTGTTGCACAACTTACTACTACTACAAAAAAAAAAAAAAAAAAAAAAAAAAAAAAAAAAAAAAAAAAAAAAAAAAAAAAAAAAAAAAAAAAAAAAAAAAAAAAAAAAAAAAAAAAAAAAAAAAAAAAAAAAAAAAAAAAAAAAAAAAAAAAAAAAAAAAAAAAAAAAAAAAAAAAAAAAAAAAAAAAAAAAAAAAAAAAAAAAAAAAAAAAAAAAAAAAAAAAAAAAAAAAAAAAAAAAAAAAAAAAAAAAAAAAAAAAAAAAAAAAAAAAAAAAAAAAAAAAAAAAAAAAAAAAAAAAAAAAAAAAAAAAAAAAAAAAAAAAAAAAAAAAAAAAAAAAAAAAAAAAAAAAAAAAAAAAAAAAAAAAAAAAAAAAAAAAAAAAAAAAAAAAAAAAAAAAAAAAAAAAAAAAAAAGGTGGGGGTGAGGGGGATCTATAAGAACGTACGAGAGGAAGACCGGCTGCAAAGCAAGGACGAAAGGACGACCTTAACCGCAAAGTGAAATAACGGTCCAAAGGAGGGGAGGAAGGATTGGAAAGGGCACAAACGGATAAAAAAAGCCCCCGGCCCCCCTCCAACCGTCCACGCCCCCGAGAGCCGCAAGGCACATGTGGTGTGAATCAAAACGAGGAAAAGGAAGGGAGTTCGCAGGAAGGAGGCGAGGGAAAGGGCAAGAAAGCCAGAAACGGTAGGAGGGCAAATAAGCAATGGCAGGGATAAGTGGGCACGGAGGATTGGGGGGGTAGGGTTTTGGGAAACAAGGACCTGAGCGAGGCAGAGCATACGACCGCACACGCTACATAAGTGGGGCTAAACTCGAACCCAGCAAGGGCGCCAAACCACGACGGGAGATAAGCGGGCATTATGCAGATGGAGGAAAGGCGCAATGGGAAGCCACAGCATAGATCAAAGGGACAAAAGTTTTTGATTGTACTCTAGGGCCGAAAAAGAGCTCCTGGGGGGTAGATAAAGAGTCAGGGGGCAAAACCATTACCCGCCTCAACCGCCAATCTTCGACTCGAGCGAAACAATTGTTCAAATGTACATAATAATTAAGCAATGCCCCCTTTTAGATGAATGGAGAAATAAATCTATCCTGGAAAGCTATTGATTACACCTGGGCCTGATCCCTTCAACACCAAACCACAGAAATTCAGGCATCCAATCACCAACATTGGAAACCAAAGAACCCAACCAATGAAGAACAAAATGCATGTCCTCACGAAGAAGAGCTGTTTGGACCACTTAACAGAGGCATTATCAATCTGGGACAAACGAAAGGATTAGTTGTGGATGCTCTAAGTACATTTGGAATTCCAGCCTCTGTTCTTTCACTCTGAAAAAACTGTAAACTGCTCGTCAAATCCTTCTTTAACATCCATGCGATGCGGTAGTGATCGGTTCAGGGTCAGGAGGTGGTGTTGTTGCAGGCGTTCTAGCAAAGGCGGGTTACAAAGTGGTTGTTATAGAGAAAGGAAACTATCATGCCCAGGAACAATCTTACACTCCTTGAAGGACCCGCAATGGACCAAATGTACCTATCAGGCGGCTTAATTGCAACTGATGACATGGGAGTTTTTGTTCTTGCTGGCTCTACTGTTGGGGGAGGCTCCGCCATCAACTGGTCTGCTTCGATTCGAACCCCCCAGCACGTAATCAAGGAATGGTGCAATGACCATGAGCTAGAGCTGTTCGACAGTAAATTATACCAAGAAGCTCTGGATATTGTCTGTGAAAAAATGGGAGTTCAATCTCAAGTACAAGAAGAAGGGTTTAATAATGAAATTTTAAAGAGAGGGTGCCAAGAATTGGGGTATCCTGTGAATAATATTCCTCGAAACTCGCCACCGAATCATTATTGTGGTTGGTGTTGTTTTGGTTGCAAGGATGGGAAGGAAGAGAGGTAGCACGGAGACGTGGCTTGTGGATTTGGTGAATTCTGGTAATGGTGCTATTTTGACTGGATGTGAGGCTATAAAAGTGCTGCACAAGAGAAAGAAAGGAAGAAGAGATCGAAACACAGCTACCGGGGTAGCCTTCAAATTTGAGCATGGAGGGGGTAAAGAAATAGGTTTTGTGGAGTCTATGGTAACTATTGTTGCTTGCGGAGCTCTGTGTACTCCGAAACTGTTGAAGCGAAGCGGATTGAAGAACGTAAATATTGGGGAAAACTGCATTTGCATCCAGTGGCAATGGCATGGGGCTACTTTCCAGATTCACAAGTGTTTGATGGATGGCCTGAGAGAGAGAAGAAGAGCTACGAAGGAGGGATAATGACAGCAATGTCTACTGTAGTGGCAGAGTTCAACAAGTCTGGATATGGAGCGGTGATACAAACACCGGCATTGCACCCAGGTATGTTCTCGGTTGTGATGCCTTGGGTTTCAGGCAAAGACATAAAACATAGAATGAGCAGGTTCTCTAGGACTGCCCATGTATTTGCATTGGCAAGAGATAAAGGGTCAGGAACTGTGAATGCACCACCAGACTCAATCAGCTATGAAATGGAAGCTCTTGATGAAAACAATCTGAAGATAGGACTAGAGAAGTCACTGAGAATATTGGCCGCGGCCGGTGCTGAAGACATTGGAACCCATCACTTTAAAGGGAAGGGTTTACATGTGAAGAAGGCGAATTTGGATGAGTTTGAGAGGTTTGTGAAAGAAGAGAGTTCAAGGCCACTAAGAGAGCTTTCATCCGCGATATGTTCAGCACATCAGATGGGAAGCTGCAGGATGGGTGTCGATTCGAAGCAGTCTGTGGTGAACCAGATGGGAGAGACATGGGAGGTGGAGGGACTTTTTGTAGCAGACACAAGTGTCTTCCCAACGGCTTTAGGAGTAAATCCAATGGTCACTGTTCAGGCTATTGCTTACTGCACTTCCCAATCCATTCTTCAAGTACTTAGGAGAAAGAAGGTAGAACATAAAAACTGAGTTGGTGTCCAGACTATTGACGTGAGTTTCTTAATTAATTAAGGAGATTTATTTCCTTGATTAATTAAGGGATTTACTTTCCTATTCTATATAGTTGAAAAATCATTGTATAATTAGGAGATATTATTCTAATTGATTACTGTATCTATTTGCTTGTAAAGCACTCATGTAAACTCCTATATATCTCCTTATGGAGAAGAATAAAATTTGACCTAAAATATTCAAACCATATTCATATTTTTAGCATGGTATCAAAGCAATCGATCATAGGTTGTCTCTAAACCCTTATCTCAAATTTCTCATATTCAAATCCAAAACCCTAAATCAAATTCCACATATTTTTCCCCAAATTCAAATCCGTCATATCTAAAGTCCTCCAATCCTCCTATCAAAATCCCTAAGCACATACCCTCAAATCTTATACATATACCTCTCCAATCCAATTCCTACATCAAATTCCTCAAATCAAATTCCTCCAATCAAAATTCCTCACATTCTCATATCACATCTTCCTTCCGTTGCGATGTCAGGAGCCCCTACGATTCTCCCCCTTATTGCAGACTCACAGAAGCATGTAGTCAATCCTGCTAACCCAGATACCCGGACTCATGCTTCTATCGCCACCATAAAAGGTTCTACTTTTCATACGTCCTCTCAACAACCCGCATGAATTATCGACTCGGGTGCTACGGATCACATAACATTTTATCCTGGCCAACTTATTAGTCGCAAATTCCATTCCATTGGTGGTGTCTAATGCTAATGGTACCTCTTCCCTTGTGGTTGGGGAGGGCTATCTATCTCTCTCTCATTCCCTACATCTGGATTCTGTATTGCTTCTTCCATCTTTGGACCATAACTTATTATCTGTTGCACAACTTACTACTACTTTGGGGTGTACTGGGACATTTTGGCCGAATCATTGTATTTTTCAGGACATCCTCACAAGAAAGACAATTGATTGTGGTACTCGATGGGGCAAACTCTACTACTTGGACTGGGCACCGGATAGTGAGATCAAGGTTGGTCAAGCTTTCACAACTAGTGGAACTCGTTCTAAGGGAGAGAGAGAGAGAGAGAAAGTTTGGTTATGGCATAAACGTCTTGAGCATGCCTCGCTCGGTTATGTTAAGAAGTTGTTTCCATCATTATTTTCCAGTCTTGATGTTTCTAGCTTCTAGTGTGATACGTGTGAATTGGCTAAAAGCCATCGTGTCCCATTCCCATTAAGTTCAAATAAGAGTTTGGTTTTGTTTTCTCTTGTTCATTCTGATGTTTGGGGACATGCTAAAATTGTCATTCCGGCAGGAGCTCGATGGTTTGTCGCGTTTATAGATGATTGCACATGCATGACTTGGGTTTCCCTTCTCAATACTAAAGAGGAAGTCAGCTCCAAGTTTCAACCATTTTATCAAATGATGAAGACTCAGTTTCATGCCAGAATTTAGGTTCTTCGTTCTGACAATTGCGGGGAATTTCTCAACCATGATCTTAACCAGTTCTTACAAGATCATGACATCATACATCAACGCTCATGCCCTTACACTCCTGAACAGAATGGGGTGGCTGAAAGAAAGAACAGGCACTTATTGGAAGTCGTTCGTGCCTCTTTCTTTGGTGACAATATGCCACGATCTTTTTGGGGCAAAGCCGTCGTCTCTGTAGCATATCTCATCAATCAAATTCCCTCTAATATCCTAAATTTCCAAACACCACTTCAAACACTTCACCACCATATCCAAACACCTCCCACCCCAAATCTGGAACCCCAAATTTTTGGTTGTGTTGTATTTGTCCACTTACATGATCACCAACAAAGCAAATTGGATCCCCGAACCGAAAAGTATGTTTTCATTGGCTATGCACCTCATCATAAAGGATACCAGTGTTATCATCCTCCTAGTTAGAAAGTCTTTACCTCTATAGATGTTGTGTTTCGGGAACATGAATTATATTTTTCAACAGCCCAAGAGGAGAATCAAGAATCCACCACTGCTCAAATTCTCAATTTTTTTCCCCATGACATCACTCTGTATCAAAACGACCGGTTGCCAAAGGAAAGCGATTGGTCGCCCCAATTAGTTCTTCAAATACAAAGAACCTGCTTCAAAATGACAGGTCGCAGTAGACAACGATCGGTTGCCAGAGGAAAACGATCAGTTGTGCCGATGCTGTCAAAATCAGGAGGAGAAAATTGAACTGTTTTATGAGATTTTGCCCGCTTCAGCTCCAGTACCACACCAATCACCTGCTGAGGAAGTCATTCAGGTGACATCTTTTCCTGAAACTGATAACACTAATGAAATATCCCATGATGATTTGATTTCAGAAGGCACAGAGCCTACATATAAGCTTCCAGAAAGAAAGAACCGTAGCAAACCTCGAGTACAATATGAAGCAGATCTTAAAGCCAAAGGGAAATACCCCATCAATAATTATATATCTTTCAATAGATTATCAGAGTCACGTGTGCACTATGTGAAGCAGTTGCCTGACATATTTGTCCCAAACAGTGTAACTAAAGCACTAGAAGACCTAAAATGGAAAGAAGCCATGAATGAAGAAATGCGAGCTCTCCAAAAGAATGTCACATGGGAACTCGTGCCCTTACCTCATTGAAAGAAGACAGTAAGATGCAGGTGGATTTATACTGTGAAACTCAAAGCAGATAGATCCATTGGAAGATATAAAGCTAGATTGGTAATGAAAGAGTATACACAGAGATATGAGATAGACTACCAGGAGACCTTTGCCCCAGTAGCCAAGATTAACACTATTAGGGTCTTATTGTTTCTAACAGCAAATCTCGATTGGCCACTACATCAGTTTGATGTCAAAAATGCATTCTTACATAGAGACTTGGAAGAAGAAGTATATATGGACTTACCCCCAGGATGTAATTCAACTCCTGACAAGAATAATTAAATTTGCAAGCTAAAAAAGTCATTATATTGGTTCAAGCAATCTCCAAGGGCATGGTTTGGTAGATTTACTAAATCTATGAAGAATTTTGGACATACACATAGTAATTCATATCACACCCTATTCTTGAAGCATGATAAAGGAAAACTTATTGCATTGATTGTTTATGTAGATGACATAATCGTAACTGGAAACGACGCAGAAGAGTAATTGAAGTTGCAAAAGTATTTGTCTCTGGAATTTGAGATGAAAGATTTAGGTGATCTGAAGTACTTTCTCGTAATCGAAATAGCAAGGTCAAAAACTGGTATATTTCTATCTCAAAGGAAGTATGTAATGGATTTATTCACTGAAATTGGAATGCTTGGATGTAAGTCTGCTGACACACCCATTGAGATGAATCACAAGTTGTGTGAAGATATGGACCAGAAACCAACCAATAAGGAACAATACCAACGCCTTGTTAGAAAGTTGATATACCTGGCATACACAAGACCATATATTGCATATGTTGTGAGTGTGGTTAGTTAGTTTATGCATTCACTCAGTGTTTCTTATAGGAATGCAGTTGATCGGATCTTAAGATACTTAAAGTCAGCCCTTGGGAAATAATTAATGTTCTCAAAAAATGGAGATCTTGAAGTTGTTGGATATACAGATGCTGATTGGGCTGGTTCCATTATAGATAGATGCTTTACTTCTGGTTACTTTACATTTGTGGGAGGTAACCTAGTCACTTGGCGGAGTAAAAAATAAAATGTGGTTTCTCAAATCAAAATTCCTAAATCAAATTCCTCAAATCAAATTCCTGAAATTCTCAAATTCTCAAATCAATTCCTTAATCACAAACACACACACTCATATCAAATCTTCATTCCTCTGCAATGTTAGGCCCCCTTACGGTTCTCTCCCTCTTTGCAGACTCACAGAAGCATGCAGTCAATCCTTTTAAACAGGCTACACGGGCTCATGCTTCTACAACCACCACCAAGGGTTCTTCTTTCCATACGTCCTCTCCAAAGCACACATGTATTATTGACTCGAGTGCTACAGATCACATGACATTTGGTCATGGACAACTTATTACTCACAAACCATCCACGTAGTCAGTTATGTCTAATGCTAATGGTACTCCCGCCCTTGTGGTTGGGGAAGGCTCTCTATCTCTCTCTAACTTCATTAATCTTGATTTTGTATTGGTTGTTCCATCATTGGACCATAACTTGTCTGTTGCACAACTTAATACTACTTTGGGGTGTAATGTAAAATTTTGGCCAAATTATTGTGTTTTTCAAGACATCCTCACCAGGAATATGATTGGTTGTGGTACTAGGCGGGCAAACTCTACTACATGGGCACCAAATAGTGAGACCAAGGTTGGTCAAGCTTTCACAACAAGTAGAGCTAGTTTTGAGAGGCAAAGAAACAAAGTTTGGTTATGGCATAAACTTCTTGGGTATGCCTTGTTCTGTTATCCGAAGAAGTTGTGTTCATCATTATTTTTCTGTTTTGATGTTTCCAGCTTCTAGTGTGATACGTGTGAATTGACTAAGAGTCATCATGTTCCGTTCCCATTAAGTACCAACAAAAAAAAAGTTTGGTTCCATTCTCCCTTATTCATTATAATGTTTGGGGGTCTGCTCAAATCGTTACTCTGGCTGGAGCTCTATGGTTTGTCATTTTCATTATTGAATGCACCCAAATGACCTGTGGTTTCCTTCTCAAAACCAAAAGGGAAGTCAGTTTAACGTTTTAACAATTCCATAAAATGTTGGTGGCTTAATTTCATGCCCAAATCGTGGTTCTCCGTTCTGACAATGGCATAGAATTTCTTAATCATGACCTCAACAAATTCTTACAGGATCATGACATCATACATCAACGCTCGTGTCCATATACTCCCCCAACAAAATGGGGTGAATAAGCGAAAGAACCAACATTTACTGGAAGTCGTTCGTGCCTCTCTATTTGGTGCCAACATGCCTTGGTTTTGAGGCGAGGTCGTCCTCTTTGTAGCTTACCTTATCAATAGGATTCCCTTCAAGTATCTTGAATTTCCAAACTCCTCTTCAAACACTTCACCACCATATCCAAATACCTCCCACCCCAAACCTTGAACCACAAATTTTCGGCTATGTTGTATTCATACACTTATATGATCACCAACTAAACAAATTGGATCCCCTCGCAGAAAAGTATGTTTTCATTGGCTATGCCCCTTATCATAAAGGTTACCGATGTTATCACCCTCTAAGTCATAAGATATATACCTCCATGGATATAGTATTCCGGGAACACGACATATATTTTTTAAAAGCATAGGAGGAGAATATAGAGTCAAACACCCTGACTTTTTTGAATTTTTTCACAAGGAAAGAGACTCAGCATCAAAGCGACCAGTTGCCTCCCTTTATCCATGCACATGAGGATTCTCTACCTTCAAACAACCGGTCGTCCTCCCAAAACAATCGGTCGCCTCTCTCAAATTTTTCACACCTTGCGTCTGTGTCACAAAACGACCGATCGCCAAGACCACGCAACCGGTCGCCTCCTTGTTTCCAAAATCACGAGGAGATAGTTGATATTTTTTCTGAGATTTTGCTCGCTTCGAACCCGTCTTCAGCTCTAAAACTGTATCAATCGCCTGCTGAGGATGTCATTCAGGTAACATCTCGCCCTGAAACTGATAACATTTATGAAATATATCATGATGATTTGATTTCAGAAAGTATACAGGATACAGATACCCCTATCTACCAACTTCCAGAAAGGAAGAACAGTGGTAAACCTTGAGTACAATACGAAATAGATCTTAAAGCCAAAGGAAAATACCCCATCAATAATTATATATCTCTAAGCAGATTATCAAAGTTACATGTACACCTTGTGAAGCAATTGATCGATATATCTATCCCAAATAGTGTGAATGAAACTCTAGAAGACTCAAAATGGAAAGAAGCTAAGAATGAAGAAATGAGAGCTCTCTAAAAGAATGCCACATGGGAGCTCGTCCCATTACCTCACGAAAAAAAAGACGGTGGGATGCAGTTGGACCTATACTATAAAACTCAAAGCAGATGGATCCATTGAAATATATAAAGCCAGATTGGTGGCAAAGGGGTATACACAGAGGTATGGGGTGGACTACCAGGCAACCTTTGCCCTAACAGCCAAGATCAACACTATCAAAATTCTACTGTCTGTAGCAGCAAATCAAGATTGGCCACTGCATCAGTTTGATGTTAAAAATGTCTTCTTACATGGAGACTTGGAAGAAGAGTTATACATAGATTTACCACCAAGATATAATTTAGCACATGACAAGAAAAATCAAGTTTGCAAGCTCAGAAAGTCATTATATGGGTTAAAAAAATCTCTCATGCCATGGTTTGGAAGATTTACTAAGTCCATGAAGAATTTTAGATACACTCAAAGTAATTTAGGGCACACCCTGTTCTTGAAACGTAATGGAGGAAAAATCAATGTATTAATTGTTTTTGTGGATGACATGGTCATAACTGGGAACGACACATTAGAGAAACAGAAGCTACAAAAGTATTTATCTCATGAATTTGAGATGAAGGATTTAGGTACTCTAAAATACTTCCTCATAATTGAAGTAGCAAAGTCAAAAACTGGTATTGTTTTGTCTCAAAGGAAGTATGTGATGGATTTACTCACTGAGACAGGAATGCTAGGATGTAAGCCTGCTGACACACCTATTGAGATGAATCACAAGTTATGCGAAGACATGGACCGTTTGCCAACCAATAAGAAACAATACCAATGCCTTGTTAGAATGTTGATATATTTGGCACACACAAGACCATATATTGCATATGTTATGAGTATGGTTAGTCAGTTCATGCATTCACCCAATGTTTATCATAGGAATGCAGTTGATCAGATCTTAAGATACTTAAACTCAGCCCTTGCAAAATGATTAATGTTCTCAAAGAATGGAAATCTTTAAGTTGTTGGATATATAGATGCTGATTGGGCTGGTTCCATTGCAAATAGAAGTTTTACATCGGGTTACTTTACCTTCATTGGAAGTAACCTAGTCACTTTGCAAAGTAAAAAATAAAATGTAGATTGCTCAGTTTAGTGCAAAAGTAGAGTATCGAAGTATGACTCAAGGAGTTTGTAAATTATTGTGGATCAGAGGACTCTTGACATAATTGAGTTTTAAACCAGAGAAGCCAATGCAGTTACATTATGATAACGAGTCAACGATCGCTATAGCTCATAATCCAATTCAACATGATCAAACAAAACATGTTGAGGTGGATAGACATTTCATCAAAGAAAAATTTCAGAACAAGATCATCTGCCTACCTTTTGTAAAATTAGAAGATCAGTTAGCAGATATCTCGACAAAAACTATATGTGGATGAGTGTTTTAGAACTCACTTACCAAGTTGGGCATTGGTAACGTGTATGCACTAACTTGAGGAGAAGTGTTGACGTGAGTTAACCTACTAAATCAAGGAGATTTATTTCGTAAGTTAATTAGGTGATTTACTTCCTTGTTTCATATAATTGACACATCCTTGTATAATTAAGAGATATTCTCCTCATTAATTATTGTATCTGTTTTCTTGTAAAACACCCTTGTAAACTTTTATATATCTCCTTATGGAGAAAAATACAATTAACCTAATGTATTCAAACCATATTCATATTTTGGCAAAGTCAAACTTTTTTTCTCTTACCACTAGAAGAAAAGATAGTTATTATGATATAGCAATTGATAATTGAGCAGTTTTTCAAGAATTAACGGTATTGAAATTAATATAAAACGCATTTTGTTGTAAATCACGTGTCACATCATCTATTTTAATTTAGTTAATTTTTATTTTATTTTAGGGTTTTCAATATATTTTATTAAGTAATTCTACAACCAAACCCTCCATTGTCACACCAGTTTACAGACGCATTATCTCATCGTTGTAGTATCGGAATGGCGGATGTACTGTCATCGTCACATGACTATAAAACTGTCTTGGCTTTTCTATTTTGATGGTTTCCCACTTCCTAGCAATCTCAATGAAGCCACAAGGTGTTGGATTCTGATCAGAGACTCAACATCACCCACTAGAAAATCGACTCTTCAGACCCAACGCTATTGCAAGTTCTAGATGAAGCCAAAATGAATTGGAAATATAAATGCTAAAACCCAAAAGATTTTTAGGAAAATCGACAATATAAATGAAACCATCCTTAAGAAATTGGCCATTGGTTTTGTGGATGTTTGGTAGAACCTTAGATCTGAAAAAGGAAACTTGCAGAAAACAGAGAAAAAGAGAAAAGGAAATTCAATTGTATTTCATTCATGCCTCCCAAGCAAATGAAAAATCGAGTTTATAAAATTCCTGATCGTGGCCAGCCGGCTACAATCTAGCAAAGGTTCTAACAAAACTCCTACAAATGCGTAAAAGACAAAGTCGTTATTTTGCGTGAGAATAGCTAGGCGATACTAAGGCAATACTAAGGTGATATACAGTATGGGTAAATGGGTTTATTCTGGAGATAAAAAACAGCTTGATACCTAACGCGTGTTGAAAGCCTAATCTTCCTCCATGCATATGCTAAAGTACATAACCATATTAGTAAAAGTGGATTCAGAATATTTGGGAAGATTAGAAACTAATTAGACAAATAGCCGTTTCTTGAGCATACTACAAATTCAATGCCATCTCATGCTTCCTACACAATGTGAAAAACAATTGTCAAACAAAACAAGGAAAAGAAAAGAGTAGTAAAACAAACAGCGGCTGTGAAATGCACTTGTTTAAGCATTTATACTTTACCAAAATCCCTTTTGTTGTGATGTTGTTTTAATTTTTCTAACAATAGAAAATCGGATCGAAAGTGAGGTATCAAGTTTGATACAATCTAATAGAAATATCCCTAAGGAAGTCACTGAAGATCTCACAGCCTCCTTTTGACTCTCTCGTACACTATTAACATCTTGCAAAAACTGAAAATCCACAAAATGAAAATCATCACAATCTTAGCTAAAAACACCAAATGAACACATTGTACTCTATCGTTAAACCCAAGAAAAAGGCTACATAATGCGTAACCACTATTTCTTAATATGGGTTCACAAAATTTAAGCAAGAGAAAAGTACTGTAAATCTGTTTGAAACTGAAAATAAAAGAAAACAAATCATCCCTGCATATAAGAATAAGAAAACAAACAGTGCAACAAAAATATGGCAAAATATTTAACCCCATAAACTCAAACTCAATTTAGTTTACCAAGATAGACGTCTTCTTGAAGAATAGAACCAAGCACTTGATTCAAAATATCCCTTAAGAAGAATTTAAATATGCTACTTGTTTGGGCCTAAATTAAACGCGCCCAGCCCAACATGGAGAAAGCCCAGAATAAAAGCTACAGGACTCAAGCAGTTTGAACTTTTGCAAAACGGAAGGCAAAGCCCAAAATCCAGATAGGCCAACCCAAGACTCATCAAAATGTGGCAAGCAAACTTGGGCCCCAAAAGAAAAGCAATTACCTTTGGGCTCTAGACAAATCAGAATGGGCCCAACATGATTAAAAGAAAAAAAGGAAGAGACCCGTTTTCAGAACCCACGTGACTACCAAAATGGAAAAGTCAACAAACTCAACTGAGATGATTGAGAATTAATTAAAGCATGTCAGTGGCAAAAGGACTTCTCTGAATTTCTACCACCAGAAGATCAAAATCCTTCTTATATATTCAAAAATATTGATTTCACTCCAAGAAGGCACTATTCTTGCAAGAGATACGCATGCCATATTTTCAAAAAAAGAGATAAGTAGGAGGACAGAGAGTTGTTCATCTAGGAAATCAAACTAACTATCACGGTTGAAATCTCACAAGGGGCAGTTAAAGTGGGAAAAGGAATTAGGCTTCTTTTAAAAAAAAACAGGGAAGTGATCTCAAAGATTGATTGATAAAAGCCTATCTAACATAATTAAATTAAATCCTTCCCTCTCTTGTATCTCTTTGCAGATCTTTGAAAGGATTTGCCGCCTATTATTAAAAGAATCACCCTACTCTAGAAAAACATTTCTTATAAATACAAGAAGGAGTGAACAGGGCAGAGGACAATCAATCCTACATTCAAATCATCAACCAAACAAACAACTCAAAATCAACCAGAAGCTCACTTGAATTCCAAGTGAAACCAGCTTTAGATCAGAATTCCCAAGGTTCAGACTTAGAAAATAAGTCATTTAAAACAAGATTTCTCTCGTTACAAATTTGGTTCAGCAAAAAACCAAGACAGGTAGAGCTTGAGCTTTTCCCAAACATGAAAACCTCAACAAATTTCATAGTACAGTCTCTAGCCCACTGAAGTCCTCAAGAACAGCCACTTCTGCCCTCTCAGACTGAAGAAGCTGCAGTTCTGCCCACTCAAAAGCCTCACAAAAGCTTGAAGTATATTAAAGCTCTGCCAAAATTGACCTTTGGTATCGACTTACAGCTGAAGCTTAGCAGTTGATGTTGTTAACAGTTCAGTCCAGCCCAGATATTTCCAGTCCAGCTCGGATCAGAGCCTCCCATCCAGACAGAAATGGAGTTCCAACTGTCTTTTTATCTTTCTAGCATGGGTATTTATTTTTATAGTTTTGTAAAAGGCAGTTCTGCCTAAGACAGCTTAAATTCCATCAACCATTCTAGCCAGAACAACATCTTTTTACTGAGATAAATTGTTAAAGTCCTCACCAGTCTGAGGCAAGAAAAGAACTTACTTGAGAGATATTCCTCACCCAAATTCACAATCGTTTGTTTATAGAAATCAGTGACTTGGGGCGCAAGTTATCTATTCTAGAATGAGTCTGCTAGAATCTTCATTGCTAGCAGTGGCACGCTCATACACCAAAGAAAGCTGACTTGTTGACCAGTCAATAGTTTTCAAGGCAGTTGGGAACTTTGCCATTCCATCTCAGGAGAAATCACAAAATGGGGTGAACACTACTACGTTATTTACACGTCATTGATAAACAAATCATTAAGTTTTTTTAAAAACAGTAATTGGAAGAGCAAAAAGCACAGAGTCAAACAAATTTAAGACAAATATTCCACTTAACAGCAAATTTTTTTGTCTTTAGGACATGAATTGGTATTCAAAATGTGTCGTACATGGAAATTATAATTCAATCACCACAGCTTTATTGGTTTTGATATATGCAAGAATTGTGATAAAAGAGTTTTCTATAAAAAAAAAATATATATGAAATGAAGACACACCCCACCCCCCCCCCAAAAGGATGAAATGCCAAACTTTCATTCAAATCAAGAAACACACATAAAACATTTCGGACGAAAATTTAAATCCTTTGAACATAATATTCAGGGAGAATAAGGGAACAAAAAGTTTGGAATGAAAACAGGAAAAAGAAAAAAAAAACATTTTCAACCTTATCTGGCCTGCAAAGAACCTCCTTATACTCACAGCCTCTTCTTAACTCTCTCGTACATTGTTAACATCTTGCAATAACTGAAAATCCACAAAAAGAAAATAAATGAAAATCACCACAATCTCAGCTAAAAACACCAAATGAACACATTGTAGTCCATCATTAAACCCAAGAAAAAGGTCAAATCATGACCAGATAAATCCTGCATATTTTCCTTATGACAGAATAGTAGGAAACAAAACAATCGCTTTACCTATGGAAGCATTTTGCGGAAGGCATTGAAATGAATGGGATCTGGATCACACGTAGTTCTATCAATATCAAATAGTACTGCTTCAAGTGGAGCAAGTCTAGAGAGTGAACTTTTGCTGGTTCCAGAGACATCATAAAGAAAAAAAAAAAAAAAAAAAAAAAAAAAAAAAAAAAAAGACAAGAGACATTAGTACAACAAAAGAATGAAACCAAAAAAATACAAATGTAACACTTGTGCCACCTGTTTCTCTGTAATTGATCTTTCACTTTTTTATTACTCAATTCGTACAAAACATGAGATGATACTAAACATAAATATACTTTTGAATAGTTGCGATAATTTATTTTACTACTTTGGGGAAAATATTCAGGGAGAATAAGTGGAAAAAAAAACCATATAATTATGTTGAATTGATACCCATTGAATCCCTAATTGCCACAAGCATTTCCAAGCCTAAATCCCTAATTGCATTTTCATGAGTCAATTGACTAGGTAAAATCGACAATTGCCATACTATATGTGTCAAACCGAATTAAAATGTACCGCCAGCCTTTCTATGGCCAAACTGAACAACAATCAACTCCAATCGGTATCAGAAGATGAACCACCCAAAGAGGAAGGAAGCATGAGAAAGCCCACTCTCAAATTGATTTGGGAAGTTGAGAAAATCTGACCAAATAACAACAGAAAGAGAGAGGATCTGATCATCTCAGCAAAGAGGAAGTAAGGAAGCACGTGACCGGCTACTCCTTGTGGCCAGTTACTAGAACTTTTTTTATTCAATATTAAAAAATCAAATTGATTTGGTAACATAATCACTGAAGAAATGCACCCGCAACAAAGAAACCCGACCCGAATTAACCCGTGATATTTGACGAGGGATATTTCCGTAAAACACCCCAAACTAAAACCTAGAAGAATCAGAAGAAGCAAATACAAAGAAAGTCCTCCTCTTAATTCGATCTCTCTCTCTCTCTCTCTCTCTCTCTCCACTCTTCAACAAAACCTCAAAGAAGCGAAAAACCCTCTCGCCCGTCACACAAACCATGGGAACTCCGGAAACCTCTCGAGAACCGTGCCCCGACCGCATCCTCGACGACATCGGCGGGGCCTTCGGCATGGGGGCTGTCGGCGGCTCCGCCTTCCACTTCCTCAAGGGCGTCTACAACTCCCCTTCTGGCACTCGGCTCATCGGCGGCTCGCAAGCCGTGCGTATGAACGCGCCGCGAGTGGGTGGTAGCTTCGCCGTCTGGGGTGGCCTCTTCTCCGCCTTCGACTGCACCATGGTCTATGTCCGCCAGAAGGAGGACCCCTGGAACTCTATCATCGCCGGCGCCGCCACCGGTGGCTTCCTCCAGATGCGACAGGGCCTCGGCGCCTCGGCTCGATCGGCTGCCTTCGGTGGGGTCCTCCTGGCTCTGATCGAAGGAGCTGGGATCATGCTTAATAAGTTCATGAGCCAGCAGCAGCAGATGCCCATTGTGATTGAAGAGCCGGCGAGCGTGGCCGGTTTGCCTGGGCTTCCTCCTATGGGCCGTGCTCCGGGTCAGCCGGGCTCGGAGCCAGCAACGTCGATGAGCAGCAGCGGCGCTGAGGCTAGTTCGGGAGGGTGGCTTGGAGGGTGGTTCGGGAAGAGCAAGGAGCCTGAGGCTAAGAGTAGCGGAAGCGAGACAAAGATTTTGGAGAGCTTCGATGCCCCGCCCTTGCCCAGCTTCGAGTACAACAACAAATAGGCCTTATGATCAATGTTGTTTGAATTTTTACTTGGACCTGACCCTGTTCAAGTTGGGAACACCAAAAACTGTGATGAATTTTGGTAGTTGTAGTTGATATAGTTTAAATCATAAAGTCATTTTACATATTTGTTTCTCCCTTAGCTGTTTATTGTTATTTTCTTATCTAGTTGTCAATGTAGACAAGTGTTGCTTAAGTAGAGTGAAATGTGATGGTTAATTATATCAATTATCATATATGCTTAGATTGTGTTCTTGCCAAAGTTCAAATAACCTAAACTAACATGCCTCATATTGGATCCTGAAACTGATAAACTATGATTATGATAATGATTTTTTCTTTGTGGTACTGAAACTTAAGATTTTTTAGGTTACAAACTGAACATGATAGCGTATTAGAAAAAGAAAGAAAAGGTGAACATAATAGCTTACATTAGTGAGAGATTGGGAAAGTGTGGTATGTGCTGTAATTTTGCAAAAGTGGCAAGTAGAAGATGCTTCGGTTTGCAGATACAAATGATAAGCGCTGTCTCAACTCAATGAGTAACTGATACTCCCTAACTTTGCTGCTTATGCCTCTAAACATTGTATTTGCTTATCTAGAACAAATATTTGCTTGAGTTTATTCTTGTTGGCATTCATATGCTAGACTTCTGATAAAGCTGTTTAACACTACATATCTTTGAACCAAGATTTAGAAGCTCATCTTTTAATTGTTTTCAAATCAGTGTCTGGAACAGGGGTATGACCCATGTTCCATAGGTCGAATTTCATTGAATTACAGATTTCTAGTACCAATCCTCTGAATATCAGTTATTCTAGCTACAGCAAAAGGGTTGCTAAAATATTTAATGAATTTGTTAAAACTAATACTTCTGTTGCAGGGTGGTGCTCCATTAGCTCTTGTTGTCTTTCCAGGTAACTGTTTTTAAGCAGTTTGCAAGTAAATTAACTGCTCTTAATGATAGGTTGATTGGTATTAAAGTAGGTGATGTCTGATAAGGCTCAAGAATTGTGGGTTATCTATATTCCCATCCATTTGGTTTGTAATGCATGTCCCCTCTCCCCCCTCTCTCCCCCTGATTATTTGTGTTGTTTCTTGTACTATTTATTTGCATAATGGTGTATTTAAAGGCTAGATGTTATTGAGATTGGGTATCTTGTTCCTTTTTTTTGCAATAAGAGGTTTCTTGTTCTTACAATTGCAAAGATACTACAAAGCCATTAAAAGACGACAGTTCTGTTGCAAAAGACCAGCTGGTCTTTTTTTACCCAGAAGATTTCTTGAGAAAAAAATATGGTTTTTCGAATATGCAATGGATTAAAGTTTGCTTGATGGTTTATTGAGCTGCATTCTGATTTCAGCGGTTGGCAACTGGTTCTCTGCCAACTTACCTCATTGGAGCTGTGAGTAACTTACCTCATTGGAGCTGTAGTACTTAGAGAAGAATGGAAGTCTACTCTGAGTGTGATCCTTGATCTAAGAGAAGGGGATGTCCTTTTAATGTTGTCATGTGTTGTGACTTGTGAGGATACTTTTGCTTTTCTTTATGTACTTGATTACTTCTAAATAAAGTAGTTTATTGCATGCTGATGTAGTGCAGCATTAGTATTTATTTTGTGCAACTTAATCTTTTATTACAAAAAAATTCGATTATTGTGGCAAAAGAATAAACTAATGGTATTGAAGAGACCCTGAGGCAGTTACCCCGACATCTGGTTGTTGAAAGAGCTGTAGTAAGTCTGCAACTATGATTACTCTTGGATAACTTCTTCTTTGTAGGGTCTTGCTAATGCTTCTCTAAACTATCTTGAAAGATTAAGTTCTATATATTTAAATCCTTTATTTGTTATTGTAAGTAATCCTTTCCCTGTCTTTGCTGAATTGATGCAGTCTTTTCTGTCATTTTCTCATGCATCTGGGATGATGATGGTTTTATCTTTTATGAATTATGATAATTCCTGCTTTGGATTACTTCTTGTGGTTCATAACCGATCATGAACTTTTTGTTCCTTGTTCTCGTACAGCTGCAGGGTCTGAAGAAATGTCCTAGGAACTACTTGCAGGCTTTGAAAGCCATTCCTAGAACTTTGAGGATGATGTAAGTGGTTTTCCAGTTGATTGAGTGGTTTTTTACAAACTTCATAACCAGTTTGGTTTGGAGGAGAGAATAAATGGAGGCTATATTAAGGTTGACACTTACGCATGATTTCTTGTAATACATCTCTTTTCCATCTTGGTTCTCACTTTCTCAAATGCATTATATACCTTAATAACCATATGATTTGGGAAAGGGGGAAGCGTGGTGCAAGTCAATGTGCGTTGTACCTAGTGAACAAAATGGAGTGTTTGCAGAATGAATTCTAAGTGATCCATAATCAAACTACAAATAAGTTCAAAAAAATATTCGAGGACATTGTATTTTGACGAGCCGGCATGGGTCTCCCTCGATGGTTGGCGCATCAATGCCAACAAGGCCAGCTCGGCTCGAGCCATTAAAGGTGGCTTGAACCCCGAGCAAGCCGTGGCTTGGGAGCTGTTTAGCCCCATCCAGAGGTTCCTCTTTGTTGTCATGATAGTTGTCGTGATAAGTGTCGCTGTTGCAGAGTCAAAGAAAAACTGCCACATTACGAAGCTAAAGAAATCTGTGGAACTTAGGGTTTGTGATAATTGAACTTTTTGCCACTTGATCTTGTCTCAAGAATTTCAGACCTCCAATTGTAAAGTTTTTATTGTATCCCTTCACTTATTGTGTAAATAGCATGCGCATATGACAATCATATTTATTTTGACAAGGGAAGGGGAATTGAACTCGGTCAGGTTCAAGGAAGCGAACACACTACCTTCATTAATTGGCTGTTTGCACCGACTATAATCATCGATGTATTCATATAAACTTTTGATTCCTTTGGTATGATGCTGGTAACATGGTGGAATTGTGCCTTTGGAATTTTCATGATTTTGAAGTTGCCTCGATTTTGATTTTTTGTTTTTTTGTTTTTTTGTTTTTTTTTGTTTGTTTTTGGCAACGTCTGGTGTCTTTATTTTTGTCCGCAGCCTTTTCTTTTTGGTGAAATTATTTGCTGCCTTTGACAAAAGGTTTTTGAATAAGAAAAAAAAAGCCTATATGGCTCACCATCAACTACGACACATTAGGGAAATATTATTTTCTCAATTTTATTTGTATTCTCTTTCAAGAATGGAGCAATATGTTAACTCAATTCTATTATTCTTGTGTTTACAACTAATATATAAATAAAACTTAATTATTTATATTTTTGCACTTTGTATTTGTGAAGCTTAGTCGATTGATGGTAAGAAATTTTTAGGGATTCACACATAGGTAAGATTTTTTTATAAAAAATAAATCATTAGATTTTAAGTTAAAATTTTTAATTAGCTCACCCATTGAAAAATTCCTGATTCCATCCTTGGATGGCAGCGACCTCCATGGAAGTGGTCGATTGTCCTTTCCTCCCCATGGCCTGAAACAAGCTCTAGATACCAAATGGTAGAACCTTAGATCCGAAAATTGAAACTTGCAGAAAACAGGGAAAAGGAAATTCGATTGTATTTCATTCATGCCTCCCAAGCAAATGAAAAATAGAGTTTATACACTTCCTGATCATGGCCAGCTAGCAATGAGGAAAGGACAAAGTCGTTATTTTGTGTGAGAATAGCTAGTCGATACTAAGAGCATCTCCACCCACAAGGGCTAAGTCTAAGGCAAGGGCAAGCAAGGGCTGCCACTATTCACGTGAATAGTGTCAGCCTTGCCATTTGCAACTCCACCCATGAGGGCAAGTCAAAGGCAAATACTATTCATTGTACTTCATTTCCTATTTTTTTATACTTTAAACCATTAATTTTGATAATCTTTTGTAATTAAATTTTTGGATAAAAAAATATTGGATGTAGAAGAATTGAATGAAGATTTGGTGTGGAAAGTGAATAATGTGAGTGGAGACTAAAAAATATTGGATAAAGAAGAATTGTATGAAGATTTGGTGTGGAAAGGAAATAAAATGGTTAGGTATTTTATAGGGAAAAAATACAGAATTTTTTGGTATTTTTTTAAAAAAATTTCAGAATTTTTTCGAATTTTTTTGCAATTTTTTAAGCCAAAAAAACGAGGACCGTCGGATTTCTGGAAAAAAAAAACGATCGGAGTGTCCCTGTCGCGACACGTGGCACAACAGTAAAAAAAATTTGAATTTCCGCGCGCTGACGTCAGCGCTGACGTCACAAACTCGAGCTGAAGCCCAGGCAGAACTTGCCCTTGGGCCTGCCTGGGCTGGTGGGACCCAGGGCTTGCCCGGGCTGCAGTTGCTGCGCTGGAGTGTGAAACTGGGCTTTGGGGGGCCTTTTGCCCGGGTTATTGCATTGCGCTGGATATGCTCTAAGGTGATAGTAAGTACGCTGGAAAGAGTATTAGGCCCAAATGGGATTGGGTCCTAACAATACTAGAGGAGAATTTAAAGCTTTTCTTGGCAGTATTTCGTGAGATCCCTTTTTTTTTATTTTATGAACCAGGGGGGAAGAACCCCGCACAAACAACATTCCATGAGATCTCTTGTCTACTTTGATTGAAAGTCTGCATATTTTATGGATGTGGAGTCAATCATGGGGGAAGGTTACACAGTAATTAGAGTAGGCCTTGTTTACTTAGAGTTCTCAATTTGATGATGGTCCGGCCCGAGTGAGTGGCTGCAGCAGCGGTCCCAAAGTTGAAAGTTGGGTGGGACGGAGACGATAGTATTAGTACCTAGATGTGAAAGTTAAGTTTGAAACTTTTTCAATGGTCAAATCTTAAAACTTGGATAATTAAATTATGACGTGGAAAATGACATGGATTGCCATGTCAGATGCCACGTCAGTTGGTATCATTAAGTTGGTATATAAGTTTGTGCCCGTAGCATTATTGGTTTTAAATATTGATGCCCCACAACACCAAATTTAGAGGCTATTGAATACAAGGTGAAGACTAATGTAGGAGATTTAGAGACTGAAGTAAGGAAGGCTTGGACTTTCCATTCATCTAATTGTCTTTTGATAAATTTATAAAAAAACTCATTTCTTGTATTGCATTTATATATAAACCCTAAAATCTATAAATTGAAGAAAGAAAAACTCAAAATGGGCTAGATGTAATTTTTTTAAAAATTTGAATAATGTGTGAAATATCATTAGAATCTTTGCAATATGATTTTTTAAAAAAGAAAAACAATTGATAGCATTGTTGTAATTTTTTTGTGTTTCAAGGGTTGTATGGTGTATTTAGCCGATTTGAAAAGTCAAATGGGTGTTTTTCCTAAGATTTTCATATTTTGAACCCTATTTATGAGCTTACATGTGAAAAGCCCTTGCATTTTTCACAGATCTGCCACACACTAAATGCCTATAAAATGGCGCTCGCATACCTTGGAGGAGGAACACGTCCATAGAAGAAAAAAGCTGAGAATTAGAAGGCTTCCGTTAGGATAGATAAATCACAAGAGTGAATAAAATTCCACTCATATATTTTGTTGTGCTCTCACATTCTGTCTATTTTTGCTAAGTCGAGGTATTGCAACGAAGTTTGGGCCTTTAGGCCTCCATACTCTCTCACGTTCATCTTGAATAAGGATGGCCTTCTGTGTCCTCCAACAAATGTTTAGTCTGGCGCCGTCTAGGAGGCCTATGGACGCAGTGGATACTAGTGCTGCTGTGGCTTTCTTCTTCCCCTTCTAGTTTGTCTATTGTATTGCATTTTGGTTTTGTTGTCTCCCATGTGGCTTGGACTTCCTTGTTTTTTGCTTCGTATTTTTTTTTTGGGTTTGGCTTCTTGGCTGCTCCCAAATCATACGTTAGTTGGAATGTCCCAATCATATCATACAATATTAAAAACAAACCAATTAATGAATTAGTTGGTTAGTTTTATGTCTATTGATTTCCCGCTGATATATTCAATCCTGGTTGTAACAAATTTTAATCAAGATTGTTTCTCAGTTAACTCAGTTCAACCAGAACTCGTCGCACAATCATCAGAATTCAACAAAACTGTTTCTAGTGATTCCTTTACATATTTTTTCTATTTAATTTTTTTAATTGTGTTATTGTAGTTCTTTGCAGTATTGATTATATTTGTTATTCAGACTCAAGTTTTAATTCAGTATTGATTAACTCAATTGCTTTGCCATTCTTCCGGATAGATTGTAAAGTCCTTATTTTATTCAAGGGAAAAAATCATTTTAAGTCAGTTATCTACTTAATTAATTAACAGCAGCTTCACTAGATTAGAAGCAAGGCCGGCCCTAGTGTGGTGCAACTGGTGCCACTATACAGGGTTCCCGTATTGTTTTACTATACAGGGTTCCCGAATTGTTTTACATGTATATTGTGTATATGATATATATGTGAGGGCATGCACATTGTTAAACAGTTGTGGCCCTGGTGGAATTGTTTTGTTGCACACTGAACTTCATTGTTGTCATGGGTTCAAGTCTCACTTCTGTGCTCCAATGATATCTTTTTTACTTCTTTTTTTGAATTTACCAAAATTTCTCTATAAAATTATACAATGAGCTTTTAACCTTAGACCCCACACTATACCACTAGATTATACATGTTTTCTTGGAAGATTGTTGTGCTCATTACTTTAACATGTTATAATTGATGATGAATTTTTAAAAAATATATATTGTTTTGTTGCATTATGTCATGGAAATTTTATATATATATATATATATATATATAAAATAGTATTTTCATGTTAAATCATGTGATGGCCTCAATTTAAGTTTTGCACATGACCCTCGAAATCTCAAGGCCAACCTTGAGCAGAAGAAGTTAGGTCTAAATTTTCACCAGTTCATTTATTCTATTTAGTCTCTTTGTATTGCTAAAGTAATAGGGAAGTGTGCGAGATGAGATTTAGAGCCAAAATCATCCCTATAATTGGGATGTGTGTGTATATGTAAATTTTGTGGGTATATGTAAGAGAAACTTATAACATGGGAATGCGTGGTGTGCCTTAATGACATTGAATGCTCCTCACCCACCTCCTTAACTAAAGTTTCCATTATTAAGTAGCTAGCTGGTTCCGGTGGAAGATCATATTTAGAACCTCAAGCTCCAGAAAGGGGAAAGCAAAGCAACAAACTGAAGATGAATATGGCAGAAAAGAAAGAGAAATTTGGAAGTTCTGTAGCAGCTGCAGGCAGTTCAATGGAGGTCATAGGGATGGGGCCGAGAGACGAAGACGGAAGCAGCAGCAGTAGCAGTAGCAGTAGCAGTTTCCGCACAGCTGAGACTTTGCTGCGTCTGCTGCCAATTGGTCCTTGTGTGGCGGCTCTTGTGGTGATGCTTCATGACTCCCAGACTAATGACTTTGGCTCTATTTCCTACTCCCACGTCGGAGCTTTCAGGTTTGTTATTATATCTTCATGCTTTCCATTTCATCACAAGGGTTGTGGTTACAAAAATCTCAAAATTTGTAAAGCTTTAAGTCCACACTGTGACAAAGTTACAGATGATCGGCCGAATAGTTAGTAGAATGAAATTAGTGATTCTAAACTGAAGATTATACTGGATTTAGATTTTAGTACTCTATATGACTAAGCCAAAACATATACATATATATACATCATGGAATAACAAATATATGCAAATTTTTTTTATACCAAAAACCCATATATTCTCCCACACTATTATTATTATTATTAAAAATTTCTTTCACACATATAATTCATTTATTTTTCATTGTGATGTTTTTTTTTTTTTTTTTTTAAGTTACCAAGATTGTAGTGGGAGAAAAGAAAAAAGTATGAGAATTTTAGGGTGCGTTTGGTATCCTATTCAAATAGGAAACTCAAAAACTTTGATTTTTCTTAAAAATACAAGGAGTTCCTAAATCTATTTTTAAGATTCAAAAACTTGTATGGTATGCAACTTTAAAACTGTTTTCAAATCTTAAAAATTTGAGAACTTGTGGGTTGTTAGAAAAAAAAACTGAAAAAACAGGTTTTTTTTTATTTTTATAATTTATAAATTATAATCGGGGTATTTTTTATTTGTTATTGAGTTTGAGTTTTTAAAAATAGGACTACCAAACAGGTTTTCTTTGTTTTGGACTCAAATTATGTTTTTTAATTTAAAAAATTGCATAACCTTATTTTGTTTTATTTTTAAGAATTACCGAGTTCCGCCGCACTTCAAAAAAATTATCATACACTTGTTCTTTATCTATTTATTAAAAAACAAAAAAAAAGGCCAAAAAGAAGAATGCATGATAATTATTTTTGAGTGTCAGTAACAACTCCCTCATATTTAATGTAAATTAGAGCATAATTAGAATTTTAGGAAAAATCTGTTGGAGTGTGTAATTTAATAATTAATTGTATAGATAGTATATATGGATGATGCGTGCAATGCAGGTACTTGGTGAATGCCAACGGCATCTGTGCCGGATACTCCCTTCTCACTGCTATCATTGCAGCCAAGCCTCGTTCCCCCACCAAGTCCCAAGCCTGGACTTTCTTCTTCCTAGATCATGTAATTAATTCCTTGCATTCCAATTTCAACTTTTTTTATTACTATTTTGGCCATAAGTCACTTCTGGTTCTCGTTGTTTGTCGGGTTTTCCACTTTTGTTCATATGGTTTCAATTCTAACAATTTGACCCCTGTAGTTTGATATTCTCACAACTTGGAGGACACATCCAATTATGTGACCGAATAACTACGTGGTTGACGTGGGGTATTTTGGACAAAAATTGTAATGCGTCCTTAAATTGCGAGGGTATTAAAACTACATGGATCAAAATTGACAAAATTGAAAATACGAGACTAAAGTGGTCAAACAGGCAAAAAAAAACATGGATAAAAAATGATTTCTCTTTCCATTTTTGTTGTTGATAAAAATAGAATATGTCATTTTTTTTATTTTCTTTTTTTGTTTAGGTGCTGACGTACCTAATTCTGGGTGCTGGAGCTGTGTCAATGGAGGTGCTGTACTTGGCATACAAGGGCGATTCAGCCGTGATATGGAGCGCAGCTTGTGGGTCTTTTGGGGGATTCTGTCACAAAGCCACAGCTTCTGTCGCCATTACATTTGTGGTGGTGGCTTGCTATGCACTCATTTCTCTCATTTCCTCCTACAAGCTATTCAGCAAGTATGATGCTCCTCACCCTGTGGCCAACCCCATCAAAGGCATTCCCACTGCCACCTTCCATGCTTGATCACCACCGCCACTCTCTCCTTCGTTACCATCAATTTCTGTTTTTCTTTTTTCTTTTCCTGAATGAATGCATCAAATAAAATGAAAATAAAATAAAATGTTACAATCTGAGCTTGAGCAATTGATGGTTCTCAATGGCCACACACTGAGCAAAAAATCTGCCTATATGTTACAAAGTAGACGTGTATTTGTCTTCTCCATTAAACAAAGTGAAAGAGCTTTGAACCTTGCTGAAATGTGATCTGCTCTATATGAGCAGCAGAAAATAACAAGCGTTAAAGTTATGGTGGCTTTCACTGTTAAAAGTCCACTTGCCAATAATTTATTTTCCTTTCATGTACCTACCAACCAAACAGAAAATAAGTTATGGTGGCTTTGAGTAATGAGTTGTTGGTTTTAATTTGGTTTCCAATGAAGTATTAATAGTTGTCGTTTACTTCCAATAACTATTATAGCAAACAACAGAAGCAGGAGTCCGATTAAGCACAAGCAAACATACACCACATAAAACGACCACACAAGGTACAAGTTACTACAAACGGCAGATAAATGAACAGAAACGGACGCTGCCATAGATGGGCAAAGGACGTCAAAAGTTCATCTGGTTGTACCAGCGGGCCCAATAGGAGTCCACTATCTGTTCAAACCATGCACCGATACTGCCCCGACCTTAACCACTTAGGTCCAATTCTTGGGTTGGGTTAGGTAGAATTGGCCTATAAGTGTGGGATTTTAGCTTAAAAGGTCTCGGTGCAATTAGGAGTGGACTACCTATATTTGAATAGTAGATTGTATTCTCCAATGTAGAATTTACACAACATGACTTGTATCGAGCCACCTACACCAACACACCTAGCATTCCTCAAGTGCTATGATTCAGAGGGCATGGAAGACCATCCTTGTCCAAGATCCCAATCAAGGAGGATGGGGTCGGTTGACCCAAATAGAGGGGCTCATCCTCGACAATGCTAACTTGGTTAAGTGATCCGCTGCCAATTTGCAGTCCTAGGGACCAATGACCAATTACATTCCCGAAAGTTAGAGCAGGAATTTCTGATATTGCATAAACTTGGATAGAGCTGCCACTTGCCCTGCAGTATTGAACAATTAAGACAAGATATGGCCTCCTTGGAATCAGATTCAATGACTACTCTGGTGTGCCCCTGCTACACATCAAAGTTACAGCCTTCCAAAATAGCCAGTCGCCACTTCAATGGTGGAATCTGCAGCAATAGAGCAAGCAAGGCCCGCAGCCAAAACACCTATAGTATCACATAATACCACTCCAATACATGCCTTGTGGTGCTCAAATTTCATAGAAGCATCCACATAAATTTTTACGATGCCATTTTCAAGAAGGGACATAAAGGAGCTTGGGCCTCAAGTGAGGCAGAAAAACTTGTATGAAACGAGGATAACACTGTTTTGCTATCTCTAACCAATCACAGACTGCCACATGGAAAAGTTATCACACATGGCATACCGTGATTAACCGAGGATAGCAAAATAGTGTTATCCCCGTTTCATAGAAGTGTTTCTCCAAGTGGGGGCGGGGGGGTATGCAACTTGTTTTCTTCGAGGCTTGTGCAGTAAGGTAGTTCCAACAATCTGCATGTGATTCACGAATTACAACCGTTAGGGCTAGCAGGTGCGATTTGATTGCTACCTTGCACTGCATTTTCCATATGTTCCAACAAATGTAACCAATACTAGTCATGATATTGTCCTTGTCTCCCGAATTGACATTCAAACTCGTAGAGAGGGATAAAAGCCATATGTCCAGCATAGTGATAGTTCTTTTATCAATCCGCATATTAAGATGGCTGCGAAACCAGATAGGCTCCACCTAGTGACATCGAAGCAGCATATGTTCAATGAATTTGCTTTCATCACCACACATGGGGCACATTGGAGAAATCCCAATCTTTCTTCGGAAAAGATTAGCCTTTGTAGCAAGACAGCTCCTCAAGGTTCTCCAGAGAAAGTTTAGAATTTTTGGGGGAGCTTTTAAATTCTAAACTAGCTTCCATACCTCCTTATCACATGACTACCATTCGAAACCTGCGAGAGAGCCTTGTTCTTTATCAAATCTCTCCCTTGCAATAGGCTTGCCCACACCCAAGAAGCACGTCCCCCCTTTTTAGCTTAAAAAAATAGTCTTAGGAAAATATTGAAGCTTTAAGAGTTTGAGCCTAGTGGCAGACGCACTAAGGGACAAGAAGGGTTGCTCAACCCCTTGGATGACAAAAAAAAAAGGGTTGTGGAGGTCTCAGGCGACCCCTTGGCTAGCAGCTGCGTGACCCCAAATGTGCACACACAACCTACTCGACGAAAGTCCCCAAAGGCCAAAGCCTTGCGCAGCGCAGTGCCCAACTGCTATGCGCGCAAGGTTCCTTTTTCTTTTTTTTTTAAAACGACGTCGTTTTGGTCCAAGCGCATTCAATTTTTTTTAATGACCTGACCTCAAAACTATGTCATTTTCAACCTAGAAAGAAAAAAAAAAAAAAAAAAAAAAAAAAGCACAACAGCATCTCCCCTCTTTACCCAACTATGAAGCCACCCTAACCCTTACCCCAATTCCTTTCGCCCAAAAAAAAACCCTCCAATTCCTCTCTCTATTTGCCTCCTCTGTTAATTCTTGGGAAAGAACTCATCAACTCCTTGCAAGACCAAGTCCTTTTCTAACCCTTCTACTTTTCGAGTTTTTTTGCTTTCATTTTATTGCTTTGCTTTCTCTTTTCTAATCCTTCTTTTTCATGCAGATCGAAAAATAATCTTTCCTTTTTTGTTCGTTTTATATGACAAAAAATGGTGATTTGTTTTTATGGATAAAATTTCAGATAATTTATGTCAAGTGCAATTAAATCATTTATGTTCCCTCCTTTTTACACACACTACATAGATGTTAGGACTCGAACCCAAAACCTTTCATGGGGGAACAATTGTTTTAAACCACTACACTACGGGGTCCTTTACCAATATTTGGATTGTCTACTTTCTTAGCAATTAATGTCAATATAAGAGTGTTATTTCTGTCCCAAATTTGTTTGAGAACTTTTACATTATGATCCTTTGGAGTAAAAATCCTGGATCCGCCACTGTTTGTGCCCACTTCTCAACCACTCATGAGAGAAGTTGTAGCTTCCACCTGTCAACTTTGGCAAGAATCTGGTCTTCTTATGGAGGATAATGCATTTCTCTTGGCTCTCCTCCGAACTGTTGGCAAACCAAAGTATCTTCCAAGATCCTCGACTTTAGGCATACCAAAAATTTTACACAAGCTCCCACGCAGTTGCATAGGCGTATGGGGACTGAAAAAGAGGGTGGATTTGTATTAGTCTATCCCTATGTATTTGCTATGCAAATGTTGTATGGCTCAAAGCCTCGGAAGTGAAGGGATGAGGAGAGGTAGTATAGGATAAGTGAGAAATTGCATAAGAGAGATGTCAGAGGAGAGAAATTCATACAAATTCTTAGTTTTATTTGTTATTTCAAATTCTAAAATTGACGCATATCAAAGTCTTTATGGATTTGCAAATGGGGTCTAGCCCAGTGGAAAATGGCCTCAACTTGCATACCAGTGGTCTCAAGTTCATACTCCCATGACACGTTGGTTAGTAGTGTGTGTGTGAGAAACTCACATCCCCTATTTAGATTATCACTTGTATTATTATTATTATTATTATTATTATTATTTATGTTCTTTTTAAGTCTCAATGAATTTCCTTCATATCTAAATCAGCTCTAAAAATTGGGCCCAAACATTTAAATTTGGGTTCTCAAATCCAAATCCACCTAAACAAACGAGCCATAGAGTTTTTAGACAACCCAAATGAAGCATGTGGAGCACTTACGCCTGAAAGACAAAGGGAAGGGGCATCTCTTTCAATTATAAATTGTTTCTTTTCTTCGGAAAATTATAAATTGTTTCTTAAATTAGTTTTCAAAATCCACGGTTTCATAGAATAAATCCTGAACATATTACAATATCTCACTTTCTCTCACCTACCCGCCAGCCATCCTTCCTTTATGGCATCCACAAATCTTTCCCTTGAAGGTTAAACGAATAAAATTGAAATCAAAAGTTGCACCTCTCACTCTTATGATAGAACACCAAAGAATCCTCAAACGGTGGAAACCGTAGTGAATCAATGCTTCTAATTACAAATTCTACTTTATCCAAATCAAGTGCGGTTCTAAAACAACGGTCCCCATCCCATACCATACTAGCGTGAGAGAGACACCAAATATTTCTTATTTTTACTTGGAATAATGTAAATAATAATAATAATACAAAAAAGTATTTGGTAATTAGTAAAAGGAAAGGCCAGGTATTCTTAACGTATGGGAAGAGAGATTGAACTCGAGTGTAAAAGAAGGACGCACTGCTTTATCCAAATGACCTAACCTACGTGACTACATCTACCAAAACAATGACTTATTTTTAGAGTCATCGCAAGTCTAAAGCCGCGTTAAATCCGTTCTCTATTTTCTTCGTATGATTCTTCAAATCCCCGATGAGTTGCGCATCTCATTAGTGAAGCCGTTGACTAGCACCAATTTTAAAATAGATATTTAGGTGCTTAGTCTGATCCAAAGCCTGGCACAATATTCCAAAACTGTCTAATACGTAAACCGAATGGTATCTCTCTCCACCTCCAAAGCAATGGAAGAATTGTTTGGGAGAAGAAAGTCTCAACAACAACTAGAGAGGAAGAAGACTGGTACCTACCTACTGTCTACACCTAAACCCAAAAGCCCACCATCACCGCCACCAAATATTATATTTTCAATACTTTGAGTAAAATCCAAGACCCCTCCTCCTCCTCCTTCTCTTCCTCTGTTTATAATTTCAAGCTTCTCTCAATAAGCTCTCAGCATCCTTCTCAATTCTCATGGAGAAACACCAATATGAGTTGGTGCTAATTCTTTTTGTAGTTGCCTCCCTCGGCCTTGTCTCCATCATATCATGCATAGCCGCAGAGATTAAGAAAACGAAGGTACATACATACATACATAAACACACTTTTGATCTTAATAATAATAATTACTAGTTCAATTTTTTTATTAATTGTGGTATTTGATTTGTAGGAGGAGGAGCTGAGGGTGGTTGGAAGACTCTGTCATTTGCCAGAAAGTCAGGCATTTGGGTTTGGAGTTGCAGCCTTGATATGTTTGTTTGCAGCTCAGATGGTGGGGAATTTGATAGTTTGCACTTATTTTTGTTCAAGAGAGAGAAAGAAGAAGGGTGGTAGTGATTTCAGTATCAGTTCCAAAGCAAAAACACCAACGATTTGGATGGCTCTTGTGTGCATCTCTTGGTAGGTTTTCAATCTCCTCCTCAATATCTATCCTTTTGGTTTACGGTTGACGAGTTCCTACCATATACGCAATATAAGAAAATAGCTGCCTGCTACAATTTTTGTTTCTATTTCTCCTCTTGATCCTTCATGATTGAAATTTCAGAAATTGAGATAAAATAAACTATCCAACCCCAGATAAGGCCATAACCAGTTCCACCTGTTTTCAGACATTTCTCCATGTGGGTCACCTTTACTTGGAAACTAGAGTGGGTTTCGGGAGACCACACATTTCTTAGCTTAATTGCTTTAGTACCCCTTCAAACTATAGTTAAATTTCACATTGCCAAATTCCTAGTGACTCACCTTGCACGCTTGACTGATGTTTTGTATCTCACTTTACTTTTCACCGTCAAGTCTGCAAACACTAACATGTGACATATATTTTGGTACAACAATGGGTCCCACTAATGTCACATCAATATTTTTAATAGAATTTTTGACATACTTAACTGTGAAAGGTAAAATGAGAAGCAAAACATCGATAAATGGTACAAATTGGGTCATTTTAAATTTCGAGAGGCAATGTGAGATTTAACCATAATTTCAAGATACATTGAAGCAATTAAGCCTATATTTCTTCTTCAAACCCCAAAAAATTGAAGAAAAAAAAATAGTTCCTTAGAAAATGGACAGATCAGCTCTCAGCTGGAAGTGTCTCAATTTAAGAAACATTAATAAGACATAAGAACGGGAAAACGCGGATTGAGATAATGAATTTTGGAAATGGGCCATTGTTGCAGGACCAGCTTTGTAATGGCAGTCACATTGCTGAGCGCAGCAACTAGCATGAGCAGAGACCAACCCTACGGACAAGGATGGCTGGATGGCCAATGCTACTTAGTCAAACAAGGAATATATATTGGCTCAGGAACTCTGGTTCTAATTGCAATTGGTTCCACGCTCGGCTTAATCATCATCACAACCATGAGGAAGACCCAAGTTGATGAAGGTTCTAAAGTGAAAGAGCAAAGCAAGTTGAACACAAAGTCAAAGACTACTTTTGGGGTAGAGAACAACCAATTCCCCTCCCCACTACATACGTGAGTTAGGCCAGTTGGTCAGGGCAATGTGCTCACCCCTTGCACCCGACTTCAATCACCCTTCCCGTACATTAGAATAGTTTAAACTATCACTTTGTCAAACAAAATACAACAGGACAGGACACCAATCTACTAAATTGAAAATGTATACTATAGCCCCAAACTCCAACTTCCAAAGGATGCACATTTTAATTTTTATTAATACACAAAAGGGCATGGTTTGTTATGAATTTCTATAAAGTCTACTCTTTGGTTTGCAATACCTTCAATATGACCCAAAAGAAAAAAAGGTTGCCAAAACATGAAAATGTCAGACCTTAAAACGCACCCTAAGAATGTTTAGTAACAATATCCATTGTATCCATTGTTTGTTACCTGACCAAAAAAATAATACTTGACAAAAGAAATACTTTTCAAAATGATCTTTTCATTCGGTGGATTGAAACGAGCAACCACCTTGGAACCCAACCCACTAAAGAAAAGCACTATTTACTTACAACCTCATCTGCCTGACTCCACTGCGTACAATTAACAATTCTACTAGAAAGGGATCTTCAACCAAAAAGGACAAATAATGACACAAAGAAAGAGAGGAAATGATTTTATTTATGTTTTTTTAAAGAAAAGGGGGGTAATTATTCCTATTAATTAAATGAAACATATGCAGTTTATTATTAAATATATTATTTAGATGTGTGATTCTCTCTTGCAAAGACATTCTAGAGAGAGAGAGAGAGAGAGAGAGAGAGCAGAAGTAAAAACTACACCAGCATTTGATTTCTATTTCTACTGATTGTATAATGGACAATATTTGCATTAAACAAGAGATGCAAAGGCCAGTTCATGGGCACTAAAACGGCATGAACCAGCCGAATCCTCTAACAAACGTGAAGATCTCAAAATGTCCACAACATTTACCTTTGAGATTCAGTCCTCAATATCTAGAATGAGGTAAAAAGAAACCATAGACAAGCAATCATGGACCTTGAGTGAACATTGAAACACAAATTGACATTAGAAGGGCATGTTACCACCACGTCCCCTCCCGCCGTAGCCATATCCCCTTCCCCATTGATATGGACCCCGGTAATTACCACCACGTCCAGCACCATAACCACCATAGCCAAGATTATATCTCTGCTGGAAATTTCCAAATGTCTGGAAAAGAAATAATGACACAAAATTACTAAATCACCCAACTATGACTCACTATCACTTTGTGTAATAGTAATTCAATAATAAAAAAAAAAAAAAAAAAAAAAAAAAAAAACTAACTGGCAAACCTCAGTATCCTGCCTCATTCTCTCAGAAAACCTATGTCCATTTCTTCCTCCACGGTTGAGCGAATTACATGAAATTGTGTCAAAGAACTCATCCTTGTTATATGCAGGCTACATGAAACAAACAAAAAATAATCAATAATCAATAGTTCACAATTTGCACTGGACTGCTAAACAATCCATGTCCTACCTTTGTGTTGGGTATCAGGCCAGAACCTTCTTTGTCATCCACACATTGACCAGTTCCACTATTATCCACTCTCTCTGTTTGGTCACTTTGTTTTTCCTTTCCTAGGTAACCCCATACTTCATCTTTCTTAAACTTCTCATTCATGGCTAGAAAATCAAACTCCTCAGTATACGGTGTAGCTGAGTATGGAGACTGCATTATATAACAGAACAATGAAATAGATTACCAGAATGCCAAGTCATGATATTAAATCCACGAAACATCTAGAAATTAAAACAAATAGAACTATGCTTCTGCTAACATTAATATTTTCAGAAAGATACGAAAGGAAAATAAGATGCGTATTTCCCCTAAGCACAACAAGAATGCTCAATATACCGACAGCAAAATGGCATGCAAACTGGATCATAAAACCATACTTCCATGTGGGAATGCACTTCTAAATGTACACCACACTTCCACTACTTTTAAGTGCATGCATCCATATCATGTAGAGAAATGCGTGCTTCAGAATGCAATTACACACTTCTAAGATTTCTGGTCAAGCTTCCTTCCAAAATCACTTGTTTCTGCCTCGATCCATTCCACACATGGACACAACCACACCGGCAAGCAAAAAGCACAACAAACGTGGAGGTCATTGTGTGATAATCCCAGCCCCAAAATATATATTATACATAGCAAAAAAACTATTAGAGTTAAATATATGATCAGTTACACTGTATACAGGGCCTAAATACAAGCATTTGATCATCCAAAAAACATCATTACCTTAGTTCTAATAACATTCCTCTTTTTAGTAAGTCCCAATTGCTAAAATAAAACTGTTTCTGTATACTTTTCATCTTGGCGGGAAGTTTCCTTGAAAGTCTAAAGATTTTCTTATTTTTCAGTAGTCAAGATGAACCTAGATATATGGGATTCTGATAGTTCATAAACACACAAAGCACATTAAAATGCAGAAATATGAGGTCTAAGTCTAGTATGCAGAAGTTCACAGAGCCTTCATTATGGAAGCACTAACATATTTGGATTATAAAACACAATCAATTGCACTAATATCTGAAAATAGACAAGGATTAAAAAAGAGAAATGTAGTTATCAGAAAGTATAAGCAGATAATGCAACTTTCGAATCTCACCTGTTGGGAAGTGGGAAACGGCAATAATGGTGCTCGAGTTACAGGAGGAATCAAGGATGAAGATCCAGAAGAGGTTGGCATCAAAATGCCCATATCCTTTCCATCAAGGTAGAGTTTCTGTGAGGAAGAAAGTATGTGTGATCTAGATGGTGCCAATTGATCAGGAGTTAACAACGATGGGGGTGGTGTTAGCAAGGGACCTCGATCAGAACCCACAGAAAATGATCCAGGATAAGGCATGGACTGTGCAGGTAGAACAGGTACTGAATCAGAAACAGCTTTAGTTGCAATTTGTGTTTCAATTATGTCTAAGTCTTGGCAGGGTGAAGGCAACGAAGACATAGTTAGTCGGCTAGCATTTAGAGGTATAGAATGAGATGGTAAAGATGCCTGTGCAGCCATGGATGTAGGCATATCAAGACCAGAAGAAAAATGTACAGAAGGGACAGAGGTAGAAAAGTTTGGATGTACAAAAGTTGGTGTAGAAGATGAAATTATAGGGTTCAGAGATTCTGATGTAGTGGCCAAGCCAACACCTATAGATGCGTGATTTTCAGGAGCCTTATTCTGCATTGTCAAGGGCTGTGACACAGCAGATGGAGATTGCAAAGGAATATGGTGATGTGGATGATCAGACATATCAAGTGATGCCCCATTGTATCCTTGCCAATACATCGGAAAAGAAAGTGCTGGAGGACTAGCAATATGAGTATAAGAGGAATGTCCTGATGTACCAACTTCAATTGCAGAATTAATAAAAGGCAATACACCAATATGGCCTCTACTAGTCAAAGCAGGGGTATCCTGCCAATGAGTTGTTTCTACCAAATTTTTACCTCCAACTAATGCTGATGGTGGAGAACTTACAGGCACACCAGCATAGTGTGACTGCAAAGAAAATAAATAAATATATCAATCATATTTTCCAATTTACTCATAGAGATTATAAATGCATATGTCATTTAATGTGCGTGTGTGTCTGTATGTGCGCAAAGGTATGTAACCAAATGTCAATACCTGTATAATAGCAGGATCATCATGAGTTTGTTCTTCTCTTTGAGCAGGCGGATGAGACTTAACTTGCAAATCCTATAATTGTGAAAATAGGCCCATTTTCAGTACATGAATAGTCTATCATATTTAGCATCCCAATATGTTCTTTTGTTTAATTGTCTAGGCACGTTTTCATCAAAATGAGATCTCGTTCATCAACATCAGTCATAAAATCATATCATGCTCTAAGAGAAATCTAGGAAAAAAAATGCATGTATGTGTTCTGGGAGAGAGAGAGAGAGAGAGAGAGAGAGAGAGAGAGAGAGAGAGCTAGTCGAAGTATCACCTTCCATCCCACATAAAAACTAATAAAACAGAGGGCAGAATAGGGAAAAGGACAATAATATACTCAAGGTGATGCTGATAAAGATGTCAGTTTGAACATCTCAGGGGGTCTCATGCCTCAAAAGGTCACGGAAACCACAAGTAGGATAAAAAGGCCGGATACATGCAATAATTTTCATACAACATAGAGAAGAAAACCAATTAAAAGACCAGTCACACAGAACATTGCATGCTCAAGTTTCTCAGTTTCCCCATCATATAATTAAAGAAATTGTTGACAGAACTGCACTTCTTTTTCTTTATAGTGACCTAGATCAGTAAGAATTTGAGATCAACCAAACAGCTATAGAGTGAAGTAGAGGCTTTTAAAGAGGTTTACGGAGATATCAAAGACACGCACACACACACACAGAGCAGGGTAATCTCTTTGTCTATGTTACATACTAAAAATTCAACGAGCAGAATGCCTTTCACCCAAAAAAAAAGGAGCAACGTGCCTAAAGAAATCCTTGCATCACAATCTGTGATTATCATAAAATTAGTAGCCTCTAAAGAATCTAGAACCTTCACCAGTTACCTTCAATGGGACATTAAACTTCCAATATCGTTTTTAACATCCATAACCCAACTCCACAAAGAATGATATGAAGCTACACTCTAAACTTCTACTTAGTTGTTCTTGGATTTTTGTTTTCAGCCATGACTTAACAATGATTCTTGTGAGAACATATGATAATTTTCATGTTGATTTGGAGAGCCTATAGTTACCCTTTTGAAACACCTTCATGTGCTCAGATTAGTCCTAGATCTTCAAGCCTAGGGCTATGAACCCTGCTGCTGATGGTGGTCTTCACCTCACTTCAACCTTTTCAACAAGTATGAATGGCACTACCTGAGTGTTATTAATATTTCAAATTCTTGTAGCCAGAAAAATGATGTAAGTAGGTTTGTACCAATTTAGGACCTTCCCATTTTATTTCAACTTTGGGATTTTTATCTTATATTGGGTTTCATTAATTTAAATTAAGATTTCTTAAACTATTAGGATCCATATTTCTATTACTGTCAGGATTTCCTTAGCAGATTTGGACTGCCGATTATATTAATAGGCCTCAAGAAAACCTAAGATGACTGGAATTAGGAACTATTATCAAAATTGAAACCCTAACCACTTTCTCTCTTCCTCTCCTTCCATTTCTCCCTCCTCTATTTCTTTCTCTTATGCATCGATGTAATAATAGATACAAATATCTACGTTATAAAGGAGTTTTGATTGATGATATTATCCAATGGGAGAACAAATGCCTACAAAATTAATGATGAATGCAAGAAGAAAATTTTGTGTGTAGGCAAAATCTTAAGTTTAAATTATATTTAATTAACATGGAACTTGGGAGCTAGTTATTTATTAGCTTTATTGATAATTGGTATGCGACTATAATCTTATAGGATTGCATATATAAACTGGCCTTATTACGATTGGAATTTGATACTTTCACCTAACTGATTTGATAACAAAGAATTTGAGTTTATCCTAACTTGCCTTTCTCCTTCTCAGTCTCTTCCATCTCTCGTTCTTCTCTGCTTAGACCTCTATCATGTGTTTTTCTCTGGTTCTCCCTATTTTCTAACCTTTGTCTACTTCTCTTCTGGTTCTACATCAAATTTAGAATCAGAAAATTTGTCTCTTCCAGTAAACTTACAAATTACAAGCATGGTATAAAGGAAATTTACAATGAAGATAAACAATAAACAATAAACAAAATAATAGGAATTACAATGACATTTCCAAGACAAACAATTTTAAAATTAAAAATAAATAAATAAATAAAATAAAAACCTGCCACCTCAAAGCAAGAACCAACAAAATAAATAAAAGGAAAATGAGATAAGAGTAAACAGTAATCAATTCTACTATGTCTCCCTCTTACCTTAATGTCACTTGCTCTAAACAGAATATATTCATAAACCTTATCATTTGGAGGAACTTGTGGACCATCCTTCTTACGCCCCTCTGTTCCATATGACCTAACTGCAATATCATACAGAAGTCGATACATTAAAAATGTTTGATTTCCCAACTATAGAAGACAAGAAGAGTTTTATGTAACTTATGCCTACGGATGTTTTAATTTTAACTAAAATTCAGGTATGAAGACTGTAAACCGGGTGTGCTAAAACGTTGTCTATGCACACAAGTTGTACGCACAACATAAGTAGAACAGATAGCAATTTCATTTAAATGCAACTAGTGTATAAAAAAGTCTTTGAAAAAATAGAAAATTACTGGATAGAAAACTTAAGACATTATAAACATTGAACTGAGTCATCTCTTTCTCTTTCTCATTTTATTACCTAGAAGATCTCAAGACCTTAAGAACATTGCATGATGTTGACCACAGAACATTAATAACAAAGTTAACCCTTAGTACTGTAACTTACAAGTTTCGACTCAATATAAAAAGATATGGTGAAAGATTACATCTAATGAGTATGATGAAAACTTTATCATGAGAAAACAATTAGATTGCAAGCAAAATGTTCTTTAAAATACTGCTTTATTTTCAAGCTCACAGAAGGATTTCTTGCCAAACTAAATAATTTGTGGCAAGAATTTATTGGCCAATTAAACCCCGTTCCTTGAGAACTGACAAATATAAACTACAACAACTTAGCAGCACAAAATACATTCATTTATCCACATTTGAGATTATGTTTCTGATAGAAATTACATACACTGCCAGAAATATGATCCAAATACCAAATACATAAGAACTTCACAAGCATACATACTTGTATATGCACACACAGAGATTTGAGAAAAAAAAGAGGGAAAAAAACTAAACCCTAGCCGAGCGTACCGATTGTTAGGGACATTTTATCAATCAAACAGACATGCGATTATATCTGTAAATGTGAAAATGCGAAAATCACAGCCAGATGAAGAAATAGAAAAGCAAAACGTACCGTTTTTTAGGCCAATGGAGGAGTCTTGGACGCTGAGGAAGTAGAGAACACCTTCGTAACGTATTTCGTACTTGGAAATTAGGCTTATGAGGCTCCCAATGTACGAATCTGCTGATTCAGTCGCCATTGAGATGAGTTTAAGGAAAGCGAAGGAAAGTAGAGGACAATGAAATGAAATTTTCTCAGAACCGTTGCTGTTTTTTCCAGATTAGGGTTTGGGCTTTGTCTGTATCTTCGCCTTCAGGGAAAGTCGGTTTAAAAGCGCCAAAGAATCAGACTGTTACCACCAATGAAAATTACGCAGCCGAAGCGAAACCTTTTTCTTTTTTCTTTTCAAAGTTAATTTGGAGGCGCATTAGGCACGTGGCACAATTTTGGGCACCCAATGCGAATACCCTAAACAAAGTTTCATTTTTTTATGTTCCTCTTTATTTTCAAAAGACTGGTAATTTTTTTAAACTATTCTAAAATGTCTTCATTCTTCCATTTTCTTTTTCACTTTTTTTTTCCTCTTTTTTCATTCACCAATTCTACATACATTGTAAACTTAAGTAAATAGAATAATATAAAAATAAATTAAAGTAAAAAGACAAGACATTTACTTAAATATTTGGGATGGAAATAAGGCAATATAAGACTATGGGCGAGCCTACTCGGGTTGGGTCGGGCCATGGACAAGCCAAATGTTTCAAATCCTAAATCCAAATCCTATCCAACCTTAGAACGAGTCGAGCCAAGTGGACCTAACCATCAAGCTAGACCGGGCTTTGGCCCATCGGCTCTCAAGCTACCCACTTCGACTGGTGGACCGCGAGCCAAATGATGATCCCGCACATGCATTGCACTCCAATCCCAAAATCCGGTATCTAAGACCTCTCAACTCTTCATTCCATTGTGGACCCAGTCCTAATTTCATGTAACCATGCACGGAAGGGAGAGAGCCGGAGAGTAGAGAAACTCAAATGAAGAATTAAAATGTTGAAATTCTTATCAATGGGATCTAGCCTAGTATAAAAAGACCTTGACTTATCAAAGGTCTCAAGTTCGAACCTCCGTAGCATCTTAGTTTTGACTATCGCTTGTACTAAAAAAATTTGTTGAAATCCTTCCAAGTTTCTAATTTCATAAGTTATTTCAAATACCATGTTTCGGCCTATGATATTAGATGAATTTAGGTCAACTCCAAATCCAATGACTTAAATTGGGCCCAATCCATATCCAAAATCCTCCCACTCAAATCTCTAATACCAAACGAGCTTTATTCTTGTGATTTGAAAAACTCTTATACATTTGAAAACATCCCTTGGGGGCATGGGAGCTCGTCATCTAAAATATAAACACTTCTTCAAACTGAGAGAATCTTAATCAGTAACTATCTCACATTTGTTTGCAAAAATTCATAGATACATAACATTCAGAGTAAAGCATTCTAAAGTGGATAGTTTTCTTGTCTTGTTGTTTTGTTCTGGGCCCTGGGCCCAATTCATAACAAAAGAAACATTAATATCTGTTAAAACCACAGTTCAAAAGATGATTCCATTAATTTTGACTGAACCACTTTCTTGCTCAATTCTTTTCAATCCAATCCCTTCTGTTTTGATCTGAGCGTCTTTGTTAAATTACAAACTTTATTTACACAGCTAAATATGCCTTTTAATACTACAATACAAAGAGAGAGGAATCAAAAAAACAAAAGTTACATATGGCTTTGCACCACATACCAACTGCCTCTTTTTTCGTTTGTTTTTTTTCCTCTGTGATCTGAAACTGCCTTTACAAGAAACATGAGTTAGACGACACCGCAAATTGAAGTTGAAGTTTATGCTGTCACTTCTTTGGCCAGAACAATTCATATTGAAATCTAGAACAACTATTATAAAACTTTCGAACCTCGTGTCTCCTTTTACCTTGGATGAAACCAGCATGAGCAATTGAAAAGTCCATCCCTGTTATTTAACATCCTCTGAAAGAACACAGAATTCAATCTTTAACACGATACTAGATCTCCAGCTATCTCACCTGCAAACGCAATTGGAAAAGCTTTGTAAGATTAATGCTGATTTATTCTTGATGAAGTTTTTAAACAGACAGTTATCATCACTAAAATTTAGGTGAAAGACAATATCTATGGGCCAAAAGCAGCTGCAGGAAAAGTTAAATTAAAACATAAGCTACGGAGACCACAATCTTGTAGTGGTAATAGCATCCAGCCATCTATTAACTCCTGAACAAGCAGACTATGCCTAACCAAGCCAAAAGGAATAATCCCACTCTTAACCATTTTAATAAAGGACACCTCAAAGTAATATTGGCAACACATCACGACATTTTCTTTTCTGTATCCCTGGTAACCACAGAAAATGATCTAATAACACCTGTATGTCACAAAGTCACCTGTGTCTTTAGTCGTTACAGTTCAGAGAAAAATGCTTCTTAAAAAGTGCACAGTAGAAATTGGCAATTTTATCTCAGCTAAATGTAACAGCAAGAAACCATCAAGAAACTGTACAGTGGTACGTCCTACAGCACATTCGAATCCCTGTTGTCTAAGGAGCTTTTTGGTAGCTAAGATGTATTTGCTTTTGACCATTAAGTAGAACTATTTTAGGGCTACAACAAAGTATGAAATACTTTTTCTTTGAAGTGTGAATGAAGAAAATAGTGCAAAAGAAGAGAAGAACAAAAAAGGGAATATATGAATTTCATGCTAATGCACTGTTTGAACACCCATCAATTTCCTTATCAAAAAACACCAACCAAATTATCCAAAAACACCATCAAATTGAATACTTCTCACTAAATGTTATTGCTCTGTGAGAATACTTACCATGCATGCACTTAATGAAAAAATCCAACTCTGAAAAGCAAATTGCCCCTTGAACTAGAGGAGCTGGCTGCTGGTATACAAAAAATGAAAAGTGGCGGTGATCAGGATCATTCCTTGGCTTGACCATCTCAACTATTCTCATGCATCCTTCTCTATCATAACATGAAAGTGCATTTTCACCAGCTACAAGCAATCCTTGATCCCAGGCTAAATTTAAAACCTGTAGGAACAAATGAGAAGCTAGCATCACTCAAATTGAATACAGATAAACATATCCACATCATTAAGCATACTTTTTAAATTATATTTAAAACTGCCTAGTTCAACAATTCATACTGAGTTGTTGCCTTTAAAACATCAGGGAATTCTAGGGTTCACTCAGCATTGACCAAAGCCACTAGCAATACTGACACCATAAACAGCTACAGAGCTCAAAGAGAAGGGGCATGAGCAAGGGCCATCACCTGCCAACTCAAACCTTCTGGATCAGCCAGTGCTTCATCATTATCCTGACTCGATATATGCAGTCCTGAGCAAACAAACTTCACTGTCACTGAATGTTTCTTCAGAACTTCAAAAACTGGAGAGTACCCATTCTGGTTTGTTGGGTTATAGTACCCAGAAGTTAGCTCTGCTGCATGGCTGGAAGTCTTATACCACCAATAGACTGCAGGAACCTGCACATTTGCATCTTTTAATTATTTTTTCATTATGTAACAATTCCATGATAGGACTTTAAGAACATCACGACCATGCATCCCCTTGGTTCAGTTCTAGGCACACACCACTATAGCAATGTCAATGAATATCAGACAGTTTAAGTCTAACAAATCATTATACTATTTCTAGGCTTGATGTTGGGATTTCTCAATGTAACGTACCTATATGCCATTTCTAGGTTGGTCCAACTAGACTGAACATAACTAATCTGTATCATAAGAAAACTGAAGTTGATGAATCATAAGAAATCATCACCAATTCATGCATAAACGGAATTCTAAATACCTAACATCATCTAGACAGGCAGAGTTGTATAGTTTTAGGAGTCATGAGCCACGATGAAAGATGTTCAAGTACACCAACATGTGCGTGCTTGTAAGGAAACTGAAGTTGATGAATCATCATTATGAAACAGTATAACACCAACTTCTCTCAACATCCCAAAATCTGGTTCAAACATAAAATTCCAGGTCGTATGCAGGCCACTCTTCGTTGCCTTTGTATCGGTGTCCTATACTGGTCAGAAGCATGCGTAAAGGAAGAGGAAGACAGATTCATCATCCATGAGTACAGGAACCAAATTATGGATTTTATTAGGAGCATCGATGGTGTCACTTACAGTATGTTTGGGAGTTTTTAAGTTAAACTGATATAAGGGAGAGTGGTACATCCTTCATTTTCTCTCATAAGTTGATTGGTGAAGTAGGGATTTCAAATTATGAATGACTAAAACAATATACACCTTTATAACCAATGCACACCACCCTTTTGACTAAAACAAGGGAACCTATGGTCCCACCTATTTTTCCCTTCCACTCCTTCCATCTAAACGCATAGTTAGTGAATCATAGCTAGTCAGTGGGGAAAAAAGGGCCAGATACACACCTTGACAATTATTTTGGTTTCATCAAAGGCAAGGCTTGCAAGAGACAGTACATTATCCGCATGGTCAATTAGTGACTGTGCATACCAATGAAGGAAAAAGCGCCCGTAATAACTATCATAATCACCGCGCTCACAAAAGAAGCCAGTTTCATGCGGCCGAGAATTATATTCACCAGCATTATCAGGTCCCCTGGCCCAGAATGAGTGCCCACGCAATTTAGCCGCTCGCCGCAGACTTTGTTGTAAATATCTATCATAACACTGCAAACAAGTGATTAATAAATTTCAACACAATTGCAATGCAGAGTCTAAAATTTGAAGCAACATGAAGGAAACAATACTTTTTCCATCTTTGCCATTATATCATATGTAAAGACGGAAAGATGGAAGGAAAAGAGGGAATACTTCCAAACTGATGTGAAATAAAATAGTGAATCAAGACCTGTGAGGAAATAGAAAGCCTTTTCTTGTCTAATTTAAACTGCAGAATACATGGACAAAGAGACTCTAGTGGATACACAATAATTTCAACAATTATTATGGTTTAGCTTTAATAGATACCTGAAACTCACCGACACCAGGATACCTCCATCCCATCCTTCCTGAAAAGGAAGGATACTTAAGCTCCCCAGATGATCCAAGCCCAATCTCCACAGCAGAAATAAGACCCTCAGCAAACAAGTCGTCAAATTCAGTGCGAAAACTTCTCATAAAATCAAAATAGACCTGCATGAAGAAAGCAAAGACCAACAGAAACAATAAGTAAATAAGTTTCAACTGACAAAAGTAGGCCCAACAGAAAAGAAACAAAAAAAGGAGTTAACAATTAACCATATAAACAATGAAATGGCATAGGGGCATATAATGGAGGACAGCATAAATGAAACAGTAAAACAAAACAAAACATGGATGCAATAATCTCATGGTCCAAGCGTAAAAGACAGAACGCCTCAACATCATTCAGATATTTTCATACCTCGACACCAGTTCTTCCATGTAAAACTCTTTCTTTATCAATGCCCCAAGATAGACATTCAGTGTTCCTCCTTCCTTCTCGATCTGTAAAGAATATGTCCTGGTTTTCCTTACCAATCTCTAAGATCCACTGTGGAAGAGGGATCAGGGCTTCACCAGACTCACTTCTTCCATATTCATGAAATGCCATTACAACCTTCAGCAAAATGATTTCAGAAACCATTCATCAACAGAGTGCAAGATTCTCCAATATAGAATAAGAACCTATTCAAATTAAAACTTCCTTGGGTTACAAGATTAGGAAGTAGCAAGAATGCATCTTAACAAAAGCAAGAATGCATCTTAACAAAATACATTCTTTTGTTTGAAACCATAGGAGATTGCAGTGGAAGAGTGAAAGGTCTGAGCAGTGAAGCATTTTCAAGCACTCAATCTAGTGCAAGAAAACTTGAAAGTATTCTGAAAATAGAAATGTCTTCATAGGTGTAGCTATTTTACAGCATGAATAACAGATATAAAAAATTTCTGGCCCACAACTTAGACAGCATACAAGCTCATAATCACCTACAAGAATTATATGCATTCATACACAAATGAGATTGACAGAGCCTCCCATAAGTTTGGCTCTATAAAGGAGTTGCCACAAACTGAAAATTACATTTATATTCCTTAATCAAGGACCAAAATCCTGATAGATTAAGATGATATAATAGTTAAAAACTCCACAACATTTTTGGGAAAACATAGACCAACATTACCACATGACAAAAAAAAAATAGCACCTCCAAGAGACAAAAGTTTCATAAACCCAACTGTCATCTAATTTGATTCGTCCTATTTGAAGAAAAAAAAATTAAATTGCACTGCTTTTTTGACCATTCAACACATTAAGAATCTGGATAGCTCCATTTCTATGTGACATGCTTAAACTTTCTCTGAAACAACATTATCTTGGCCTTAAATGAACACAGAATGGAAACTAAGGAATTTAAAATTCCCAGCAAGTTTCCTTGTGCGCTCAGTAAACAAAAGAAAAGGAAAAATAGAGGCTCTGATACATTGAATATAATTTTATCAATTAGAGGGGAAAAAGAACAGAAAAAGATGTGTGTATGTGCGTGTGAGGGAGAGAGAGAGAGAGAGAGAGAGAGAGAGAGAACTGATGTAAATTTCCAATTATGCCTACTTGTTAAATTCATGTGTGCTCCTTTGTGTGCCTGTTGGAGAAGATATCAATAATTTTGGTTCATTATCCATGATAATTTGAGAACAGTTTAGACATACATGTGTTCGGATAAGTCTTAGACAAGTTCAATATGTGTTTGACTAATCATATGCATCACTCAAATTGTTTGCTGATACTAAGCCTTGTGATATTAAATGGAAACCTTTTAAATCCAAATTTTATTAAGCTTAATTTTGATGGTTCAGCTATTCAAAATAATTTACGCTTCCCTAAGCTTTATCTATGAATCAGAGAGAAGTACCTGCAATTTGAACTTGAACTCCCGGAGAATGTTAAAAAGACCTCTATAACCAGACCTTTATCTATGAATCAGAGAGAAGTACCTGCAATTTGAACTTGAACTCCCGGAGAATGTTAAAAAGACCTCTATAACCAGACCAAACATATTTCTGGGGGCTCCAGCCTTCAACAATACCCCACCAACAATCCACGACAACACCGTCTACACTTAAAGATTGCATATGAGTTAGCTCCTGTCTTAAGCCTTCAGGATCAACCAGCTGGCAGTAATTGTTGATGAACCCAGTCTGCCAAACAAGCCCCAAGAATTGTATCACTTAAAAAACCTAGATTTACAAATATCTGAAAACAAAATAAACATGGTTCGTCTTAGAATTTGACAATCAGCAGTCAGAAAGCGCAGAAAAAAGAAGATGAAGAATTTACTTACTGCAAGTGTTACATAGAGAGGAACATAGGGATCGGGTGTAGAAAAAGCAGTGGTGCCAATGCCATGGTTACCAGGTCTGATGGGAAGTTCTTGCATGAGCTGATCAGCCTCAACAGAGTTGATGGGGCTTCCACCACTAGAAAATTTCTCATTCTTGGTGGTGTCTCTCTCTGCAATCACAACAGAATCAAGAGATGCTGGTGACAAGCTCTCATCAATTCTCACAACTGATGATGGGTTGTGAGGAGGATGACACTCCAGTGATTTTGTTGCTCTAACACCTGATGAAACTGGACTCTCTACCGACCTCATGCCCATTGCCTGTCACCAATTTCAAATAATAATAATAATTTTTATTATTCCTTTAAATAAAGTTAAAAACAGAAAGAAGAACAATGAGAAATTAGAAACTAGAAATGTACGGACAATTTGAGAGGGAGGGGGAGATTGGCGGTAAGTGTTGCCGTCGGCCTCGACAACCCAGCCGGCCTCACGTGCGAGGGCTGCGAGGACATCGTTCATATCTGCACGCGCAGGCAGCGGAAAGTTGCCGTACTGACGGAGGCCAGCGAGCATCCGGCTCGTGATGGATCGACGGAGCCGTTCTCGAAGCTTCGTGCGCTCCTTCTCCCTCTCCCTCTCCCTCTTGCCCTTATTGGTGGTGGGGGGTGGAGGGACTAGTGGGGCCCACGGACCCGGCAGCTGTGGCGGCGAAGCCACGAGGTCGGCGGGGCTGAGGCTGAGGTTGTTGTTGGGGTTGGAGAGGGTGGGAGGGATGGTGGGGGTGGTGAGGGAGATAGTCGGAGCTGTGGTCGCTTTGGGGGTCCAGATCCTGTCTGAGACTTTGATCGTCGTTCATGTCGTCCTATGGTTGGTTGGTCACTGCTTACTCCCGATATACAGCTTCATAAACATAAAAAAAATTGGAATTCAGCATTTCAAGAAAAAGAAAAGGGTAAATTTGCTCTGATTTGCTTGTGTACGATTTGAACTCTCTTTTTTTTTTTTCTATTTTTTGGCGAAAGAAGAACTCATTGATAACAATTAAGAGGATGCAACAATGTCATCTTTTACAATTGATTCCAGCCATAAGGGAACCTCTTCAATCCAAGTTACCATAGTATTACAATTAACAGCATATCTTGCTAGAAAATGAGCTACTTGGTTACACCTAGGGGTGGGCACGGTACGGTATGGTACGGTATTGAACCCGTACCGCTACTGATACCGGAAATTTAAATCGGTATGGTACGGTATGGGATTATGGTTTGCCAAAATTGGTACCGTACCGTACCGTGCCAAATCGGTATCGGTACGGTATCGGTACCATTTCGGTACCAAAATAATACAACTAAAAAATGAACCAATTCAATATTCAACACCAAAATAAATGATGCCTAAGTTACAAATTCAAAGATTCAACATATTCAATTTCAATATCCAAATCCTAATCAACATATTCAATATCCATCAACATATTCAATATTCAAATCCCAATCAACATATTAAATATCCATCAACATATTCAACCAAATCAACCAAATCAATATTTATCCATCAAGAGATTCATCAAATTCAAATGGTTAAAACTCATGCCTTATGGCTTACAAACCAAAATAGTTAAAATTATGCATTATGGCTTACAAAAATACAAACACAATCCAAACATAAATAACAAAAACATAAAGTTATGCAATCCAAGCTTCATTTGCAGCCCCTAGCTTTGAATTCAAATATCCCCATCATTTGCATATTCTGCAAATTACCCAAACAACCATTATAAAGAATTCAATGCAAACTAATATAAATAACAAACAATATTTAAAATAATTTACCTGATTCAATGGTTTCATAAAATTCAAATTCTTCAATCGAAGGTGTATCTTCTAAGCTTGAAATTTCATCCCCTTTCAACCAATTTTGCATGCATATCAAAGCCTTCACTGATCTAGGAGTTAATTAACTCCTAAATGCATCTATGACTCTGCCACCAGTGCTAAAACAACTCTCAGATGCCACTGTGGAAGGTTGAATTGAAAGGACATCCTTCGCAATTGCTACTAAGACAGGATACTTGGGTCCATTGAGTTTCCACCACATCAATATGTCAAAAAAAACATCTTTGGAAACAAATGCCAAAGGATCTGTCAAGTAAGAATCAACTTCATGTGACACCACAGTCTCATCACTCTCTTCCACCTCCCTAATCCAATCATCTAGAAAATCATCACCAACACTTTCTCCAATATTATTACTACCACTTGCAGATCCTATATTTTCTGTGGTAGAATTTTGTCTCATGTGAATGCCACCATCTACCTTTGGTACATACTCATCATAGAGAGCCATTAACACACTTTTCACTTCTCTTGTCTTTATTTGCACATCATCCTCATCAAATTTTTCCTTTTTAAAGAGATGGGTGATATGCCTCAACTTGAACCTTGGATCCAAAACAAGTGCAATCAACACTAACATGTTTAAATCTTGATATTTAACAAAATACTTATTGTATTTTGTTCTCATAGCTCCAGCCATGTCAGTCAACACTTTCTCTGCATCTGAACCAATAGCAAATTCAGGTGCCACAAACAACTTGTCAATCTCCTTTTCCATAGAAATAACTGCGTGAAATGTTTTATGAATTGTGGGGTGCAAAGATGCACTCACCTTTAAGGTCACCTGAGAGGGTTTGGCTTTGAGTTTGCACGGGTTGACTTGAGAGTCTGAGAGTGAGAGCGTGCTCGTTTTTGTCTGAGAGGGTTTGGCTTTGGCGTTTCAGTTTGAGAGGCAAGCGAGAGACAGAGACAGTGAGAGAATGAAAAAAAAAAATTAATTAAATTTAAGTACTATTCGGTACGGTACGGTATTGACCGGTATCAAAATCTTGATACCGCTACCATACCATACTCTATTCGGTACGGTACGATACGGTATCGAATATCTATCGGTACCAAATGAAACGGTATAAAATCGGTACGGTACGGTGCGGTTAGGGTACGGTTTCGGTATTTCGGTTTAAGATGCCCACCCCTAGTTACACCCTCTTGGACTAAAAGAGACAGTAACTTCTTCAAAGTGTTGCAGACTCCTCTTAATATAATTAATAAGATGCCCATCTGATACGCTTTATATATATATATATATATATATACATATATATATTAATACTTAAATAGTATAACTCGGCTATACTCATCTTTTTCTAATTTTAAAATAATAATAATAATAATATAGTCGCACTGCTTCACATTTTTGACATGTGGCACTTAGGCCCTAAGCAGGTGCTTTTTTATTTATTTGTTGAGGCCTTCTCCATCATCCACTCAAAAAGGATGAAAAAGGAGGGCTTTCCCTCGTAACGTTAACTAGGGGAAAAAAAAAAAAAAAAAAAAAAAAAAAAAAAAAAAAAAAAAAAAAAAAAAAAAAAAAAAAAAAAAAAAAAAAAAAAAAAAAAAAAAAAAAAAAAAAAAAAAAAAAAAAAAAAAAAAAAAAAAAAAAAAAAAAAAAAAAAAAAAAAAAAAAAAAAAAAAAAAAAAAAAAAAAAAAAAAAAAAAAAAAAAAAAAAAAAAAAAAAAAAAAAAAAAAAAAAAAAAAAAAAAAAAAAAAAAAAAAAAAAAAAAAAAAAAAAAAAAAAAAAAAAAAAAAAAAAAAAAAAAAAAAAAAAAAAAAAAAAAAAAAAAAAAAAAAAAAAAAAAAAAAAAAAAAAAAAAAAAAAAAAAAAAAAAAAAAAAAAAAAAAAAAAAAAAAAAAAAAAAAAAAAAATGGACGTGAAGATTGCACGTTGTTCGGACTTTACGTTGTGGAAAAAGGTATGGACAATCGTGAAATAGCATTGAACAGGAGCAGCACGTAGTGGAGGATAATATAGAAAATTTTTAGCAGCAGAACCTACCAAAATTGCAGAAAAAACATAAACGGGCAGATCCAGAAACTGTTCCAAAACAAGTTCCTGAGCGTGTTTATGAGGCCCAGTTCCATATCCAGAACGTTTTGAAGCCAAAAGCAAAATATCAGCAACTCAAGGACTTTATGCAGACATTATCCAAGGTTCAAATCAACATTCCGTTACTGGATGGCAATCAAGAAAATTCCATCATATGCCAAATTTTTAAGGAAGTTTGCAGCAACCAAAAGAAGCTTTCAGATTTGGAAAAAGTCATTTTGACAGAACAGTGCAGCGCAGTTTTGCTACACAATTGCCACCTAAGAAAAAAGATCCAAGCAGTTTTAATATTTCTTGCACTATTGGAAATTTCTAATTTTAAAAGTGCTTTAATTGATTTCGGTGCAAGTATTAATTGATGCCTTTTTCTGTTTTTCCAGCGATTGGGGCAAGGAGATTTTAAAGCCTACATCAATGATACTTCAACTAGCTGACCGTTCAATTACTTATCCAAGAGGTGTTATGAAGATCTAAATTATAAAGGTTGATAATTTTTACCTACCGGCAGATTTTGTGGTTCTAGACATGGACGAAGACCTTCAAACACCTATTATTTTGAGGAGGCCGTTTATGGCCACTGCTAGGACTTTAATTGATGTGGAAGCTGGCACATTGACTCTACGGGTTCAAGACCAATCTGTGGTATTTAATTTGTTTGAGACTGCAAAACGCCTATGGAACAGCAAGACTGCATGCGCATTGACATGGTAGACAACATGGTTCAAGACAGATTTTATGGCAACTAAAAAACAGATCAGTTGCTACATGTTTTACAAGGGGAACTTGGGGCAGATTCTGAAGATGAAGGTGTTCTTGAGTACATTCATGCATTGAACAGTCTGCCAACAGTGTTGTCAAAGTTTAGAAATGTTTACGAGAGTTTAGGGGAACCTAAACAGCCCCTTTAAACCGTCCAGACAACAGCCACCAAAACTGGAGCTGAAGCCTCAGAACATCTGAAATATGCATATTTAGGAGCTGCAGAGACGCTGCCAGTTATAATTGCAGCAGATTTAATACCTACAGAGGAAGATAAATTGCTTCACGTGTTGAGAAAATATCAAGACGCATTGGGATGAACAATTGCGACATCAAGGGAATCAGCCCAGCACTATGTATGCACAGAATATTAATGGAAGACGACGTGAAGCCAACAGTTGATGCTCAACGCCGCCTTAACCCAATTATGAAAGAGGTGGTCAGAACAGAAGTTACGAAATTACTTGATGCAGGTATGATTTATCCTATTTCTGACAGTAAAGGGTTAGCCCGACTCAAGTTGTGCCTAAGCGGACCGGTATTACAGTGGTGAAAAATGATAATAATGAGTTAATTTCCTACACGATTGACTACGGGATGGAGAATGTGTGTAGATTACCGGAAGCTTAACACAAGGACAAGAAAAGACCATTTTCTTTTACCCTTCATTGACCAGATGTTGGAAAGGTTAGCTGGGCGTGCTTTTTATTGTTTTCTTGATGGTTATTCTGGGTATAAGCAAATTCCAACTGCATCGGAGGATCAAGAGAAAACCACTTTCACTTGTCCATTTGGTACTTATGCTTATAGAGGATGCCGTTTGGATTATGCAATGCACCTGCTACGTTTCAACGTTGTATGATGAGTATTTTTTCTGGCTTGGTCGAAAATATTGTGGAAGTTTTTATGGATGATTTTTTGTTTTTGGGGATTCATATGATCAGTGTTTACAGAATTTATCATTAGTTCTTCAGAGATGCCAAGAGACACATTTAGTGCTAAACTGGGAGAAGTGTCATTTCATGGTGAAACAAGGGAATTGTCTTGGGTCATTCAATTTCTAGTAGAGGCATTAAGGTTGACAAAGCAAAGATTGACAAAGCTGCCACCCCCTACATTAGTCAAAGGTGTGAGATCTTTCTTAGGACATGCAGGTTTCTATCGTCGGTTCATCAAGGATTTCTCCAAGATTAGCCAACCTTTGTGCAATTTATTGACTAAGGATGCATCATTTACTTTCGATGAGACCTGTTTAGAAGCGTTCAACAAGTTGAAATCACTCCTAAACTTCGGCACCCATCATTGCTGCACCAAATTAGGATTTTCCATTTGAACTAATGTGTGATGCACGGATTATGCTGTTGGGGCAGTTTTAGGGCAACGGAAAGATAAGCTTCCCCATGTCATTTATTATGCAAGTCGTACTCTCAATGATGCACAGCTTAACTATGCAACTACAGAGAAGGAATTGTTGGCTGTTGTGTTCGCACTAGAGAAATTTCGGTCTTATTTGGTTGGGGCTAAAGTGACTATTTATACGGATCACGCTGCACTAAAACTTGTTGTCTAAGAAGGATGCAAAGCCTAGATTAAAGACAAAAAGGGCAGTGAGAATATTGTGGCTAATCATTTATCTAGATTAATTATCAAGCAGCTATGGAGGGCAAATTTTCTGCCATTGAGTGAAAGTTTCCCAGACGAACAGCTATTTGCTGTCCAAATTGACACACCTTGGTTTGCAGATATTGTCAATTATTTGGTTAAGGGTGTGATGGCATCCATATTTTTCCTACCAGCAGAAAAAGAAGTTTTTATCTGATGTGAGCATATTTCTGGGGATGAACCCTACTTATACAAGTATTGTGCAAACCAGATTATTCGCAGGTGTATTCCAGAGGCTGAACAAGACAGTGTTTTGACATTCGCACATTAGCATGCTTGTGGTGGTCATTTTGGGGGAAAACGGACAGCAACTAAAATATTACAAAGTGGGTTGTATTGGCCTACTATTTTAAAGATGCTCATGTTTGGTGCCAGGCTTGTGATAGATGTCAACGTGTGGGCAATCAGTCAAAGCGGAATGAAATGCCACAGCAAAGTATTTTGGTTGTTGACTTATTCGATGTTTGGGGCATTGACTTTATGGGACCATTCCCATCATCCAATGGCAATCAGTACATATTGGTGGTTGTTGAATATGTTTCTAAGTGGGTCGAGGCTGTTGCAACACCAACAAATCAAGGATCTGTGGTACTGAAATTCCTCCAAGGCATTATTTTTCCACGTTTCGGGACACCTAGAGCAATTATCAGTGATGGGGGAAAGCAATTTTTAAATAACCAGTTTGCTGCACTACTCACTAAATATGGGATAAGTCATCGGGTGGCCACTGCATACCATCCTCAAACTTCTGGGCAAGTTGAAGTTTCTAATAGGGAAATTAAGCACATCTTAGAGAAAACAATCAATGCCAGCCGCAAAGACTGGAGTGTTAAGTTGAATGATGCTTTATGGGCCTACAGAACAGCGTATAAAATGCCAATTGGGATGTCCCCCTTTCGGCTTGTTTATGGTAAAGCGTGTCATCTACCTATGGAGCTTGAACACAAGGCTTACTGGGCAATTAAGGAGCTTAATTGTGCTTATGGTGCAGCTGGAGAAAAAAGAAAATTACAGTTGCACAAGTTGGAAGAACTCCGGAATGACGCATATGAAAGTTCAAAGATATACAAAGAGAAAACAAAAGCATTCCATGACGGCAAAATTCTCCGAAAACAATTTCAGCCAGGTCAGAAGGTTCTATTTTTCAATTCAAGGTTGAAGTTATTCCCTGGAAAATTAAAATCTAGGTGGCGGGTCCCTACAATGTTACTAAAGTCTATCCACACGGCACTGTGGATATTAAAAATGGGAAGACCGGTTTCGAGTTTAAAGTAAATGGTCATAGACTTAAACACTACTTGGAGGCGACGTTTGACAATGCAACCGAGTCGATGACTCTGAAGGAACCGGTGATTTGACCACCAAGCTTCTGCAAAGTCTAGCTACAGACTTAAAATAAAGCGCTTATTGAGAGGCAACCCAATTTTTCTATTTACTCCTTTTAATTTTAAAAAAAAAAAAATAAAAAAAAAAAAAAAAATTTCTTTAACTAGATGTTTTTATTTTCTTTCAACTCCTAACACATCATTGATTCAATGAAGGACACAACAATCAGCAGCAAACATCAAAAGCAAAAAAATCCTAGGCTGGAATCCTGCACCCAGCAGCAAGTCTACACTGGGAAAGACACAACAATCAGCAACAAACATCAAAGCAAAGAATCCTAGGCTGGAATCCTGCACCCACTAGCAAGTCTACACTGGAATCTTGCACCCACCAGCAAGTCTATACTGGAATCATGCACCCAGCAGCAAGTCTACCAAATTTTCAACAACATAATTTGCAGGGATTCGAAATTATACCTATGAGATGCACGGATTGGGGGTCCTCAGGGCTTTGTGTTGTTTTGTCCTTTGAGCTTGTGTGTTTATTGCCCTTTTTCCCGTGAATCTCTCTTGTATCCGTAGACCTTACACAACGAGCACCAATATGAGTCCCTGCAAAGACATAGAACAAACCTCTCTACATATCAAGACCCACAAACAAATTCTGAGATTTCCGAGCTGTTCATGTCATTTACCTTTACACCGGCCACTCAGGGAGGTGTGTTTGTTGCTGGGGTATGGTTGCAGCACGGGTGCGGCATTTAGAACAAGATGACGAAACTGCTGTGAGATGGCAAGTTTGCCATAATGGACGCTGGTGTGAAATGGCTGACAGAGTGAGACGGCTCTTGAGTTTTAGAGAATGCAGAAGCGAGAGCGGGGAAGGATAAATGGGCAGCTACTAAACGTGCCAAGAATTGCATTTTCCATCACTCGCTCAAGCGCATCACAGTATAAGGTCAATTTCATTGCGAAAATTGGGGGTAAGGCACCTGTGCACATATTTGGTTCTTTGACCCAACTCAAATACACAAACCCACATCCCCCTTTTCCGAGCATCCGACCTTGAACCCATTCGCGCCCAACAACCGACAAGGGTGGCGATTGAGAAATGTTGTCGTATGCTGAACCTCAGAAGTAATTGGAAAAGGGGGAGGCAAATTTTCAAGATCGATTTTTCACAAGGCTAAGGTTTTAAGACAATATGGAGTGGAAGTGGAGTTTTATTGTGGAGAAGAAAAATTTGTTTGCGCAGGTACTAAAATCCTATCAACATGTGCAATTCAGGTTGGGTAGTTTACACACATGCGCCATCCCATTTTGGTTTGCTGACCATTACCACTTTTGCCAGCCATGTGGGATAGTCCACCTCCTTGATGAAACCGATGCTTCGTAGTTTCTCCACCTCTGTCTTCATGGCTTCATACTTATCTGGGTCGTAGGCACGACGCTTCTACAAAACGGGTCGTATGGCGGGGTTAATTCTTAACTTATGGGAGATGATGTTGGGTGATATGTCGAGCATATCATTGTGGGACCAAGTGAAAACCTCTGAGTTATGGTAGAGGAAGTGGATGAGTGCGAAGTGAATATCATCATGGAGGCAAACAAGTTCAAGATCTTTCATTGGTTCGGCCTAGAAAGTGATGGATTCTTTACTAGGATCCTCAGGTCGCTCAGTGCCAGGGCGAGGAAATGGCGGAGCTGTGGTTACCGAAAGAGCTTCAAGCCATAGAGGGTGACTAGTAGATTTAACAGCTGAAGCATAGCAGCTTAGCTCCAAGTTCATCGCCTCGCACCATGCTCGTGCCGTGAAGAGTGAAGAACTGCAGCATTAGCATATGTGTAGAGATGAAGGCCCTCATTTGTGCCAAGGTTGGACGTCTAAGGATGACGTTGTAGGTCGTGGGGCAATCAATGAGGAGGTGGATGCTCTCAATGGGTTAAACGAGATCGCCAGAGAAACTCACAAGAAGCTTGATGGTTCGATCAAGCAGGTGGTCAGGGACATGAAGTTCATTGAACGCTTCTGCGAACATGACACTCACCGAGTTACCAGTGTCAACAAGGATACGTTCGACATCAAAGTTAGAAATGTTTGCCTGAATAACCAGCGGATCATCATGGGGAAAGATGGTGACATGCTTCTTTTCCTTGCTGAAGATAATGGGGTCTTAACATGTTCTAGACATCTTTGACATGCATCCATGCTCAGTGCTAAAGACTTGATATGCATATGAGGACCGGACATAATGCTTAACGGAGTTATTGGATTTGCCACCCAGAGTAAGGCCACAGCTGATGGTGGAGATCGTATTGATATGGCGCTGGTAAGGGTTTGGGGGAGGTGGAAGGTTGTGGGCATACTTGTCTAATTTTCCTTGATGAATAGGGCATATAATGATGTTCCGTAGAGCGATGCAAGATTCTATATCATGATTGTTGAATTGGTGAAAACGGTAAAATACATCGATGTTCGACGTAGGGTTGTTGGTAGGTCCTCGGGAAGGGGGTTATAGGTGCCTGATCGACAAGAACATGCTCATAAGTGGTGTTCAATGTGATGAACACCTTGAACCTGGGCTTAGGCTCATATGAGAGCAAGGCATGACCATTTGTCTTTAGGGGGTTATTGCCGCCGAATTGATGATGGTTAGAGTGTTTGCTGCATTTCCCATTGTTGAAGGAGCGTTGGTAGCCGTCCTTCCTTTTAGGGTTTTGGGCATCTTGAGTGTCAGGGGTAGGAGGGTAATGGTTGGATTTGGCGGGGGTAGGTGCCGAAGCTTGTCGTAGGTCACCAAAGATGGTCCTGGAGTGGTTGATAGGGCTGCGCTTAAAGTTGAAAGTATTCGGCCTTAGCATAGATGGCCGCTTGCTTCATTAATTCAGCATAGGTGTTCAATGGGTTGCTATAGACTAGTTATCAAAAGTTTGATTCACGAAGGCCACTCTTGAAGGCACCGAAGGAAGCACGATCGTTTGTTTTCGGGTAAAGGGAATACTCGTGGCTGAAGCAGACGGTGTACTTCTATAGAAGCTCGTCTTCACCCTGTTGAAGCATATATAGATCGTCCGCAGCGTATAGACGATTAGTTTGAATGATGAAATGGACGAGGAAAGTCTGCTTTAGGCGGTTGAAGGAGTTGATAGTGCAGGAATTCAGTTGGTAGAACCAATTTAAAGCAGTATCATTGAGGGTGGAGGGTAAAAGGAGGCACATGCCTTCATCACTGAGACCCTTGCACCTTAGGGCAGACTGAAAAGAATAGATGTGGGTCAGAAGGTCTTCCTTACCCATGTAGAAGGCGAAGCGAAGCAGTTGAACATTCTTTTCCTGACGATAGTTGAGGATACACTAGGCAAAGGGGCCAAGGCATGGCTTCGTCCAAAGGGGCTAGTGGTTGCTATGTTGCTCGTCCTCGAGACGTCCAACCTTCTCAAAAATAAGTCTCATGGCATGATTGATATGAGGGAGGGTCGGGCGCCGAAAACTTATGTTGTTGGGTGGGCAGAGGTGGATAAGTTTCCCATCCCTCAAAAGCTTCATAATGGTAAGGCTCCTAGTCCTCCGGATGGTTAGGTTCCCAATCGTCCGAGTCCCCAACCCCATCTTGGGTAGGTAAGCGGATGGGGTGTCAATAGAGGTCCAAGGTGAGCGACTCAGGGGTCGTCAAGGTCTACAGGAATAGGGATGGGCTTTGGCCAAAGCTCCGAGATTTGGTCCCTGCAGTCCTATGGATCTTGGTCGAGGCATAAGGCCGATGCTTTGGCTGGGAGATTTGGAGAAGTCACGACTTAGTCATTTTAGGATGAAGATGGACCTTGCCTTTGTTAGGCCTAGGCTGGTCGAGGCACTGTGACGGGGGACGACTTGTGGGTTCGGTTGAGTGTGTTCAACACCCTGGGTGAGGTCATGCTGGGTGAATTGGTGGTGAGCGTTCTCCCAATTATGCTTCAAGGTTCAGTAATCGTATTCCAATTCGGCACTCTTGGTAGGCATGTGGTTTTAGCTCTCTGTCATTTTGGCGACGTCGACACGAAGGCACTCTACTTTGACTTGGCGATGTGGATTGATTGGAGGTTTCCTTTGAGAGGACTCCCCATGCGAGGTATGGTGCTGGGTACCAAGGCTAGTTTCGCTCAGCATTGCGAAATGCGAAGGGCAGAAGAGACGACGGGGTCAGATAAGAGAGGGAATCGGCGGAACTTATAGAAAAGTGGGATTCAGAAGTCGTTTCCCACATACGGCACCAATGTTGATGCTCTTTTTTGGGGTGAGGGGGTTCATGAATATTCAGGCACCGATGCGGTACCTGGCAAAGGTTCTCCGATGCTTAAGTCACCAGATATAAGATATATGGTAATTTTGGCAGAGTAATAGTAAAAGTAAAAAGGCGTTACCTCGTTTTGGGGATTTGTGCTCCTTTTTGTAGAGAGGTGGAAGTGGGATTTTGCACAGAGTTTCGATGTGCGACTTTGTGCAAGTTGCAGTAGTGGTGACACATGTCCGTGGATTAGCTTTTGTATTTAAGAGTTTCGGCAACTACCTTCGACAGGCAGTTGCCGCATCGGAGGAGGACATTATGGCATCGTCGATGTTATCTTCAGCAGGCCTCTGAGTCTGTCTGTGCTCCAGTTCCTAGTACCGAATGTACTTGGTTGAATATGGTGTAAACAGTTCTCACACCCTCTCTCTCTTTAATTGATTTTGCATGAATTAGTTTTCTTTGTTTAAAACATTGAGGACAATGTTTGTTTTAAGTTGTGGGTGACTGAGTTCTTTGGTTTCATAATGTATGCAACAGTCCTCTAACTTTGTTTCCAATTCTATTCTTGTCCGCTGCTGTTTTTGTATTTTGGTCCGCGCAGTGTTCTTTGTTTTTTTGTTCTGAATCCAACCATATAAAGAACGTGAACTTTGGCCAAGTATTTTGTGTGAGATACATGTAATTCTTTGTGCCTGGGTCAAAACTGCAATTTTGTTTATTGGTTTTCAATTCATTTTAACTTTTGGTTTTTAATTAATTAACTTTTATTTTAATGTTTGTTTTATTTTCCTTTTTTTTTCATTTAAAAAAATAATTTAAAAAATCTGAAAATTTTCATAAAACCCAAAAGTTTTTATTTTTTATTTTTTACTTTGAGTCTTGTTTTTATTTGTTTGTGGCAAGTCCTTCCCAATTCTATGATGAGATTGAATTTTATTTACAATTAACTTTCAAGAAGTTTTGAGCATGACACTAAGTATTTACATTATCTCTGTGTTAGCCTTATTTTTGTGATTAGACTTGGGAAATTCTTATGCACATAGCCATATTAATATGAGTTTTGATTGGGGATTTCACATTATTTAAATGGCTAAATAAGAGATAGTGTAAACTTATATAACCCTCATTATGTGAATTTTTGGTCAAGTACTTGAGGATGTTTAAATTGTTTGCTAGAACTACTTTCATTATCTATTTGAGGCATACTTCGTGAACCACATGGATTCAAGGAAGTGATATAGGCATTGTTTCTTTCGTTTGAGCACTATTAGCCGACCCGTATCACTTTTATCCCTAGTAACCCCCTTGTGCTTTTTATGTAAGCCATTTTCTTTCGTTCTTTACCCAATTCTCCTCACCTTAATCTATCATGTGTTTATCCTATACCCTTCTAAGGAGTTTTGTAGAGTATTTTCGTTGTTAAGGGAGAATTGCACAAATTATTCAAACATGTGGAAAGTAAAGGATACTATTTCAAAAAAAAAGAAAAAAAAGAAGAAGCTAATTTCAAAGCCTTTTCAACTCAAGTTATTAAGCCTTAGGAGTGTTTTACATTTAATGCCCTAAAGCTATCTAGCTTGGGAGTCATTGGCCTAACACTCACTACATGGGTTGATTAGAAAGAAAATGGAGCGAGAAAAAAAAATTGTGAAATAAAAAAAAGAAAAAGAAAAAGAAAATTGAAGACAATATCAATATGAAGTTCCGTGCTCAAAGTGCAAGATGTTATAATTTTCATGGAAAGTTCTATGAATTCCTTAGAATTTGTTCATCCATATCTTTTTCTTGTTTCACCCATCACTATAGCCCCCATTACAACCTTAAGTCCTACTTGATCCAAGGAGAAGTGTGGTTCCTCATGTGGAGAATAGGTGTGGAATGACTATGGTCGAATGGTTTGAATGTTGTAAAGTATGCGATATCTTTCCATGAGATCTTTTATATTTTTCATGTGCCTTTATTTCAATTATGTGAGTACATCCTATTGCTTTGATTCCTTTCACATATTTATGAGTGACAATAACTAGTCAAATTTCTAGTTCTTTTATTGGAGTGAACATCCTTTGATGAGATTTGAAGTTGAAGCTTGTTCTTATTTAGTTATTTAACTTGTGTGAAGCTTAAGTCATGGGTTGTATTAGTGTTGGCTATTTTACACACTACATCCAAGTTGTTCAATTAAAGTTTGGTTAACCCTTTGATAATGTATTGAGTTATTGTTGCTTATTTCTTGGAAGTTAGCTAACAGTTGGTGATTATCTCTGATATCAATATTGGGAAGTTAGTCAATCGCTTGTTTGGGTTGAGTCCTTGTTCTTTTGTTTTTAATTTTCGTTTTGTTTTGCTTGAGGACTAGCAAAATCTAAATTTTGGGTATTTGATAAGTCCATAAATTTACACATTTATGTACTCTTTATACTTAGTGTTTGTAGGAGAATTTGATTTAAAAAGAACTTATTACTTTGTTTTCTCAATTTTCAGCTTTCTAGAGCAAGTAATGGTTTTCAATGGAAATATGACTTTTTGGTGGAGTTTTAGTACAAGACCAGTTGGAGATGAAATCTAAGATCTTGAAGATGACCGTGGAATTTTTCTAGAATTTTTGGAGCAGCCAATGAGAGCAGTCTTTGAAGTTGAATCAGCATAAGGGCAATCCCATCAAAACTGTGCTACTATTGAAGAATGACTATTTGAAGACTTTCCTGATCTTTTTTCTCAAGGAGTATATGGCTGGAAAGATAAGACAAAGACCTACAATTTAAATACTTTTGCCGAATTTTCTTGAAGGAAGAATGACCCCAAACATGCATGCAAAGTAACTGATGTGTTATCCCAATCCAAGTAGGAAGAGGACTCAATTACGTACCCATTTTGGATTTATGTTTGAATTAGGTTTTTCTTTATTTTTGCGCTGCTATAAAAGCCCTACTAGGTTAGGAACAGATTTGTGGTGTTTTATTTAAGCATGAGAAACAACGCCTTTGGGGGTTACACACGCAAAGACTAGGAGAAATTGGAAGCGCCAGAAGAGTATCGCAATTGGCTAAGTTTTATTATTTCTTCCTTGTGTTTTTGCTTATGTCGAATTCGAAGATTATGTGTAACTAATTTTCTTTTGCTAGGGCATGATGTAGCCCTAGTATGATAATCTAGTTTTCTTATTTTACATATCTATTGATTGCCGTTTGATGTTGGATTCTTAATCACTGTGCTTAATAACTTGGTTGATTATCTTGATGCTTGATCACCATCTAGACTTTTAATTGAGTTAATCATATGCAAATTAGAGTAAATACCATACTTAATTTGAGGCTTGCTTCTTGTGATTAGGATTTGTAATTTGTCTAGGGTAAATACCATACTCTAGGGTTTACATGCTTGTTCGAGGTTTTTACTGATCTTAATGAGTTTCTATGTGTTGATATTGACCTAAATACCATGGGCGAATTGCATGTAGGAATATACGAATTAGCTTAAATACCATAGGTAATTCATGAAAAAGGAAAACTAAGCGGCGACATCAAATGGTTAGTTAATAAGTAGGTGAATAAGAGGGTAGATTAGATTACTAGTAGTAAATTCATTGTCCTAGTGCTTCTATCAATTTGAATTTCTCATTCTTGTGTTTCGTGACTTTCTACTTATTTTTTCTTTTAATTTCGTTGGTAATTAAATCATTCTTTCACAAAACCCTTTTCGGTTTACGTGAGTATGCTACGTGTTTAATTTCTTGTTTATATAATCAGAGTAGTTAAAGTATTTTATGAAGTAAATTAGGTTAGACTAATTGGAAGTTGAACTCAATCCTCGTGGGAATGACCTCGTATTTGTCATACTATATTACGATTAACCTTGTGCACTTGCGAGTATAATTTGTGTTTAGACTAATCTTTATAATCTCCATTTTTCAGGTTGTCTAAAATTCACAACACCTTCATAATATATTGGTTGCCCTCAGAATATATCGGTTGCCTTTGGTAGAGTCTATGCACATGACTAGTTTTGCATGTACATGTGTTTCATATACAAGTGTCCTACCAGGATTACCTATACTTGTGTTTATTGCACAGGTGTCCGGCCAGTGATTTTCCTATATCTACAGTTTGATTACTCTATAGGTGTCCGGCTAGTGTATTGCATGTACTTCTTTTGTAGGTGTCTAGCCAATGAATTGCATGTACTCGTATTGCAAATACGAGTGTCCAGCTAGGATTTTCCTTTGTCACCCTGTCGATTGTCTACATAGAGTTGGTCAGTTTCCCCATAGGTATACTTGGGTGGAGAGTTTTTATATGGATTGTTTTGAGACTTGAATTCTATTAAGTTATTTGTTGAATCGCTTAATTTGTTGATTTTGAGAAATGTCCAAGGTAATAAGGTGGACTCTGTCGAAATTTAGGCAGAAGTCGTAGACTCAACCAAGGTGAATTTGTTTTCAAGGGTATGTTTAATAATTGGGGTCCGACATGTGTTTGATGTCGAACAGGAACAGGGTTCATAGATTCCAAAGAGGAATTCGGGACGGATCATGTCATGCAAGCCAAGTCTTTTCAATTACCTAGGATTTGATCCAAGCCCACTCATTATACCACCACAAATAAGCAAATGGGCTATCAAAGAGAGCCCAACTTTGCCAAAAATATGGGCCCAAATAGGAGGGTGGGGGTGTTCGTTATTCTTTTTACTTTCTGTTTAATAATTTACAATCTTCATTTCCAAATGTCAAGATTTGATTGTTGGGTGTGAACTTAGAGGTGTCAACACAAGCACAACCCGCTTAAATAAGGCCCAGTACGGCATGATCCGTATCTTTAGGCCGTGCCGGGATAAGGTGATTAGGCCCAATGGGACGGCCCGAAACCCAATAAACCAGCCCGTATAAAACCATTTATTAAATTATATTTGTTTTAGAGAAAAATAATATATTATATTATTACATTTATATTTAATTTAAGTTTATTTCTTTTCTCTAATAATATGTATAAAAATTTAATGTTTTCTTTATATATAAAATAATAATTTTGTTTTTCAAATTTCAATTTGTAAAATCTAAACAATAATTTAGTTATTTTCTATTTAAATTTACTTTAAAAAAAGTTATTGGCTACTTTTTTCAACAAATAATAAATCTTGTTCATATTATATAATTGTAAAAAGTATTTAAATGAAGTTATAAAAAAAATAGAGAAAAAAAACAATATATTAGTCAAATTTGGTGTGGGTCCATTTCGACCTGTTTAGTGGCCTGGCCTGAGCACGGCCCGAGCTCATGTAAACTTAGCCGTGAGCTCGGACCGAAATTGACAATTTTTATAAATAAATGGATCTAGCATGAACCATTTATTAAATGGACTAACTCTAAACAGATTGGATTGACATCTCTAATGAACATGTCAATAGTTAATGAACTTGAAAGGACATTTTTGTTCGTGCATGCCAGCTTCACATGCGTCACAGCGACTTCTGGACGTAACTGGTTCGACTGAATAGATAATTAAAGGGTTCCCACTACGTATGGTCATCTTCAGATAGCGAGCCACTGGGTGACGACAACATCCATGGAATTTGGCCTTTCTATTATTTGCTCATCGCCGTAGCCAACTTCTCCACCTCACACAGTTTTGCATTATTTCTCATATATTCACAAGAAAAAACACATAAAATAAAATAATAACGTTCACACGGATGTTGGATCCAAATTCCAATCCCCTATAGAAGTAAATACGTTTTAAGGCAGTAGGGTCAACGTGGTCCTATACGCATACATAAATACCAATTCGATGACTCATACTATGTAGTCATTTTGTTGCAAGGCCCTCGCAGTGTATGAGATGGGTTCATTGTGCCCTCTACTGTTTCCGGTGAACCGTTTCGAGCCGGAACTTATAACACCGGCGAAGCCAACGCCTACTGAAACCAAGCAGCTGTCGGATATAGACGACCAGGACGGCCTTCGGTTTCATTTTCCAGTCATCATGTCTTATAAAAACAATCCTTCAATGAAAGGAAACGACGCCGTTATGGTGATCAGGGAAGCACTGAGTAGGGCACTAGTGTATTACTACCCTTTGGCTGGTAGACTCAGGGAAGGGCCCAACAGAAAGCTTATGGTGGAATGCAATGGAGAAGGTGTCTTGTTCATAGAGGCTAATGCTGACGTCACGCTTGAGCAACTTGGGGACAGAATTCTACCCCCGTGTCCTGTCTTAGAGGAGTTCCTGTTTAATCCCCCTGGCTCTGATGGTATTCTTGGTTGCCCTTTGCTGTTAGTTCAGGTATCCATATAAATTTTGCTTCTTAATTTCAATTGGTTTTTTTTTAATTTAAATTTTTTGGCTTTCTATTTCTTTTTTTCATTCTTGCAAACATATATATATATAGGGGCGGATCCGTGGCACTACGTTTTTTATACAAGTTTTGACACAATTTTTGGGCCATTAGAATACTCCACTTTCAATGAATGAGATTAAATCTGACATGAATTTTTGACATAAAACATAAATTAAAATGTTTTTTTTTTATTAGTCAGACGTATTGTAGTGTAGGTTTGTTAATGAGATTTTATTTGTATGGTGGGGTTATTTTTAATTTTTTTATAGTTATGAACTTATTGGTCAGACATGTGGGGTAAGTTTATTAATGGGATTTTAATTGGCTGGAATGAGGATGTCACGTGATCTGGACTATGATATTATTTTAATCCACAAAAAATAAACTCACCTAAACTACAGCCTAAGTTAGCCTAGGTGTAGGACCGTGCCGACTAAAAGGACTTTCAATAGATTTCATAGAAGCAAAAACAATGAAAGACAAGCCACTAAATTTTATGTCCCACCTTTTATATTATATATTGAATTAATTAATTAATCAAAAAGATAGGTAAAAAAAAACTTTTGCTTTTTCTGTTGCCCAAGTGGAATAGTTTTTAACTTTTCTTTTCTCATTCAAAAGTTGTTTTTTCCTGGTACATTTGCAATGGGGTGGGGCAAGGAACCAATTCCCCAACAAAGAGGTCCCGATATTTGGATATTACGGATATGGAGGAGGAGGAGGAGTCAGGAAAAGGATTTTATGAGCGTGGGTATGAATATTCATTATCTGCTCATCCGGACTTGAATATAGATAGATGATGAATACTTAATTCGTTTCCATTTTCAGATTCAAACACATGACTTGAGTGTGTCTTTCCAACCTTGAAGGCTATCATCAATTTTGAGTCAAAACCTTGTCCTTAACAATTGGACACAAGAACATACCCCAAATTGTCCTACACAATTCGTACTCCGATCATTTTATCCATTTGTAGTACTCTTTCCTCTTAATTTTGTTTTTATGATAATTTGTTAGACAAAACAAGCACGAAAACATAAAAATTAAGGCCAACATACATTTACAAGGGTATATATACAGTTTTTATTATTATTTAAAAATAGAAACTTTATTAGGTAAACTTCAACAATACAATTAAAGATTTCAACAAGATATCTAAAATACCAATCTCAAGAGGGCAACAAACTAAAGTGCTAAAAGCAAAACTTACGCGAACAAAAGTTACGCTAAAACTATTAGCCCACGTCACCCCAATTAACTATAAGTGAAAACAAAGCCCACAAACACAATGTATTATAGTTATTTCAAAAGTACTTGCAATTATTAATGTAGGTAACTCGCCTGACATGTGGAGGCTTCATCTTTGGATTGCGCATAAACCACACAATGTGTGATGCAGCGGGGTTGGCTAAATTCTTGAACGCAATTGGGGAGATGGCCCAAGGAGCAGATTCACTATCAATGCCTCCAGTGTGGGCACGAGAGCTCCTCAATGCCAGAGATCCACCAACAATTACACGTTGGCATTACGAATATGACCAATTGCTTGATTCACAAGGCTCCTTCATTGCAGCAATAGACCAATCAAACATGTCCCAACGATCCTTCTATTTCGGTCCACAGCAGATCAGAGCCCTCAGGAAACATCTTCCACCCCACCTTTCCACTTGCTCCTCATTTGAGCTCATAACAGCCTGCGTCTGGAAATGCCGGACGCTTTCACTGAGACTGAATCCAAAAGACACTGTTCGCATTTCCTGCGCGGTCAACGCTCGCGGGAAGCGCATAAATGATCTTTGTCTTCCCTCGGGATTCTACGGCAATGCGTTCAGTATCCCAACTGTCGTTTCAACGGTGGAACTTCTGTGTGCAAGTCCACTGGGATATGGTGTGGAGTTGGTGAGGAAGTCCAAGGCTCAGATGGATAAAGAGTACATGCAATCACTGGCTGATTTTTTCGTGATCAGAGGACGGCCTCCGCTTCCAATGGGATGGAATGTGTTTATAGTTTCTGATAATAGACATACTGGTTTGGGAGAGTTTGATGTTGGGTGGGGAAGACCATTATTTGCTGGACTTGCGAGAGCGGCCAGTATGATCAGCTTCTTTGTCCGAGACAACAACCAAGAAGAGGAATTTGGAACTTTGGTGCCCATATGCTTGCCAAGTACGTGTTTGGAGAGCTTTGAGGAGGAGCTCAAGAAGATGACATTGGAGCATGTCGAGGAGTAATATCTAAATAAGATGTAATTAAAGGCTTATGTGTCTGATTAATTAAGTCTAGTTGTGTTGTGTGGGCTATCATTTCTATGGTGGGGTGTGGGTTTGTTTCCCCTATGCCTCTTTGCATTTGGAGTTAGTTTTTTGTTTTTTAATTTTTATTTCTGTCTCTTCGTAGTTAGGAGAGGTCAGGTTTGTGGTTTGTTTGTACGTATTGTTGAGAAAAACGAGAGTTTGCATCAGGTTATTTAATTATTATGTAACATGCATGAACAATTGTCATTATATTATTATATGTTTAATAACGTTTAAATGCTGCAAATTTCAACTTCTTTTTCTTGTAAATGTAGGAAAATGTTGTGTTAAATTGCTACGAATAATAAATTAATAAGTGTTAAAACGTCAAATTGCTTCAAGTTGTGGTTTGTTTTGTATGTATTTTGGGGAGATAGCGTTTGGTCCTTTTGCTTGCTGTTTTTGACGCTCACGACACGTTTTCGGTATTGTACAAAGAACTATGCTTGCATAGAATGTCAAACAATATGGATATAATATTTTCAAGTTGTATTTCCTAATTAAGATAAGATCTCACTAACACTCCCTCTCAAGTTGGAGCAAATATGTCATGCATGCCCAACTTGTCAAACAAATTGAGAAAGACAGTAGTAGACACAGCTTTCGTAAGTACGTCTGCCAGTTGATCCTCGGATGATATAAAAGGAAAAGAAACAATCTCAGCATCCACTTTCTTTTTAATAAAATGTCGATCAACCTCCACATACTTTGTACGATCATTTTGGATTTTGAATATTTTTTTTTAGGTTAAAATGTTAAGAAAATTAAATCACGAATGTTGAAACAAAAATAATGTAAAAAAATTAACGACAAAAAAAATTTAAGGGTTAATTATTCTTAAATAATTTAATAAAACTGTGGACTCAAATTATGAGTGTGCATAGTTGAAAGAAAAAACAATTTAAGTCCGGATAATATATGAATAGTTGTATTTTGAAATGTGAAAATTTGAGTTTAGTAGCAACATGGTTGAAGATGGCTTAACATCTTGAGTTTGACCCTTTCTTATACGAAAACGAGGAAAGTTAAACCCAAGTTTGACTAAAGCTCTGAAGCCCAAAAACACTTTTCTTTCCCTTATAAAAATAGGGAAACTGATGAAATAATCTTGGCCACGCGTGTGAACCTTCGACAAACTTTCTCTCTCGACACGATCATCTATCTCTATTCATCATCCATATCATCCATATTTTTTCTTAGGGTTTGGTTTTCTTCAGCCTTCCACCGCCAAGCCCTCTCCCAATCGAATCAGGAATACGTCTTCTCTGGCCACAAAATCAATTGGGAATCCCAGTACATAGAGACCTCGTCTTTCTCACTTTCAAATACATTACAAAATTGTAGGGTTTTGCATCAATTATGAATATAATTTCATCGCCTTCGGTCATCTCTGTCGTCGTCATCTTTGAGATTGAGAATCTTCGCGTCTTGGGTCCTGGCTTGAATCCTTTGGCACCAAACTACTGCATCGCCAATTATTCTCGCTAAGTTTTTGCCCCCATTTCTTTACTGTCTTTCGATATATTTTGCTTTTCTTTTACTGTGATTTCCCCCAAAAATCATGTAGATCTTGAGTCTTAAGTCTTAATCTTTAGGGTGAGATTTGTTGTAGTTGTTGCATAGAACTCTTCTTCAACAACTGGTTTTTGTTGTTATCACTTTTTGCAAATTTGGGTAATACAATTAATTCAAAAAGCTTGCCCCAAAAAGAAATAGAACGAATGGGTTCGCTTAGGCGGAGCTTGTCGAGAAGGCGGTCGTTTAGGTCTGGGGTGGATATGGATGATAGGGGATGGACTCTGCTCCATATTGGTTGTCGCAAGGGTGATCTGAAACAGGTAAATTCTTGATCCCATTCTACTTATTTGTAATTGTAGAGTATATTGTTGGAAAATTTATTGAGCGAATTGGTTGAAATTTGGTGTTTTGTTATATCTTGTTGAAACTCAAATTTGGCATTGGCATTTGCCTTGAGAATCTAAGTCTAATGCTTTGTTGATATGGCTCATGGGCAAGTGTATCGATCACTTGCTATTTATGATTTGCACAACTATTCTTCTGCACAATGATAATGATAAAGTGCCATGTTGAGGTTATTTTGCATCATCTTCTGTTCCAACCAATGTTTTCAAAGGCGAGGCGAGGCGTTTTTAGTAGCGCTATGTGAGGCGTAAGCCTTGAAGCATTGAGGCGTAAGCCTTTTGAACATTAATTTATTTTATTAACAAAAATTTATAAATAATACAATACAACTAAATTGTAGTACGAATTCGTATTGAAAAATATTTATTCAACATCAAAAGAAAAACTCAATTCATTCATCCCACCCCACAAAGGCAAAAGAGTTTAATAGAAACTTTATAAAACTAGAGAGAAGAGGAACAAATGAGCAGACAAGAATATCGGGTAAGGGTTATATCTTCTGCGGCCAGGTTATCCTTCAGGTCCAACTTGGGTATAATAGTAATGTTATAGTATATAATATATATAGGTCCAGGTTATGGTTGGGGAGTCAAAACGTGCGTTTAACTTAAAATCAAGAAACCAAAACCTTAAAACGAAGTCGTTTCATTGAAGAAAACCTTAAAAAAAAACTTCATCTTCTTCATCGCGCTATAGGCTTGCAGAACGCAGAAACAGCAGCGCTGTTCTGCCTCGCTCCGCCTCACCACGCCTCGCTGTGCCTCACTCCGCTAAATGTGCCGCAAGTTAAACAGACGAACGCTTGAGGCGATTTCCATTCGCCTCAGTCCGACGCCCGCACTGGGGTGCGATTAGGCATGCCTTTGAAAACACTGGTTCCAACTCATAAGGGAATAAAATGTCAAGTAAGATAGGACTTTTTCATGATGTATGATTCAAAATTCTTATTGGAATTGACGATAGATTTATTTAATTTTGACAAGTATGATATGTTAGGTAAAGAACAAACGTCTTGTATTTTCAGACAGTATTTGTAGTTTATTTGTGAAGGGTCCATTTTGATAGAGTATTTGAAATGAGGTTTGAGCTTTTAGGGCACATTGCTTTATCAGGCTTTAGAAATATTAAATTACAACATAAATTAAATTCCCAATTTTCATAAGGTCAAATTTATATGTGGATTTTATTGATGTAAGAAATCCTGATTAAGCAATTCAGATAATCAAAAGAGTTTTTGTTAGTGTTTGACAGGAATAGATAAAAGTGCGTTTTCTTGAAGCTCCCACGACCTACATCCTTTTCACTTCTTGTTTTGGATTATAAAATTAGAAAAGTTATTTGCGTTCCAGATAACAGCTGTAAGTGCGGGTCCCTTTTGGGGACATTCTTGAGTAAACATATGACTCAAATGATCACTTAAGTAGCCACCAGGAAATGAGAATTAGGCCCCTTGTCAAAAGTAAACTATTTTTTTTAATAACTTAAAATCTGAACTTTTATTTTCCTTTAACTTTTTGTTATCTGCTTTGAGGCCCCAAATAATTTGTTATTTTTGACAATTAATCACAAATTATTTAAAATTTTCTGTGGATTCAATTCCTTGTGCAGGTGAAGCGACTTCTTAATGAGGGAATGGATGTGAATGTTGCTGCTTGGGGTCCAAAATCAAAAGGGATTACCCCTCTTCACCTAGCTGCTGAGGGTGGCCATCTGGAGGTTATGGATGAATTGCTTGAGCGTGGTGCTAATATTGATGCCAGAACTAAGGGTGCTTGTGGCTGTAAGTAGTGTTACTCTCCCTTTTCCCTTTGGCTTGTTTTTCTCTTTTAATTGAGAAGATGAAAAACAAAAAAATTTAAGATATATATGCTGATGTTTTCTCCTTCTTATACATGTTTAAACAGGGACACCGCTTCACAGTGCAGCCAAAGAGAGGAGGAGGGAAGCCGTGAAGTTTCTGGTAGAGAATGGGGCATTCTTGCCAGACGATATGTATGACTGTAGGTTTAATCCTCCACTCCATTACTGCCCTGGACTTGAGTGGGCTTATGAGGAGATGAAGCGTCTTCAGCTAGAAAGTGCATCGTCAGGGGAGAGCTCTTGCAGCTCTGAAAGCTAAAAGTGTTGCTGTGATCTTTTTGCAGTTGGTTTGGCTATATATGCAGAATTGCACATAGACAAGTCTCTTTGTCACCATCTTGTGTTTCTTTGGTTGCTGCTGTCGTGCATCAGGGATGCTGTGCATTATGTTAGTGAGGGGAGAGCTCTGAAAGCCTAGTGTTCTTGCACACGGTTTGGTGATTGGTCTTCTTATATCTTTATGTATGTAGCATTGCTCATAGACAAATACCATGTCTCTGTTTTTCAGTTGCCTACATTTTGCATCAGAAATGTTTTGAGTACTTTGTGTAATGGAATGTGTTCAGAAATGTTTGAGTACTTTGTGTTATCGAATATGTTCCGAACATTGTTCTTAATCCGTTGTTTCTGGATGTTTGATGATAATAAAATAATTATTATTGATATTATTATGACCTACAAGTAGCTTTCGTTGTCTGTCTTTGAAAGTTTGATGAAATCTTTGGGGCGTGGAAATTTGATTTAGTTCTATGTTCTACTGTTGACCTTAAATTGAGTTCGCCAACGTTAATGTCAATCTTTGAGGCGTGGATTGGGAAGGTTGTTTTTGCAGTTATGTTCTCCTGGGCTCTTGGGTGCAAGGAATTGGTGGTCAATGGTCGCTCATCCTTGGGAGGGTTTAAAAATTATTTTATATCATTTTCAATTAAACAAAACACATTTTCTGGAAATAAAAAATAAAAAATACATTCTCTTTTTTCCTGTTGTCGACAAAAGAGAAGGGGCTTGCAGCCGCTGCCGAGAACCCATAGATTCTGGCATCGGCGATTCTGATTCTTTTGCTTTGATTTTCATCTCTTGTCATATCAAAGATAATAGAACTAACTTGGTTGTGATGAGTTTTCTTGTTCTTCATTTTTATATCCAAAAGCCATTGAGTTCTTACCTCTTAACATACCAACGCACCATTGAGTTATCAACCAACCAATCAACCACTGAACAATATGCCAATATGATTTGTATAAGGATTTCTCTCTTATTATCCAGAAAAGAGAAAACAAACAATGGTAGAAACCAAAAAATTAAGGAGCCCAAATTTGTTATAAAAAATAAAACTGAAGTTTTCCCAAAATCATGGTTCTTTGCAGTTCACAAGAGATGAAAAACTAAGCGGATAAACATGGCAAAAGAATCAAAATTGAGGATGCCATAAGCGTAGGAGGCTGCAGGCAGCAGTTGCAAGGTTCCTGAGAACGTGTTCTGTTTTGTTGACAACAAGAATAAGAGAACTTGTGCTTTTTTTTTTGTTTTTTTTTTTTTTTTTTTTTTTCTTTTTTGTTTACTTAAAAATAATAAAAATAATTTTTAAATCTGTTTTTGTGGGTGACCACTATTCCTTGCCCTAGAGTCCAGGAGAACGGGACTGGTTGTTTTTGTGGTTGATTTTGGATTCTAAGTTCCTGTCTCAAAGCCCCCCGATTGCTGCAGGCCAAATGAAATTATACTTCTCTTCTTGGGTTCTTATCACAAATGGTGCCATCTTGCAATTTTGCTTCAGACATCAACGTTCATCAATGTTGCCTTTGCTGTTCGATTGTGGAAAAAGTTATGTTAGTTTGCTTACACACACGTAGCGCCCAACGAAAGCTGACATATTGACAACCACCACTAAAACTACTCCACATGGATATCATAGTGGTGCGTACGGTTTGGTTCGGTCTAGGTTTCCAGCCTTCTCCAACCTATTTGGACATAAACCCAAATTTTCTCCCTCAAAAAGTAACTATTTGGGTTTTGCCAAGACTCAAACCATTTTTTTCCCCAACCCTTCAAACTCAAATTTTAAGTCCGCAATTTTATTAAATTGTTTAAGAATTATTTAAGTCTAAATTTTTTTTATGGATAACTTTTTTTCATTTAATCTTTTTAAATAATTTAATATTTTGAACAATTTGACCTAAAAATTGAAATTCCATAAGTATAATTTTATTGGTATTTATAGAGTTTGAAGTGAGTTTTGGAGTTGGATATGATTTAGATTAATTAAAATATTATTTTAGCCATTGGATTTAAATTTCAGCCATTGAATTTTATTTTTATTTTTACCATTAAAATAGCTTCGATTTAGTATGGATCGTTGATGTGGATTACTGTTGGAATTTTATTTTTTTTAAAGAAAAACAAAATGGCGGCAAACCAGCGTGCGACACCTAGCATGACATATTCTACAACACAGCAATGCGGGGCCCGTTCTTTCCTCTTTGCACATGGGCTACATCATGGTTGTGCAGGCTCCACACAAAAAAATTCTAGTCCAGGCAATAGCTGGACTGGTATTTGGCCCCAAGTTTGGGTTTTCCCAAATTTTGGCCTCTTACTTTTATTGGGTTGGGAGAGATATTGAGCTATAATTTGGAGATTTTTTGGGTTTGGCCTCATGAGTCGGAGATGGCCTTATAGCTGAAATCGAATTGTAACTATATTGGGTTAGTTCATACTTTTTTGTTCATTTTGGTCTTGAACAAATCCCTGGTTATTGATATTTGAATTGTAACTATATTAATTATTAAACTTTAATGTTTTTTGTCATTGAATTTTAGGATGGTTTGATATGGTAGAAAATGAGAAAAATATGTAGCAAGTTATGGATTTTTATTTATTTATTTTGTTGTAATTAGGCTAACAATGTTTAAAAATTACAAAAGAAAAAAGAAGTGGATTTAGGCCCAAAACTGCCGAACCAAACCGTACGTTTTCAATTGGTTTGGTTTCTTCTGTAACTTTTGTCAAAATCGAAGCAATGGTCAGTGGTCACCCGTTTTCCTATCTGTTGATTTCGTGGCATTCGTATTTCAATAGTATACAGAAAGGCCACCTTCACCAGTTGCATTGATATCTCTGAACACCCTCCACGTGACACTATCAAAAATGGGAGGGCGCATAATAATGACAATTCAACGACCGAACCCGTTGTATCACAACCACTTGTTTTTTCAAAAGTAGACAAATATTCACTTTCAGCTTTAAATGATCAAATGAATTGATACAAAAATAATAAAAAAATCAAACAGCCTGGCTCATTCTGGGCAAGATATGAATCGCCACCGCCTCCAGTCCCAACGGCGTTTTCACATCCCAAAAGCTCGGCGGCGCCGCCGTAACATCCACCACTAAAATCTTGCCACGACAAACAACGCACACTCTTCCGCCACCGCCGGCGATCTGATCGGCCCCTATCAGTCTCTCCGACTCCAAAATCTCCACCCACACATCCTTCTCAGGATCGTATCTTCTCAAGGCACCCTTGGCCTCATCCACCACGTACATAACTTCCTCATCCATGGCTGCCACCGGCCCTTTCCACCCTCCAATCATCCCTTCCGGCATGTCTTGCCACGTGTCCTTCTCCACATCATACATAAGTCCCTCTTGCACGGCGTCCCCTTTGAGATTCACCATGCAGAGCTTCCCTCTCCATCCCACTGCCTCGATCGCGTCTCTGCTGAATCTCACATCTCTAAGCCCTCTAGCTTTCTCCCACTCCCACCCCAAGTGATCATTCCGATGCTTTTTGTTTTTGGTTAAGTCCCACTTCTCCACAGAACGCGCAACGTCGATGGAGAAGTGGGACCCAATCCCACTGGCCACATAGACTCTGCTGCCTAGCGCTCCAGCCGCACACCAGCGACGCGGCGTGGTGAGTGGGGGACCAAAGGCCCATTTTTTAGCAACTGGGTCGAAAACCAGAGGGCGAGGAAGAGCCGGGAGAAGATTGCTAGTGGTGGCGGCGACGAGGACGAGGTTGCCGGAGACGGAGACGGATTGGATGGGGAGGTTGCGGGAGATGAAAGAAGGGTGGCGGAGGAAGAGGCGGAGAGGTGGGTCAGGAGGAGTGGCGGGAAGGGCGTGCCAGTTGGATGAGAGCGGGTCAAAGCTGTAGAATTGGATGGAATTGGGGGAAGATGAGGAGGTCAAGAGAGCATACAAAGAGAGGAAGGGAGGGAAGGAGGAGGAGTAAATAAGGCGACGCCATGAGCTGCAAACGGAGAACAAAACGGAAGGGTGGACAAGGGAGAGGCAGACTTGGGCTACGTCGTCGGGCAGCCCGGGAAGGAGAGGCTGATGGCCGTGACCGACGACGTCGTTTCCACTCAGTCTTGTGCGTTTTGTGGGAGATCTGGAGCTGTCTGCCATAAGCAGAGTAATTTAGAGGGTTTGCCGTGGGCTTTGAGGCTTTAGATTCGGAAAGGAGGAAACTTGAAAATGCAATAAAAAAGCAAAGGGGGAAAAGCAAAGTGGGAAAGGGTCAGTTATGCTTTTGGCTTTACTTTATTTGAAAGATACAAAGTTTACGAAGAGAGAAAAAGAGTTTTGAAGTTCTGGTTGGTGCAGAACAGAAAAGGCTAGTCATAATGTCAGCACCCATAATAAAACATAAAAGCTGACCTTTCTGTCTTTGACAAGGCGCTGCTTTTTATGAAATTATGTGTTTAGTTGGTTCACCAAACGACCAAAAGCCTATAAATGCCTACTTGTATTTTACTTTACTTTACACCCAAATGTTGGGCATTGCAATTTGCATAAAAAAATTTGAATCTTTCTGTTTCTCTCGTTGGATCATCTCCAACCATAATGGACTAAACCCAAAATTTCAGCATCCAAAATAAAACTATTCATGTATTCCTAAAATTCAATCAGTTTTTCCCTCCAACTCTATTGTAGACTCAAAATTTGAGTCTTCAACTTTATTAAAAAAATTTAAAATGATTTAATTTAATTTTTTATTAAATTTTTTTGAATTAATTTTTATTTATAACTTCGCGGTTTATTATTCCGAACAATTTAACCTAAAACAAATTGAAATTCCACAAACATAATTTGGGGTTAATTTTGGTGTATTATTTAACAAATGTATGGGCATTAGGGTTCGTCATCGGGACGGGCCATAATTTAAGGGCTTTTTTAATTTTTTAAAGTTGAGTCTTGATTTCAAAGGGCTTGGCCTGAGCTCACCCATCGAGTTTGGCCTGTAGGGCTGGGCTAGGACACCATGGGCCTAAACGGGCAGGACTTTTTTTTAAAAAGAAAATTCTATGTCTTTTAAAAAGGAAATTAGAACATGATAAACTTATTGAGAATCGTAGAGTGGTTGATGGTAGACATGAAGATGAACTCGAAAACTCCCAAAATGCTCCAAGGTGGCTGGCGGCAGCAGGACTTCTCTTCGCAAGAATTGGGTATTTTTGGGTAGTGAAAAGTATGGATCCCCTCTATGAGGCCAGCCCTATGCTATTTATAATACACAAATCCTTAACCTAGTTACAATCAAATACTACCAAAAATAGGTTTCCCAATATCTCTTTGATTGCTTCTCCAAATTCCACAAGAATTTGACCAAACTTCCTCCTTTAAGCTTTGACTGGTTGATTGCCTTCTAAGAAACATCTTCTTTATCTCCAATTAATCTTTGTCGTACATCTTAATGGTTTTTGAGTCCAATTTGACAACTTTTCGTCCAATTCCTCTAATTAGGGACCAACTGCACAATTCTCACAAAATACATTAAACCCAACAATTTAATCCAAGAAAATCAAGAAATAAATAAGCAAAGGAGGCATAAAATATATGTAAAATATGGACTTATCAAGAGGTATTGTAGTTTTGTAGGCGTGGTTGAGAAGGAAAATTATCACTGCACCGTGCAAGTAATATATAGTTTATCTCCCATATCTCCTTGAACTTATTGACTAGGACAATTTTGTTGCATCCATATATTTTAACAGTCCAGTCTCTTTTTATTGAGGGATTCCTAAAATAATTTTATTTAAGAGACACCCTTTAGGGTCCCCTACGAATTTTTTTTCAATGATCCAAACCATCTAATTTTTAAGTCTGCATTCATAGATCATTTTTGCAAAAAAATCGGACAAATCAGAAACTGTTTTGACATCCAATTGTGTCCTACAAAATCAATAAACACGGTACTTCAAGAAAGTACTAAAATTTCAATAACTCAATTGAGTAGTCAAATGATATTAGTGAAAGATATCCCTCAATAAAAGCTCTCTGTATTACATCCCTCAAATATCTGCAGAACGCTTTAGCTATAAGATTATTACATTTTGCATGTCACACGCTTGAAGAATTGACAAAACTACAGGCCTCCTTTTACCCGAATGGCAAACCCAACCCGACCACCCCTGCTGCCATCCCGCAATTAACTTCTGTATATAAATATTTTTAGAATTCTTTTTAGCTGTTAGATATATTTACATCCAAAGGGTTCAAAATAAAAGTTAATAGTACTATGTTAGTTTCTTTTTGAGATATTTAGTAATATACCCATTCTTAGCACTAAAACTATAAATAAACCCTACATCATTTCATTTTTATAACATACCAAAAAAAAACTCAAAAAATGACAAATGGTACTATTAAATTTAATTTTAATTATTAAATTACTTTGATACCCTATTGAGTGTTTTGGGCTTTTTTATGAAATTTTGGGTTGAGTTTGTTTTAAGAAATCAATGGCAATTTTATAATTTAAAAGAAGTTAAAAACCTTTTTGTTATGTTATAAATGGGCTTTGGGTGTGTTTATAAATTCCATTTCATATAGGGTTTTTTTATAATTTGGGCTCCTATATTGGGTATATTAGTTAATCTCCCTTTCTTTTTTCCTCACGATATTACTCTGTTAGTTTGATAGGGCATTTGTGTGTGTTCGTGGTCACGTTGATAGTATTTTGATATCAGAACTCCATATGAAAATAAACCCAAAAAAAATAATAAAAAAGAGAAAATTGACTTCACCCTTTTACCATTGATTGAACAAATGAACACCTTTTCAGCAGTTCTCAATATTGGCAAGAAATATAATTTTCGATTCCTATTTCCATCTACACCACAAAATTGACAAGGGTGCCACGGAACTCAAGTATGAGCCCCATCCTTAGTACAAGGGCTATGTTGTGGGAAGACAGAAAAAAGACGTATAAGAATCAGAACTGTTTCTGTCAGGATTCATCATCACTGCTCTCAACAAGAACAAGATGCTTTTTGCTCTTTAGCCTTTTTGAGGCTCTATTTTCAATATCTTGATCTTCTTTGGCATCCTCCGGCTGTGTCGAATTTGCATACGTATTCACTTGCTCAAGTATTCTACTTCCGTATTTCTCTGCCTTGAGTTTTCCAATTATATTCTCCAACTGCAAAGGAATGAAATACGTTTTTACTAGATGGCACAAATTGCACAAAATTTTGAAAAGGCAGTTAGACATATATATTGTAGGTTTTGTTCCAGAGACAACCATACCAGGAACAAGCTCCCACTAATTTAACACGTTGATGTAATATGGCTAAGAATATATTGAATGGAAGAGTAATGTTTACGAAACGAACCAGTTCCATAGAATTTGGCTTCTGGGCACTTATCATATTGATTTGTTGAGTCGAGAGAACAGAATGCGGGAATATTCCTCCATGAACTGAGGAGAGTTCCTTTCTCAGCTCGTCTAGCTTCAATTCCAAACCAGAGGAAGCACAACTGCGTTTAACTGATTTTATACCAGCTACTTTATTTTGTCCGCTAGAAATTTCAAGTTTAACACTGCACTTCCCTAAATGTGAAAAGATAAGGGAATGATGCCAATTAGAGCATAACCAGAAAATAAACCAAAAAGGAGTCAACAGTATTATAACGCTTTTCTTTCTTAATGGATACACATATGGGCTAGTCTTGAGAACAGAAGTAGAAACTCAGTGCAAAAGGGATGGAAAACGAAAAATGGCTCAATACTTGTAATGCTCACTGTTAGAATGCCACCTTCATCCATAGAAGGGTACAGGTAAAGGTTGTTTTGCCAACTTCATCAACAGAACTGATACGTAAAAGCAAACTATATTGACCCAAAAAAACAAAAAATTTGAAGTAAATTATTAACTGTAGTATTACTTCAAACTAAGAGTAACAGAAAAGGCTACTCTTGATTGTCATTGTCAGTATCTTAAAGTAAGCATGAAGAGCACAGCAAAGTTTGCGGCCTTCTTAGAAGTGCGTATTTCTAGAAATACCAAGAATAATTATAATAAAATGAATAAATAACAAACCAAAACAGGTAACAAGAAAAGCAGTAATCAACCAACTTATTGTATCAGCCTAGAAGTTCCAAACCTAACTCTTCCAGGTAGGCAGTATTGGTTCCTGATTGTTACAATCTTATTTTTACTTCGCAATTCAGTATTCTATGGTAAGATAACCCTTTTTTTCTTGGTTTTATATATATATATACACACACACACACACATACAAATTTAAATTTTCTGGAAAATTTCTTGCAATATTAACTAAGCATAATGTCATTGGGATAAATCATCAATAATGTCATTGGGATAAATCATCAATCTCTTCCTTTTACTAGACTGATATTTTCTTTAAGGTTCAACATTGAGTAGGACGTTAGCATGGTATATCATGACAATGTTAAACTAGTTAAGATTTTTCAACAGAACCAATTCAGATAGGGGTTTCGACAGTGCTGTCCAGACAAAGGCACCAGTGATGCTACAAAAATGTTATCATTCTCAATATTAAATTCCTCAAAACTGAAACTTTCAGAACTTAGCAATTTCGATAATAATGGAGTTAACATAAAACTAATATCTGTGTCAGAATATGGAAATACAGAGAGAAACACTGGAAAATCAAACATAGATTTTCAGTACACAATGGTTATATGGTACATCTTTCGAGAAAAAAAAATCATTCTTACCATGCAATACTTGCTTTGCCAAGGGTCCTATTGTTACATATGCATTTGTGGAATAAGCTGTATGCTGAAATTCTTCTTTCTGCATCGAGAACAGAACATACTTGAAACAACCACATCATCCATAGTTACAAAGGGTCAACTAAATTAATAATATGCCTACATCAGATTTAACAGATTGCATACTTTATAGGGAGAAAAAAAATTAGGAGACAATCTTTTTGCCTTTAAAAATTTCAATCACTTATAGGTTGTTATACAGGAGCACTGCCTACTGTTTTGAGTTGTTCAATGAGAAAAAAAGAGAGTAAATAACATACATCAAGCAAACAAATTTCTGGGCAAAAACAAACAAATGCACAAGTGAAATTGCCAATGTGTTGGGTTGGGCAGAGTCAAAGTTAACACAATTTAATTTAATTTAATTTGTTCAGGTAAGATACACATGTTTTCTAGGAATAATTCAGAAACTTCAAGAAAATACCAGTATTATAAGGGATCAAGGAATTGATGCATTCAAGAGTTTTGTATCAACAATAAAGGACTAGCTCATTGAATATTTTTATACAATTTACAACCACTAGATCCAAGAAGCTATAGTTGTTTATGTGTTATTTAATATAGGAGATAATAATCTTTACAGTCATGTGAGTTCAAAGTATTTTGGCGGGCCAGGATTAAAGTAATTAAGGGCTAGGATGCTATGGTTGCTGTAACCGTTGTTTAAATACTCTTTTAAAAAGATATAGTACACAGCTTCTTTATACAATTTTATCAAAACTCCAGATTTTGGAGATTTACATCTATCTTTTATTTTTTTTATCTTCCCTTGAGAATTCAAGGTCCTAGAGAGGATTTCTCTATTTTTTTCTTTAAAGTGCATCTGCTAAATCACCCACTCTGCACCTTTCAAAACAACAAAGAAGTGGGCAATGGGGATTGGAGATTTAACTTAGGACCTCCTACAACCAGATCTCTGATACCATGTGGGGCAATCACCAGACCCAAAATCTTAAGGGATTAGGGAATGGGCCAAAATGCATATCAAACTAACAAATATTAGTTGAAACTTAAAACTCAAAATTTTCCATATTTTCATAAAACCAGCTAGTAAAATTTGAGAACAATCAACTTTTAAAAGGTCCAAAAGTTAGGCTACTTACCAAACTTCTATCTAATATGAGCTTTATGACAAGCTGCTCTATTTCCTCCCTCTTCAGCTCAGAACCTGAGTATTTCATACACCAAAAATAAGTTTCCATTCTATGAATAATACAATATTATGGCGGGGAAGGTTGATCAATACATTGAACTAGCAAGTGATCCAAATTAAAATTAAAATGAAATAATGTACCAAGACTTACTGGTATTAGAAACATTTTATTGATATGTGGTGTCTCTGAGCTAATATGGTATATTTCCATCGGTACCAAAAATCTAAGTTAAAAATAATTAAATTATCAAGCAATAAAACATACCTAGTTCCTTGTGCTTTGCTTTAATTTTATCAACTAATTGCAACACTGTCAATCTCTGATCATTTTCTTGTGTATCTTGCAGCAAAGAAATAATAAGCTTTGCATGACCTGCAAAGCACGCCAATGTTTTGCATCAAAGATAACCGTTCCAAGTGAAGAATATGTGTGCACATTATTTTCATGAAAGACCAAAAACTAAAAGAAAAGAAGAAAAAAAAAGCCAGCTGATGATATAAGCATTTAAGATGGGTGACCACAAATAGTTTTACCGAATGAATGAAAATTGATAGTTTAATCAAACAAGACTCTAAGAATTCTACATAAGAAATTGCAGTATTAATGTTATATGGCGATGCTTATCCCTCACCTCTGAAAACAGAAGGTTGAAGGGTATTATCAAAAGGTTCAACTGAATCAACACGTACCACAACTAAAAACAAGGACATGACATTTCCATGATGTTCCAAAATGAGTGAAATTTAGAAAAGTATTTTTCTCACTACTCAAAACAAACACATTTCAAATTTCATCAGGTTGTTTGGCATACCAACATACTAAGGAAATCCTGGAAGATAAAAGAAAAAATCCCAGGCATTTAAGCAATGAAATTCAGTAATTTGACAATTCAAATTTCATCAGGTTGTTCTGCATACCACCATTCTAATGGAAGCCTACAACTTTTGATTTGTCATTTGGGAAGAGGAGTCCGACTAATCTAGATTTTGTTAATCTCTCCCAAAGGTTAATCTAGTTTGCTTTTTCAGAATAAGATTGTTACCCTTTTTATCCTCGAGCTTATAAACCTTATTCTTCCTCCTTTTTTGGTTCTTACATCATTTTCACAACTAAGGGGCTTACATCATTTTCACAACTAAGAATCCATAATCTTTCCTTGTTGGTGGCAACAAAATGCAGTCATGCATTATACACGGCATTGCTAAAATGAGGAATCTAACCATTCTTACTCAGCTATTTGGATAGAGTCGTCGAAGAATTTTTAGGTTGTCCTGTGGCAGGAGGAGCTGGACTACCTGTCGGAGAGGGTTTGCGTTTGGGCTTTTTTTCTTTTCCTTCAATATTTTCTGACTGGAACACGGCTGTGATTTTTAGTTTTATCGTTCTGTATTTAAGACTAGCGGATATCTTGTCCGCTATATTGTGATGACATAATGGAAGACTAGCAGAAAACATAATTAGTGATGACAGTAATTTGAGTACAAAGTGAAAATAACCAGACACACAAAGTGTAAATTCTCATAGACAAAATGTAATAGGCTACGTGGAAGGAACAGACAGAAATTGCATACGTAGAAACCACAAAAAGAAATGAAGCCACACCAATGTCATTAATGCATAATATAAAATAACAGACAATTAATAAAGGATTGTACTCTTTTGGAGAGAATTCAGAAAAACATACGAGAGGCATCCACTTCTTTAACCTCATTTGAAAATGCACAGTTGTCACACATCCCTGAGATAGCATTGATTGCATTTATATTAGAGATAGGCAGTTGTAATACCAAACTAACTAACTGTGTCCCCATGAGTGCATATGCATGTGCTTGTGAACACATGGACTAACTACCAATAAAACAATGGTACCATTGCAGTCCTGTAATGGCTCAGCAAAATGGCGGAAAAACGAACTACGGCGACATTGTCTTTTTGACTGCAACAGTAAAGAGAAATCGATAAGACTCTACATCTTATGCTAGATTAAGCACAAGTATTGCAGAAATTTAAATGTATCCGGCCCAAGGCTAGAAATGTTAGGAAACTAAAGGAGGTATGACTTTCTCATCATGATGCAATGAGTGTAATTGTTATTCAGTCCTCATAAGTATGTAAACTCAAAAATAAATTCAAATCAAGAGAGAATATGTTTTTTTTTTGGAAAGGATCACATGTTCAACATCAGAAGAACAGATCCATAAATTAAGGTGCTTGTTCAAGCAAGACAAAGGGTAAAATAAGTATTTTTTGTCTTCTACGTACTTTTAGAAAGGGTAAAATTATAATTACTTCTTTTTAAGGGAAGATGGAATGAGTATTTTGGTTGGTGGCAAGCACCACCTGTATTTTTAACTTTTTGTGGATAGTTCAGTTTCAATATTGACAACAATCAGGCACTTCTATGACACATCAGTTTAAGCTGAGTTGAAGCTTGTGGCCTGCAGAAAATGTGATGCTTAAAATGGAGGACACTACCTGACAATATCGTACTATGTCATAAAGGTTCTGCAATCCGGAATTTTCATAGAAGACCATTGAACTCTGCTCAGGGAAATGTCAAATTCAAAGATTACATCATCTTCTAGGAAATTGTACAGTTGTGCAGTGGTGGAAAATAATACCTGCCTAGGAACATCACCAGGTCTAAAGTAAAGTAGGCATTGAGAAGGGAGTCCATCTCGTCCAGCTCGGCCACTTTCCTGGAGCAATGAAGGTTACAGAAGGGATAAAATTAAAGAAATATGTAAGTGTAGCTGGAAAGGCACAAAACCTGGTAGTATGTTTCCATTGATTTACTTAGGCTGTGATGGATGACAAACCTGACTACAAGCAGTTACCAAGTATTAAATATAACAGAAAAATAAGACTTAAAGTGTCCATGTATGACAGACAATGCACAGGGAAATAACATAAAAGAAGAAAGCATCAATTGCATAAGTTTTTCTGTCTGGGATCTTTAGACTTTGAACATTAGACCGACCTGACCCCCATCCACCCATAATGAGCTGCACCATGGCTTAGGTTACGTGGCTTGCAGAAGTTGCACGACATATGACGGTTTTCTAACATATAAAATGGTTCTCATACTTACCAATTTGAAATTCTGAATTATTTTTATTTATTGTATTCAAAACTATCCTTTCTTTATCTTTTTTTTAATTTTTCTTTTTTTAAAGAACAAAATATTTCCATTGAAAATAAAATAAAATTACAACATAGGGGACAAGGCAGTTCCCTAAACTACAGCAAGGATGAAAAATCAGCCATTCATATAGTACCGGGCCTCCAATTTACTATACACATCAATATCGTTCTACGTGCGTGTTCATGAAAAGCATGAATTAAAATAGTTTGTTTGAAAACTGGACTACAGGTTAGATGAGACATCTGCATAAACCAAAATCACACACCAAGTACCCTATAAACAAATTAACAAAATAAAATCCATTATCAACCCAACCCATAACACACCAAAAATAAAATTCATTGATTGAACAAATTAAAGCATGATAAAATTTTAGACCTACGGTCTTAAAGTAGTGTAAATTATAAATCAAATTGAAAAAAAAAATCTTTATAAATTCTTTATAGATTATGTCCCTTTTCAAAAAATTAAAAGTAAAATTGAAGCTTCTAGCTAAAAGCTCTTTTGTCTTTCGTTTAACATATGACATGAGCAAATTAGATACCTATTTGGGATAGAGAAATTTTTAAGTGAAATAAGCATTCAATAATCTATTAAGTTTCTCTCAATTCAGTGAATATTTTGCAGATTCATAGCTTTATGTACAGTACAGAGACTCTGTAGATGTGTGCACACACGCATGTGTATATTGGGGTAGTTTGGAATATCTTGGCCTGTAAGCATGATGGTTTTGAGAAGGGATTTTTGTAGAAATGTCACCTGAACTTATACCTTAGTTTCAATTTGTCACCTTAAAGAAAAATTTAAGAGAAATGTCACTTTAATTTTTTAAAATCCATGATTTGTCATCTGACTTTAACATCATCCAATTTTCCATCCATTTTAAAGGGTATTTTAGTCTTTCCATTTTCAAGGGTATTTTAAAAATGGAAAAATCATTATACAAAAATTGTATATCTTTTAAACAAGAAAGGGGTTGGATTTTGAGTGGGAAGCTTAAGTAGTTTTAAATCAGGTATCTGAAAATTTTAGCATGCTCAATGAACACCATAAAAAAAATTATACATGCTTAGAGAGAGAGACAGAGATAGAGACAGCGATAGAGAGAAGAGGAGGAGGAGAGGAGTCTTGTGCAATGTGTTTTGGGGGTGAGTGGGGGGTGGGGGAGAAAGGGTGGAGAGAGAGGTCTCTTTTTTTTCTCTTTTTTTTTCCTTAAAAATAGAAAGACTAAAATACCCTTAAAAATGGATGGAAAATTAGACGGTGTTGGTTAGATGAAAAATCATGAATTTTGAAAAATTAAGGTGACATTTCTCTTAAATTTTTCTGTAAGGTGACAAATTGACACTGATGTATAAGTTCACGTGACATTTCTACAAAAATCCCTTTTGAGAAACATCATGCTTAATCGATGACTCCCAATGAATGTTTTAAAACATTAACGCGTAAAGCGAGGCATTTTATCGAGAGCCTCGCTGTGAAGCCTCTTATGCTTAGAAATTTATAATGGAACATATATATATACAGTGAGCTTCGATCGAGGGATCCCTCAAATAACTTATTTGAGGGACACCCTTGTAGGGCCCACCGTACATTGTAATTCATTAATCAAAACTGTCTATTTTGTAGATATTCATTCGAAGATCATCTCTACAAAAAATCACTTGAATTCGATATCATTTGACCCCTCAATTAAATTATTGAAATTTTAGTACTTTCTTGAAGCACTGAGTTCATTGATTTTGTTGGACACCATTAGATGTCTAAATGGTTTTCAATTTATCTAATTTTTTGCAAGGATGATCTATGAAAGAAGACTTAAAAAATAGATGGTTTCAATTGTTGGAAAAAAAAAATTTATAGGGTACTCTAAAGGGTGTCCCTCAAATAAAATTATTTGAGGGATCCTTTATATATATATATTGAAAAACATATTGTCCAAAGCCTAGGTTCTGAAATTCCTAGCTTCCTTTGAACCCTAGATGTCGAAAATGGATAGGAATCACCTTTTGTATGCCGAATTCAATAAATATTATATGGGTTGTTTAATTTTTTAGTGTTTAGGAGGTTTAATGTGGGGAAATATTGGCCTCCAAGAGAGAAGAAGTCACGTGCAGCTGCTGGGAGGAAATGGATAGCTAGCTACCAGGTCTGTCTAACTGAGATAGGGGTTTAAAAGTTTTTTTATGAAAGGGCCAAAACTACATAGTTTGGGCCCGTGGTGCTTCGAAAAGAAAAACAAGACGCCTAGATCTATTTCTTTTGCACCTTAATTGCACATTCACGCCTCCAGCGCACCTTGTGTAAGCCTCAATTACGCCTACATGGTATTGCGCCGTTGAAGCACGCGCCTATGAAATCACTGCTCCTAAATAGGAGTCAAGTTCCAATATGATGACTAGAAAACCACCAAATTAATCAAGTCCCCGCATACTGTTAAACTAGTATGCAAAGTAGGATATTTATATATAAATTTCTATAGCAGAAGCCATATACCCCAAAAACAAAACAGTTCATTATGAAATACTAACCATCTGGTTTGTTGATTCCCATGCCAAATGCTACCTGGAACACATATGCAAGCTAAGGTGTAAGGAATATCAATTGGCAAAAAAGAAGATTCTAAAATGAATAAGGGAACTGAAAACAAGCATACTGTGCCAACGATGACTTGTAGTTTTCCATTACTCCACCTGTATCATCAAACATACAAAAGGGGATCCAGAAAGTGACTAAACAAAAGAATATATGTTGACACATGACAATGAATAAGCATTCAACAAACTAAATAAATAACTTGAAAGAAAGGCAGAGTAATCTCAACATCCATAACAGTAATACTAGTTGCTGAGAATAGACAATAAAGGGTGACAATTGAGTTTAAATAGGTTTTCTGGAGGTGAGATTATTTCCATACAGAGAGGATGCAAGAAAATGGTGTTTAGAGACTTTTGTAATTGGCTGAGACCCATACCAGGTGGTCCTCTGTTTCTTCCTTTCAGCCTGATTTAGAAATCTAAGGTCCCACCCAAGGTTGTATGATGATGGCTATGAATTAGGCTATTTGGTTGGAAAGAAAGCAACGGATCTTTGATGATGTTTGAGGGTTGGAAGTGGAGGAGGTGTGGGATAAGGTCAAGTATTGGGTAGCGCTTTGGGCATCTGTTTCTCCTTTTTTTTATTTTTCTTTTTAAATATAAGACACATAATTTTACTAACGTAAAAAAGCTAATTATAAAGAATGAAACAGGAATCCACAATCTGGGAAAGAACAAGTAAAAACAAGAAAGTACAACTCAAAAGGAAGTACAATAGAACATGCTCACTGAACAAAAAATCATACTCTCACTTCAAAGCTGCTAACAATCCAACATTATAGAAGAATCAGCATAATCCTTAAAATCAGCCAAAGACCGATGCCCATAAAGCTGCCCAGAACCTCACTCTATCTCAAAGTTACAATCCTCAAAGATTCTTCTATTGTGCTCCAACTAAATGTTCCAGAAAACTGCGAACAGCAAACAACCCCATAATGTTTTAGCTTTCTTCCCCCTTCCCAAAGCCTCAACCAAATGATTTAGCTCTCCTGAATTTAGGAACACTTCCCTTTCTGACATTATTCTAGACTTGAAAGCTGTAGTGTCATCAATATTTTTTGGTTTGATAAACTAGATGTAGCTTGAATTCACTTCTTTAGTGTACAACCTCTCAAAGAAACCAATCACTTCATCCTCACTCTCAATTATATCACTCTCCATCATCAACTTATTCACTCTTATGCCACTACCTGTCCTCTATGAAGCACAAATACTTAAAATGTTGTGGATATGGAGTAATACTCTTCTGATACGGCCAAATAGCTGTCTGATACTTCATTCAGGGAATTGTCTGATTATGGCACTAATACTTTTTTTTTTCTTTTTTTTTAATAAAAGAAACATAATTTTATTAAAGACTGAAAGTTAATTACAAAGAGTGGATAAGGAATCCACAATCTGGGAAAGAAACCGGAATTTCATATTTGTGACACTTGGGGGTGATGTAGGATATGGGTGAATTGAGTGTTTATGTATTTAACAGAAGTGAAAACAATGGAAAACAGAAAATAGAACGAACAAGGAGGTCTGGAATCACTCCAGGGGTTTGGCTTCACACCAAGAAGTCTCCAATCTCTGGAAAATAAACTTGAATTAATATTTCAACAACTCAACTCCATAATGAATTACATGAGAGGGGTATTTATAGCAAACTAAAACCTAGAGACAATAGGATAAAAAAATCTCTTGCTAAAACAGAAATTCTAACCTAAATAAAATAGGAAACTTAGAAATCACACTGAAATCTGGAAAACTTAAAAATCTTACTAAAATCTGGAAAACTTAGAGAACAAGTTAGAAACTAATCGCAGGAATAAAAAATTGTCAGATTTAAAGACCAAATTAAATGACTTCCTCTTCCATCTCTTTCTTTTGTAAACCCTAATGGGTTTGACAAAGATGTCGTCATCAGGGGGATAGAGAGAAGACATCCAGAGTTTCAAGAAATGTAACTAATAAGAGGTTAAATCCAAGGTAAGGTTTAGTCAGCAGCACAAATAGCCCAGTAAGATTTTGTTCCCAAAAATAGCATACTTTGATGATAATTAACAATAGTGATGCAATTTCCTCAACAAAAAACAAAAAACAACAGTGATGCAATTTCACTGTACAGTCACCCAGTAATCATATTATGAAAACAAATTTACTGCAAAATATCTACAATGAGTGAACAACATTACCGCATATGAACATTTTCACGAGCATTTACATCCATGTCTGCATGATAATGAAGAGCTGATATTCCTCTCTCTCGCAACTCCTTTGCAACCTAAGATCATAAATGTAAAGTAATAAATACCAACCAAATTCGGGCATTATACTTCAAAACTTGCTTACCCTACAATCATTTCTGGATTTTTTTTCTTTAACTATATCTATCATGTTTTTGACAATTTTGGAAGGGTCAACATTGCCAACTCCCCAGCTTAAATGCAATCTGACCGAAACGAGAATATGCCAATTCCATGAATGTACAGCGGTGCTAGGTAATACCAGCTTCATTTATTTTTACCTTTTTGTATGAGGGGAAAGGGTTTTCGAGGTGTGGATAAGGAAATAGTTTAATGGATTTGTGACATTTGATTGAAAAGTAAAAGAATGGTTATAGAAGATTGTAGAGAAGAGAGGGAGCCGTTAAGGAATATAGTCTGCTTTTGGTCTTCTATTATTAGGGCCTCAAAGTCTTCGCTATACTTAAAACTAGAAACAAATTATGTGACTGGAAAATAAACTAGAAACACAAACCTGCTCACATTCCTTTCTAGAAAAGCAATAAACTATGCCAGAATCATTATGTGAATAAGAGTCTCGGATGAATTCTGCAATTTCATCAACCACCACCTTGCCAACTGAAGACTTCTCTCGTACCTAATGAATAAGGAATTATGTCTGCACTCTTCAAATTCAAAGCCAGCAACTATGAACAAATAAACAAACCATGTAAAAGAGATTTGGTCTGTTGACCGTGCTGACAAACTTTACACATCTTGGAATGTGGAGCATCTCCATCAGATCACTTTGGACTTTCTGGGTAGCAGTTGCCTGCAAAATAGACAACAAGAACATCAACTCACCCAAAATTTTGAGATTAAAACAAACAAATGGATACTTCATTCTTTTCGTTTCTCTTTATAATTAAGAAATGGAGATTATATCCTAAACTGCTTCTTGCACTCCTATTTACTGTCATATGAATTGATAGAAATGCCCCAATAGTTGAAGGATTTTATTATCAGAGTTCTAAACACTCAATAGCATCATTGTGCCAGATTGAAAGCCAAAAGAAAACCCCTTTTATCATGCTTTCCTTTGCTTCTGACCAGTATTCAACAAATTTTTACCACAATTTTTATTAAGAAAGAAACTAATACAATTGGGATGAATGAGATGTCCATCAAAACCAAAATAGCACCCTTAGCACAATGGGAAAACATCAAATCAAAGCCTGAACTGCCGCATCGCTTGCTCCCTCAAAAATCTTTATGTTCCTCTCCATCCACACCACCCAAAAATTTGCTATTACAATAGATTTCCCTAATACCTAAATCCACCAACAAAATAGTTAGTCCATATGTTGATTAAGAGCATAAGGACTAACTGAGTTACTGTTCACAAAAGGTATCTTTGATCATATTCTTATTAAAAAAAACATACATCTGTGATCATACACTCACTAAGTCACTTCATTCATACTCAGAGTAGTTAGTTATAATCAGCAGTACAACACGCCCACAACTTGCAATATCTAACCTGTTTATAAGGAACATAGGGTAGTTTAAGTTCTATTAAATTTTGTGGGAATTTTAAATTGGGCCTTTTTGCCTGTCCATGTTCTAAAATAGCAGGAGTGGAAGAAGCTTTTCGGGAACTGCGATAGTCCCTCCCCTAAAAAAATATATAAGAATTAAGGATAGATAAATAACTTACAGTCAAAGCAATCACAGGAACATTGGGAAACTGAGTCTTGAGGATACCAAGACTTTTGTAGTCAGGTCGAAAATCATGACCCCACTGGCTGCAGCAATGTGCCTCCTGTAAAATAAGTCTAAAGATTAGACACTAGAGAGATATGCAACCAACTTAGTAAACAATTGTATTAAATAAAAAATAAAAAAACCATTTAGGAGGATGATATCCTAAAAGCTTTAATGGGCAAAATGAACATATGTTACATATGACACTCAAAATATAACACATTAATACAACACAAACAATTAACAGTCAAAAAGGTGGGAGACATGCCTAATAAAAGTAAGTCACATCCTACTCAGCCCATGAAAGTGGCACAGTAAACAAATAGGTACAAAACCCCACGATATCAAATACAGAGAACAAGTTGAGCTACTAAGCTACATGAAGTGTGGATGCACCAATTACAAATCGAAGTTTGTGCCTTTCAGAACAGAATATTTGTGCAAATCACGAAGAATCCATCAGTTAACATCATGAACTGGCCCTTAAAATTAAAATTAACGACCAACATACAAGTGCATAAATATTCAATACAGCATTCTAACATTTGTTTCGAGTATTCAATAGCATACACGTAAAACTTACTAAATAAGCATATGACATGAACTTAGACGATCAAAGTGCAAGATCAAGAGATTTTTTTTTCTTGGCCAGAAGAAGAAGCTACTGTGTATCTTTGGTGTTCCCTGTAAGACAAAACTTCATCCTGGTTTTACTAAAACATCTTTCAGTATTGATCCCCATTTTGGAGGCTCTTTGCACTAAGAGACACCACTAGACTTAACAGTACCAGTAAGCTACCAACGATGCTACATTAGCTAGGCAATTATAAGTTTATAATCCATTATGGAGCCTTCATGTCAAAATTTAAACAACTCTGTCCATAAATTATTCATCCACCATCTTCTAGAGTGGAACCCTAAGAAAAGCTCTCACCAAGCTGAACATATAGGTAGGGAATGATGTAGAAAATTGCTGACTTGTAACAAAAGAATGAACTTCAGTTTCTATAATTCTTTTCCATTTGTATCGGAGGATACCCTAATTCTAATACTAATTTTTCAAACATAGTAGCACGTCTAATCTACACATGGTCATGCCAATAATTGAAAATGCTGAGGAAGGATAGGTATCCGTATACCAGATAAAGATCAACACGTATTGACCACAAAAAGGAAGATAAAACCAATATACAAATATGCCTAGTTTGACATTAAGGTATAATGAAAAAATGAAGGTGACATACTCACATCAATAGAAATGAGAGATAGACGACCAGCATGATGGCACTTTTCAAGTTTTGACATAAACCTCTTACTCTTTGATATCTTTTCTGGAGTCACATACAATATTTTCAAATCTCCTTCCCCCTTTTCAAGGGCCTTGTATATTAACTTCTCCTCCTCCTTACTAGTAGTTGATGTCAACATATGAGCTGGAATGCCTAAGGCTGCCAAACCCATCACCTGAAGCAATGGTAATTGTGAATAATCAGATTAAAATATTAAGGAGACAGTTCGAGTAAAGTGAAGAAAAGAATTTAAGAGAACCTGGTCCTGAATCAAAGAAAGCAAAGGACTAACAACAAGAGCAACTCCATCACGAAGAATTGCTGGAAGCTGGTAACAGAGGCTTTTGCCGCCACCTGCAGCCATAATCACTAGAACATCTTTTCCACTCATGACAGCATTGATAATCTGACACCAATTAGCCACTATCAGTAAATCTAATAACAGAGATGGGAATGAGAAAAATAAATTGTACTTACAGAAACTAAAGGCGAGCCAATATAATGCTACAACTACTCAAGAGCAATCAGCAATACCAAAAGAATCACACCTCGTAAGGGATAAAGATAAACCATTGACAGCTCCAACTACCACATTCATCCACCACTTGAGCCAAAGCCAACATGGTTTATCCCAATGGAACTCTCACTATGGATACTGAAAACCAATACTTGTATTGGAATACAAAATTAAATCATACATCAAACTACAGTTCAGTGAATCAGCAATTGGCTCATACATAAGATTCTTAATTTCCAAGGATTAGGAATCTTTGGGAAATTTTATCATTCGGTTGTACTCTTAGCTTTCAATAAGACAAGTATTCTACAAAGCATCTACGGCAAACCAACTGTTGGTCTGAGTGTAGGGGATTGACTTTTAGAATTACAAAAGTACTGATAGGGTAATTAGTTGTAATTACGTGTAGTTTTTGTACTTACCTTCTTTTATTTTTCAAGTAACTGTTTTATCCACCCTTTTGAAGGAGAAGTACATACAGAATTTATCTCAAAATATTCTCTACATGTATCACAGCATCAGAGCCTACAACAAAAATATCTAGGATTTTTACTTCTTACCCACCCGTCAGTCCCTGCCCAAACCCTGGCTTTCGGTATCTTAGTTTTTGCTACCCTATTTCTCTGTGATTTTTCCAGCAAGTAGTATTCTACCCATTGCAATGGTCACATCAACCTATTCTGAGGAGAATACAGCAGCCGACACTGCTGGTTGCCACCATTGCCCCTGTTTTTCTTTCTTTTTCCTGCCATTACTACTGTTTCTTCTCTTCCTGCATTTTCCGCAGCTCCTCCAATTTTTTTACCGATTGATTACTACTCTAGTTTTTTCCTACTAAATTTGAGAAGATGAGTGATGATCGAGTTATCAACTCTACTTCTGATTCTTTCTCCTCTAGCCTGCCAATCTTCATGCCTTCAACTGTGACAGTGCAAAGAACCACTATGTCCATGCAGATCACAATTAAGCTAGATGGATCCAGTTATTCTGTGTTGTCTGAAGTTGTAGAGATATACATCACCAGGAGACGGAAATTGGCCTACTTAACTGAAAAATTACAGAACCAACTGAAACTGATGAGGGGTTTTACTATAGATTTATATCCGTGCATATGCGCACATATACTGTTCTAAATATTTGTAAAATTATTGTGCACTTATGTTCAATGTTTCACTAAAGCTCAAACATGATGTACTCAGAACATCTTACTTACAGACAGAGCTCATGCTTATTGACCACTTGCACAGGAATTTCTGCCTTAAGTGAATTTTGAAGCACACTGTCTCCCCAACTAACCTGACTTAAATCATGAATTTATTCAACATCTTACAAATAAGAAGGTGATATCCTAGGGGAGTGCGTAATAACATCCTTCTTATTTTGAATTTTTTTTACTAGAGAGCTTACAATTTAATAATATCAAACAAAGTAGCTGAAAATTTGAAAAAGAAAAATCCAAAGGCCGAAGTCACCTCTCGCTGATTTGCACGATATGCGGATATGCCAAATATATTGAACCTAGTATCATCAGCTTGAGAATCCCACTCAAATGGCCCAGACCAGTCTTCCACAGTAGTTGAAGCTCCATTAACAGGATAACCTGATTCTTTACATGCTTCAAGTATAGCCTTCAATTCAGATTGCCTTTCATATAACCTCTCCTGTTGGTCAAGCAATATCTTGATTTGGTCTGAGAAACGAGACATATGCATAAATCACACTGTGCTCTGAATATGAAAGAAAAAAGTGAAAGAGCTTCTGTAACTCATTCATGGGGGATTCTATCAGAATACATTTACTCATATCTTTCTTACTGATTTTAAATCAGCAAATACTATCTCCATTGATTACCGAAACGAAAGCCAATAGTAAGAAACTTGAAGCATGAGTTGAACCTAATACAACTATAAATAAAGGGCAGCCTGGTGCACGAGGTACCTAGCAGCAATAAAATGACTGAATTTCATACTCTCCTAGATTCCTCTGGAATTAATCCATCAATATTTTTCAGAAAACAGCGGTTACACAAACAATTATATGAACAAACTTAACATTTTGCACTCAAATGTCCTCCAGCATTAAAAAAAAAAGATTGAATTTTACCCAACTTCAAATAATGCCAATATACTTTCCCATTAGTCAACATTCTTCATGAACAATTATTCCACTTAAATACTTTTTTTTCTGATTTATCATAATCCTCAGTGATTAGGTTTCAAATTAAAGCTAAGAAAATAAATATCACGCGGAAAAAAAAACAAGAGAGAGAGAGAGAGAGAGAGGGCTTAGGATAAGCACCTTGGACGCCTTGAATTTCAACCTCAACGTTTAGCAGCTCTTCTGCTAATATCTCTTCAGTTTCCATTTCAAGTCCTTATGCGAGAGAGAGAGAGAGAGACTGGGAACAGCGAGTGTAATGTACAGTTTCAGCAGGCGAATTGTGGCAATTATAATTTACAAATTATAATGGAAAGTTTCTTCTGGGACGCAAGGGAGAAGTGAAGTGCTGCTTCAACTATGTTTAGAGCAACTCTAGCGAGCGACTTCAAGCATTTTAATGTTTTTTGTTTCCATTTTTTCCCAGGGCTTTGTTGTAGGCGGTACCAGCCCGGTGGCTTGTTCCACATGCGCCCAGCCCAACGTACATATCTAGCTAGTTGCACAAGCCCGGCCAACGAAGAAGCTATCTTCCAATTTCTAATTGTAATTATTTATTTATTAGTGGACTCGTGTGGTCTTCTCCTTTATATATGAGAATATATAATTAGGGTAAATTCCAATTTGGTATCCTGTGGTTTCACTTTTAAGGCCATCTCCAGCTAGATGGCTAAATGTACTCCATGCCTAAAAATTTAGCCTCTCAAAATATTAATTTTTTAAAGAATAGTGCATGGCTAAATTTTTCCATCTCCAACCATGCAGAGCCATATTTTAGAGTCCTTCATATTTTATTATTTTGGGAAAAACAATGGTATAACACTCATACATTTTACAACTATACATTATATAATTTAATTAAACTACTATTTTTCGGGCTATGATTTTCGAGTGACACGTGTCAGTCCGGGAACAACTATCCAGATTTCATATTAGATTTTTATCGACGTGGCACCTCTTATCTTCATCTCCAAATGTCAATAAATGGAGTGCTTTCAATTCAATATCTCACAACTTCATCTCATTCCTTTGTAATTCCTATATTCTTCTACACTTTTTCAACCAATTCTACAATGGATTCCAACTTGGATTCCGAATGAGAGGAGCGCAGACGCCAAATGATGGAAGAATATGTAGAAGATGATGCTCGAATGCACACAAATACACAACTTGCGGCTACTGCAACAACATTATGGACTCAGGAGCAAATACAACAACAAGGCCCTTAGGGTGGCTCCGTTGTTGGTCGCAATAACAAATGTAGGGGACGAGCTCTTGGGCATCAAAAATTGATGATGGACTACTTTATCCCAAATCCTATCTACACTCCTAAGGACTTAAGACATCAATTCCGGATAAGGCGTCATGTTTTCCTTCGTTTGGTAAATGATATCCCAAATGTCAACCCTTACTTCATATAAACAACTGATGCCACCGGTAATCTCGGTTTCTCACCTCACCAAAAGCTTACGAGTGCACTCCAAATGTTGGCATATGGAAGCTCAGCAGATCAAATTGATGAATCCATGAGGATGTCTGAGTCAACATCTATTGAAAACCTCGGTGAATTTTGTCGTACAATGGGAGATAAATTGGTGCGCAGCCTATGGTGGTCAACACCAATGTTTGGTGCTAGTTCTCATCGAGCTTGATAGTTAATAGTTAGTGAGGACTAGATGGGTACCGACCAAGGTGACATTAGTGGGTGGGTTATGTTGATCCACACCAATACTTAATGTTTGTCGATCTTGATGAAAATCTATCTAGAATTGATGGTAATTGTTAGTGTGTGGTAGCCAATAGCCTAGAACCCACAAATCAACCTAAAAGTTAAGTAGCCAATAGCTAACCCATAAGAAGACCGCTTACTCCTATATAGGGGTGGCAATTTCGGACACGACTCGATACACGACTCGAAACCCGCACGATAAAAAAAAAGGTCAATTTCGAGTCACCCCGTTCTGACCCGTTATAATACATGTCTAACCTGTTTATTAAACGAGTCGTGTCACGGGTCGTGTCAACCCATATAATGCACCCCAACCCGCGAAAAAATGAAGAGAAATGTAGGGTTCAGCCAATAGCTAACCCATAAGAAGACCGCTTACTCCTATATAGGGGTGGCAATTTCGGACACGACCCGATACACGACTCGAAACCCGCACGATTAAAAAAGAGGTCAATTTCGAGTCACCCCGTTCTGACCCGTTATAATACATGTCTAACTCGTTTATTAAACGAGTCGTGTCACGGGTCGTGTCAACCCATGTAATGCACCCCAACCCGCGAAAAAATGAAGAGAAATGTAGGGTTCAACACACACACAAGGGGTTTCGAACCTCCACCATCCTCATTCCTCTCCAACACTTTATCCACCATGCTACATACAACTTTGTGATTATATACTATGTCTTTTGATATTTATAATGTCTCTTTTTCTTCTTTTGTTTTCTATCTATCTTCTCCTTTCTTTTTTTCTTTCTTTTCCTTCTCTCTTCTCTCCTCTTTTTTTTTTCTTTCTTTTCCTTCTCTTTAGTTTTCTCTCCTCTCTTTTTTTTTCTTTCTTTTCCTTCTCTTTAGTTTTCTCTCCTCTCTTATTTATTTATTTTTTATTTCTTTCCTTCTCTCTTCTCTCCTCTGTCTCTGTCTTTTTTTTCTTTTCCTTCTCTCTTCTCTCCTCTCTCTATCTTTTTTTTTTCTTTCTTTTCCTTATATTTCCTTCTCTTTAGGAGTCCTATATACTCACTCAACTATCAAGTCGTGTATCCCATCTTCTTGTTGTATAATTAAAATCATTCTATTGAACCACTATTGTTGTCCGACTGTCCTATCCAGGGATGGACCCACAATGGGGTCAATGGGGTCAAACGACCCTATGAACTCCATGAAAGCAAAGTCGAATGTCCCCTTGAATGGTTGTGTGACCCCATAAATGGTTGAAGGAGGAGGTTGCAGATTTGAGGAAGAAGAAGTCGAACATCGATTCTGTTTTTTTTTTATTTAAATAATAAATTAAACCAAAAAGGCTGGCCAATTTTTTGTTTGCTGGCTTGCCCCGCTTCCGCAGCTTCTGGCTGGCCAAAACGGTGTCATTTTGGACCAGCCTAGTGAATTTTTTTTAAAAACACGCTGGTCCAAAATGCCGTCGTTTTGGCCCAGCTTCTATATATATATATATTTTTAAACATGCTGGTCAAAACCGCGTCGTTTTGGACCAGCCCAATGAATTTTTTTTTAAAACACGCTGGCCGAAACGCCGTCGTTTTGGACCAACAGCAGCTAAATTTTTTTTTTCAAAGACCTGGCCAAAACGACGTCGTTTTGGTTCAAGTCTTTAAAATAAAAAGAAAAAAAAACATATTGTATAATTGAAACAGACCCTCCCTCCCGAGTTGAGAACTCCAAAACCCCCATTTCCTAAACCCTCAAACCTAAATCCCAATCTCCACCCCCCCACAAACCTTTAACCCTCTCCCCCACCAAGCCTTAAAAAAAAAATTTGAACTTTTACACTATGACCCTACGAGATAAGATTCTTGGGTCCGTCCCTGGTCCTATCCTTCCATATACCTAGAACTAATTTATCCTAATCCCTCTCACACAATCTAACAGTAGTGGTATTGAAACTCTCAATCTAACCAACTGTTTCGATGAATGGAAAGATAAAATTCCAAAAACTTCAATTGATAGGGATTAGGGTTTTTGTTGCAAAATAAGGGGAAGAGGAAGAAAATGAGAGGGAAGAGCAGCAACCATGAAAGCGTTGGGAGTAGGGCGTTGTGTCTGGAGGAGGTGGTTGCTGCTTGAACATTCTCGTCATCCTTTTCTTTTAAGTTTTTTTTTTCCTTCTTATTAGTTTTTTTATTTCAAAGAATAAAAATAAAGATATTTAGCTATAATCAAGATACGTCTTGATTTGAGTGGAAGGTACACACACTAAGGGGTATATGTAAACTTAATATTAAGTACAATTATAAGACTTAATCAATGATCTAAGATCTTGAACTTCATGATTTCACAATATCATACCTTGATAGTCTCTTCTAGCATATCAAGATATTTGTCTTAAGCAATTTGTAGGAGATTCGTAGGCGAGTCGCCAGTATAGAGGAAATAGGTTTCTCTCTCTAGCTGTTTGCATGTAAGAAACTTTAATACGTGTTGTCAGTCAATTGTACACAATAGATGGGTATGTGCAGTATTATAGGTAGATAGAGGACATTTTCTAGTGTAGTCCTAATTAATTACCACCCATCACTATAATGGAATAGGAAATTACTTCTCGTAATTTGACCAATATGATTACTCGAAATGATTTTTATTAAACCAATTAAATATTTTATTTACCATACATATCACATCATGTGGGCCACACATAATATATAAAATATTCCTACAGTTAACCCCGGCTCATCTAAAGACCTATTAAAGACCTGTGAGCACCTTTTTAATAATGACCCTTAGATTAATTTAATGGATAATATATATTAATAGTTAAACCCTCACTCATGTTCCATATTTTACCCAAACAAATCCTAATTATCTATATTTATAAAGCAAAAGGTAAAGAATGGTGAAACGTTTAAAATACTAGAAAATATCATTGGTTAATTCGAACATTAATAATTGAAATTATTAATTAAATGAGGATAATATGGTAAATTTATATTTTTTCATATTAAAAAAATTAAAATTAAAAATAAAATCAGATAATAGGTCTTATTTTTATGGAACATAACTATTCATAGTATCTTTTTTTAATTCTAAAAATAAAATAAAATCAATTGGCACATACTCTGCATGTGCAAAGGGGCTAGTTTTAATTTTAAAAAAAGTTGGATACACATTCACATTCAATCATGCCTTATGTATTTCTTCCCTTTCCACATATGTCTTTCATCTTCAGCCATCTGTCTTTCTTCCTAAACCCATAAGTACAGTGTTGATCACTTTAATATTACCAATATATACATTTAAAAGCTTCTAACACAATTGCATTAAAAACCGAAATTGAGAGGTAATTAATATAAGATCTTCCTCTTCCATTATGCTTATGAAATTAAGATTCGGATCCTCTGTTTGGATTTTATTTGTGAGCATTTGCTTGATTAATATAAAGCTGCCACATCAAATATAATACAATCCAATGGTGAAAAGAGCAGCCACACCACATATGGTAGTAAATCGAAAAAAATATAAATGTGCATA